TCCCCTACACCTCTACTCCCCCATCCCCACCCACCACATCTCCTTTTGTCCACCTCAGACCACACCCTCACTTCACCCAATTCCATGCCAAACATGAATCAAATCATCATCACTTACACTCCACTCACGCTCCCCTTAATCCCTCCATCTCTTTATCTAACCGACCTACATTAACCCTCCTTAAACATTACTAAACCCCCTTCAGTACAATGCACAATCTGTCCCTCCCACCACCTCTCTCCTCCCCTCACTGATTTCATTCACATAATGCTAAAGCACCTCCTCCATCTCTGTCCCTACCCACCTCCAGAAACCCAATCCACACTATCTTCACATTAAAATTCAGCAAAAACATGTTGGAGTAATATTTCCCCTTTACCTCAATAATTCTTTTCAATATACAAATTTAAGGAATTTCTTTAAGTAAAAAGAAACATTTATGAATCCAGGATAGAGCGTTCCCCATCTATCTACATTACTGAGAATTCTCTAAAATTCCAGGACACTTTCTGCTCAGTCCCTTAATATATTCCTATTCTCTACCCCTACCAACAAATCTTTAACTATTAATCAGCCCTCCCACCCCTTACTCCCCCACTGTATCCACAATTATGCAGATGGCAGGTCTTCTTGATTATCAAAGACATTTTTTCAATATTGCACTCAGCTTACCCTTCGTATTTTCTCACAGTTATACATAATTCTAATACACAAATACTCCCTCTGACACATGATAAATCATTTGAAGGCTGTTGCATTTCTATGAAAGACACATGCCCTTAGAGTGCACCATATTTCCCTGTTTACAGATGTGATGCATTATCATCACATAGCTCCTTTGTTGTTTGGTTATATAGATATGGCCATGTCTGATTTTGTGATACAGTTGTGTTTTTTTTCTCCGTTATTATAACATTACAATAAGGACAAAGAACATGACATCATGTACGGTAACACACAGTCAAAATTGAACTGAAGTCTGCAAAAGCATCTATCCTTGCACTACATCAGCATAAGGTAAAAAAAAAAAGCATCCTTAACTTTTTTCACAACAGCGTTGTCAGTAGAGAGTTAGCCTCTGTGTTACACTCTTTTTTTTTTACTGGTTTTTTTCCCACCTAATGAACAATCAGGGCCATTTTCAGGTGGGGTCTACTTGTAGTAGCCGGACAACATACAGGAGGCCTATCGCATGCTCTTCAGAGCAATACGATGAAGTGTCTTGCCCAAGGACAAAATCATGTCAGCAATGACCAGTTCGTTTCTCAGCTTCTTGATAAGCAAAAACTGCCATGGGTAGGAAGCGATAAAGCACACACCTCAATCTTCAACCAAGTTTACTTGGGCCAATATTCTTACTGACTGAACTATCCAAACCGACAGCTTTTACTGAGACACAAATTTTATCTACAATTTTTTATGCCAATATCTCCGATACATTTTATCTATTGATTGATATACTGAACAACACTTTTTTTTTTTTTTTTTTGAATTAATTCAAGTGCTGTTTACTAAATATAGTTAGGCTGAACACTTAAGACAATCCACAGTGTTGATACATGGCTGAGCTTAATGGTTTATAATTAATTACTGGCATGATACAGACCTCAAATGTCCACCTACTGCTGATATCTTAGTGGTAAACAAAAACATCAATTACCAGTAACCATGGCAATTACAGTTCTGTATACAGTTTTACACACTATACTCCTACATGGATGTTAACTTGACGGTCAATTAGTTATCGCTGACCAAATCTACTGTACCATGTCCATACATCAAAATCTCCAGACAATTTCTTAGATGTCCACCTACAGTCAAGCTAAGCAGGATCTACCTGTGTGTTGGACTATGCACTGATGACACAGGTAAAAAGTTCACTAACGAGAAAGTGTAGTGGGCGTGATGGGGACGTTTAAGTGGATATCATTGTCAACAATTTACCAGGTAGATCACTGTAAACAGATTCCCAGCTGCAAGTTAAAGGACTGAACAGGAAGTTGAAAAAAAATCATTCCATTGGTGAAAAGAGCAATGAAAGTCATTTAATCAACGGTGTTTCATTTGTTTTCACTGAGCTAGAATTAAATCTATGAGAAATAAAAGATTGCCAAAAATAAAAGAAAAACAAAAAACTGTCACTTATCAGTATAAGAGCCACTCGTGTCATGAGCGTGAAATGTCAAATAGACCTATATGATTAAATGTCCTCAGGATTGCAATCTCAACACAATTAATGCTTACACAGGTAACGTACTCCATGTAGGCGTGAAATTTATGTGCATCTAACAAATTAACTTTTTGAAGATGACAGAAAAGATATCTAGGTTGTGGCTGGCATTATCTGTCGACTGTACAAACAGGATTTTGTGTTCCAGCTTGATATGTATTACAATGATGTTATAGTCACCAGAAAGTCTTAAAATAAAAACATTGCAGGCCTCTATTTCTAATCCTGACACTTTTATCAAGTTTAATTTATGTATCTCCCTCCCACACAGATTTTAATTCAAAAATGACACATTTATTTATTTAGGACACAATATCAGTTAGCTTACTGTTGTGTATCTGATCTTGAAGCCTGTTTATAAATATGTTTTTCTTTCTACCCCATAGGGCATATTTATTTACCCAAGTTTCTTTTACAAAGGTTAGTATGATCTACAAACACGTTCCTTCCTACCTCCCACATGGATGGCAAATGTACACTCAAAGGATACAAATTTATATAGTGTTGGAAAGTGCCTTTCCTGTTCATCCTTTGTGAAAATCTTTTTATTGGCAATGTTTAAATTATGTTTTTCCTGAAAACTGTGTGGCTGTCTGTATATACTCCTTGTAACAAGGTTTTAAAATTTTGAGATTTTGGTTTTTTCAATTTTTTTCATTTATGCATGTTTTTGTTCAAACAATATTGTATAAAAGCAAGAAATCACACCTTTTTCTGTTATCAAAAATGGTGTTAAAAACATCTATTCTCTCAAGACAAATTATAATCCTACTAAAAACATGTCAATACAAATGAATAATAAATTTCAAAACATCTGGAAACATTCACCATATGTAATACCTGAAACATCTAGAATATGTTGTCAGAGAAAAACTGCCAAACCGACATTGTGTAGATCTATGATATTAGTGCTGTGGTGAGATGACAGACATCTATGTGTGTTTAATGGTATTCTTACACACTTGGCAAATTATCATGTATCGTATGTTTTTTTTTTATATATCATAATGTATTTAACCTAATAAACACACTGCATACTAAAATCAAATCAATTAAACAAGACTTTTAAATGAAATCTCACAAACAAAAATTACTATTAATCTTCTTTGTTGAGAAGAAGTATCAATTTCTATGAAAATTTTCTATCATTACTGAGTATTTCCATCATATCTGACTACACATTTTATGAACAAATGCTAGTGCTGAACTGAGGACAACATAGTCATGTAAAAGTTGTTCTTATAATGTTTTTCAAAAGAGGGAATATGGTTTTTGAGGGAGCTAACTGGACCAATTATGTACTATTCCAGGGCTCCCTCCTTCTGTAATGCATTTTGTAGTGTACTAATATATTCAACATTGAATGTACCCCTCCTTTTTCTGGTACACCATACAACTGCCATTGATAATTGACCAAGATAATTCAATGATATCTCCTAATAGTGTAAATACACTACACCCCTTTTACAGTCCAATAACATTACTGTTATATTAATACTAACACCACTTGTCATTTATTGACATATCAGCGATTCCAACTTCTTAAACCTAATAGATAAGTAACTAGCAAAAACTACTTCAATAAAAGTAATCAAAAACTTCCTAAAAGTTACTCTCTTTAAAACTTAGTTTTCATGTTTAACTTAGTAATAAAATCCATTGGTTAATTAAAATGAAATTTAATGTTAAAACATTGAGCAATAATCATCATTTGAAATATTCTGAAATATAAAGGTTTTCATTTATATCTAACCTTCTGTGGTAAGAAACTAACTTAATAATAAGGCAATGAAAATTTTATGCACTTCGTAAGAACGGTTTGTATGGTTAGCTGAAACCATTTGTCTTGATGTTATCTGGTAGCTTCTTTTCTGGGTGTTTATTTTAGCTTAAATGAATATTTCTTAAAATTCTTTGTGAGGTATTTTATAACTGTCCTTGTAACAATCAATAACTGTTATGGACCTACATTAAATGCCACACACAATTTCTTTATTTTTGAGATTTAGGGGGATATCAAAATAAAAATTTAAGATAATTTTGTTAGATGTAATATCATCAAGATGACCTTTCAACAGCAGTTTTGTCAATAATAACCATTGTTTAATCATCCCATGGTCACAATTTCTGACACATGAAGACAATGGTAGCTATTGTTGGCACTAATGATATGCCACTTCATGTTTGATTTAATGTAATCTTTTTGACCGAGAGACAGATGCAGTAGGACTGCATATGAATTAACATTTCAAACTGAACACATAAGTACATAATAAACAATCTGCCTTACTCATCTCCTCTATGAGCTGAAACCAAATGTGTGAAATTCAAAACATTTCTAAATTACCCAAATTGACATGCCCTTTCATACCTCTTAAGCAGAACAAATTTGCTGACTTAACAATAAGTGGACAACTGGGATACTTTTATCACGGTAAACTTAATAAAAATGACTAGTACTCTCACAGATGATCTTATTTTCAGTAGATGAACTGTTCAATATACTCATGCCAAGAAGATTAAGTTTTGAAAATTGATATCAGAAAATATACTAAAAAAAAATCAATTCAATACTTAATTTAATTTTCGTCAGATTTCATAAATAAATCTCATGGTATGTGAGTTAATTGACAAGTTTAATTGTTGAAAAGAAAATTATTAGAATACTAGTAATTGTTATTATGGTAGGTTGAACTGATAAGGCTGGAATATAAATTCCTGATTAACAAATAATCTAAAAAAAAAAAAGAAGAGAAAAACTGGTACTCACCCCTCAGGTAGTTCATTGGGATCACTGGGGATGGATGAAGGGATGACCGAGGCGTCGGTTACGTTGGGACCCGATCCTGTGAGAGAACTGCCCCTGTCTCGGGAGATGAGACTGATAACAATTTGTCCTCGAACATTGTCATTATCATCACTGTTATTCCGCTGTAAATCGAGTCGCTGGACTGTAACAGAAATTTGCGAAGGTCGTTGCTGAGTACAGCGTAGAGGCATGGAGACACAAACCGACATTGGTGTTTCATATAATCCTTATGAGAAGTCATTCCATCACTGCACATAAATTGACCAAACTGTTTAATCCTGAAATCTCAGACAGTTTACAAGTAAATGATATGTATGGATGTAGAGACTGCACGTTAGCTTATCCAATGGTGACAGTCTGTGTATATATATACAGTCTGTAGTCACTGAGGTAGTAGTAGCACAGACCACACCGTCCATACACAACACAGGTTAATAGAGAGTTGCTGCACGTTACGTGTGTATAAAGTGAACCTCTCCCTCAGCTATGACAGCCGTCCATACTGTAGTGCTAACAGCTAGATAAATGGTGCCCCACTAAGACAAATTGTCCCCTCCTCCCTGTGAAGCATAATGCTACCTGTAGACCCACACACACCAGGTAACTTCTGTCAAGTTCGACCCCCAGCGCAGGTTAAATAGATATCCCATCTGACACTTGACCCCTGTCAGAGCAATATCTACATTTCACTTTGTACATTAAATACATGAAATGGGTGCACGCAGACTTCAAATATACAACCACAAATCTATTCGTCCATGAAGCATTTTTTCCACAACACCATTTTATGTAATAGATCTGATTTTACATTCACCACCTCAAAATTTAAAAAAGGAAAAAAAAAAAAAATGAGATACAATAGACAAAATATATTAAATGTAAAAATATTCAAGTATCTTTATGGCAGTTTTTATGTTCTTTCTTCAAGTCTTCAGAGAACATTATCAGTTACATCTATGAATTAAAACCACGCAAGGAAAAGAAATAAAGAACTCATTCAGTTTGAATTTCCTGTTGAGAATACAACACAAAGTATCAAGTTTCACACAAGCAAGTCTATGTATAAACACCCATTTATTTTGACATTTTATCTTTAAAAAAAATCATCTCTATAAATAGCAAAAATATAATTCTTTATCTGTTGAATCTTGACCGAAAGTTGAACATGTCTCTCAGACATATAAGCCTTTAAATTGGTGTTGTTGTTTGGTCCTCACTTCAATGTAACATAGTAATATTGTTTGGTCCCTATCCCATGTAACTCAATATCATTGTTTGGCTAAATGTACCCAAAGTAATTTATTGAAATTGTGTAGTTCCTGATTCAATGTAACTCAGTAAAATTGTATGGCCCACTCCTCCTGTGTAATTCAGTATCAATGTTTGGTCCCTGCTTCAATGTAACTCAGTAAAATTGTTTGGCCCCTCCTTCAGTGTGTAACTAAGAACCATTGTATGATCCTTGGCCCAATGTAACTAAGTGTCCTTGTTTGACCCCTCCTTCAGTGTAACTAAGAACCATTGTATGGTCCTTGGCCCAATGTAACTTAGTGTCCTTGTTTGACCCCTCCTTCAGTGTAACTAAGAACCATTGTATGGTCCTTGGCCCAATGTAACTTAGTGTCCTTGTTTGGCCCCTCCTTCAGTGTAACTAAGTACCATTGTATGGTCCTTGCCCCAATGTAACTAAGTGTCCTTGTTTGACCCCTCCTTCAATGTAACTAAGAACCATTGTATGGTCCTTGCCCCAATGTAACTTAGTGCCCTTGTTTGACCCCTCCTTCAGTGTAACTAAGAACCATTGTATGGTCCTTGCCCCCATGTTACTTAGAGTCCTTTTTGTTTGGCCCCTCCTTCAGTGTTCCTTAGTACCATTGTATGGCCCTTGCCCCCATATAATTCTGTATCATTGTTTGGCCCACCACTCCCATGTAACTCTGTATCAATGTTTGGCCCAATGCTTCCATGTAACTCTGTATCAATGTTTGGCCCACCACTCCCATGTAACTCTGTATCATTGTTTGGCCCACCACTCCCATGTAACTCTGTATCATTGTTTGGCCAACCACTCTCATATAACTCTGTACATTGTTTGGCCCAATGCTCCCATGTAACTCTGTATCAATGTTTGGCCCACCACTCCCATGTAACTCTGTATCATTGTTTAGCCCACCACTCCCATGTAACTCTGTATCAATGTTTGGCCCAATGCTCCCATGTAACTCTGTATCATTGTTTGGCCCACCACTTCCATGTAACTCTGTATCAATGTTTGGCCCAATGCTCCCATGTAACTCTGTATCATTGTTTGGCCCACCACTCTCATGTAACTCAGTATCAATGTTTGGCCCAATGCTCCCATGTCACTCAGTATCAATGTTTGGCCCACCACTTCCATGTAACTCTGTATCAATGTTTGGCCCACCACTTCCATGTAACTCTGTATCAATGTTTGGCCCAATGCTCCCATGTAACTCAGTATCATTGTTTGGCCCACCACTTCCATGTAACTCTGTATCAATGTTTGGCCCACCACTTCCATGTAACTCAGTATCATTGTTTGGCCATGTAAATCTGTATCAATGTTTGGCCCAATGCTCCCATGTAACTCTGTATTAATGTTTGGCCCATCACTCCCATGTAACTCTGTATCAATGTTTGACCCAATGCTTCCATGTAACTCTGTATCAATGTTTGGCCCACCACTCCAATGTAACTCTGTATCAATGTTTGGCCCACCACTCCCATGTAACTCTGTATCATTGTTTGGCCCACCACTTCCATGTAACTCTGCATCATTGTTTGGCCCACCACTCCCATGTAACTCTGCATCATTGTTTGGCCCACCACTCCCATGTAACTCTGTATCAATGTTTGGCCCACTACTCCAATGTAACTCTGTATCATTGTTTGGCCCACCACTCCCATGTAACTCTGTATCAATGTTTGGCCTCTCCTTCAGTATGATTTAGTACCATTGTTTTGTTCCATCTCATATGTAACTTAGTTTCACTGACTGAACCAATCTCCAATGTAAATTGTATGACAACATTCTCATAGTAGTATTGGTTAATTGTCTTTAGAAACCTGAACTACTACAACATATTTGTACAGTCAACCTTTGTATTTGTGTTTAAAATCCCTGATAAAACCCCCAAACAGGATGTAATGTAACAAAATAAACTGGTATGTTTGTAATGCCTCTCAAAACAAAATGGCAACAGCATAAAACAAATATTGATACATATAAATAAAAACAAACTTTATTTTCCATCATTTACCATTTCATATAATTGGGCATTACTGCTGCATTCACACATGTGCAGTCCAACCTGTTTCAGTAGTCCCTCAGTAGATGACTTCCTAACTTGTATGAATGTAATAAATCCTAGCTTTCTTCTACAATGTTTTTTTTTTTTTTTACATTAAATGTGTTTGCTTCTAACATATTAGCTCCTAACACTTCCAGCTGCAGAAGGCCTCATGAATGTCACTATGTCACAATATCAATGTCATGGATGGTAGAACTACTTAAACATAAATGATATTTGAAACTATTATCACACAACTGCATTGTATAGTAAAAATATGAAACCAGGTATCCCCCTGTCAAACACTATTACATTACCAAACCCACCCAGAATTAGCAAAGGCAGAAACACTGAAGGTCATGTTACCAAATTTATAGTTACCAAAACATCTAGAAAACAAACCAGTCAATAACAACATGTGCTTGTTTTGTTTGACTTACAAAACAAAATTTTGGTCTTTCAATTATAAAGGCATGAATTCCAATACAGTTTACTTTGTGATTCTATCAAAATGTCATTAATCAGTGAGGAATATCACCAAACGTTGTAGCTGTCAAATGTAATATGTATCAAGATCAACCCTGAAGTTTTACTTCAGTACAAGGATAGAAATATCTGATTGGCTCCTGATTATAAAACATTCCTATGTATTTAAGCTCTGGTCATGTTTCTGATAACATTTTGTGTTACTTCAGGATATATTTATTTGGTGTAGTTTTACCTGGGATATGTGAATTAGAAATACATAGTGTTGGTTTATAATTTTACCCACATAGAACATATTATAGACAATTAAAATACACAACTTGGCTAATTTCTGTTAAATGGGATACACAACAAAATTTCCACATGGGAAACTTAACCATTCTAATGGCTAGAAACATGCATACAAACGTTGGCCATTGTAAACAGCAGATCATTTTTGGTAAACCAAGGACCATAACTTTATATAACGAGTGAGAAGATATATATCCTAGTCAAAATTTTTTTCAGTCTAAGGTGTCATGTATCAACCATGTAAGACCTGGATTCCTTCAGAATATTAATAAATCTGGTCATAACTTTTATTTATTACAACATAGCAACACAAAACTATTTTGTTGATATTGATAAAATCACCAGTTGCAAATTACTGCCAGTAAAATAACATCGATGATTATCTATATCATTCAGCTGGTGATGAGGCATACTAATTGTACCCAGTAAACCCCAAACATGTTCGATAAGCATAATTTGGAATTTTTTTCCCGTCAAATATTTCTTTTTCGATATTACCAATAGGTATGAAAAAGTCGCTACAGAGACCATAAATTTCACTACAAATGTCACATAGTTGCAAAAGTTTAAAATCAAAACTAAAAGAGCACTATCAGATTTGGAGTATATTGAAAGCACTGTGCAAAAGGCGCAAGACATGCTATTTATCATCAGACCTCCCTTCACTCAATAGCTCTATTGGAAACATGTGTGAGACTGTGTAATAACGGAGTGTACAATTAGGAAGATGACAGCAATTAACCGAAAGATTTCAGGGACAGAATTTTTATGTTTCAGCTGTATTTTTTTTATGGAGGTTTGTGCACAAAACAGCAAGCCAAGTAGCCAAATAACTGGTCCCATCGACATTCTACCAAAGCAGGAAAACATTACCCCCTCCCTATCTGGTCCTGTCTGTCAAATGTCATACTGACAACAAGTTCACACAGTCCCACATAGGGTAAACATTTTGTCTGTAACAGCCGCATTCCAAACATTTTAAGTACATGGTGATCAATTACTTTTTTTCTGATATATGTATGTATATCTGTCACAGACATTGGCAAATGTTTAGCTTTCAAACGATGATTGGGTTACAAATGAAAGCCATATTTTCCAGTTACACAATCAATGGTATTTACAAGTGATGTCAAATTTTTTTCATAATGGAAAATGTTTACAGGACTTGAATGCCATTGTCACCATGTAAAATTAGTGTCATGGTCAGATGACTTCCTGTAAACACTTACTTAGATTTTGATGTTGGCAACTTCAATATCAACCTGAAGTATCAACTCAAATCTAATGAATTACGTTGAATATCTATGTCTTCCTTTCTCTTCTTTATATAAAGTTAAGTCTATTAAAATCAGTTGTCACTAGGGTCAAACAGGAACTGGTGGTAAGGGTGACCTTCACCTTAACCTGAAACACACTAATATGATTTAATGAAAAAATGAAGTCCGCGAAATGGCAGAGAGGTCAAATGGCTGAAATCTTTATCAATGTCAGATTTCCTAGAACCAAGTTATGAAGCTATATACAAAATCTTGGCAAGTTCTCATATTGACAAAAGAAGAGATAAAAAAGAAAAGGAAATAAGTAATAGTCTCTTTGCTATGATAAAGAGAAATGTCCTAGTCAGCAGTATGTCTACATTCATGCTGCAGAAGTAATTACAGTACTCTAAAATTGATGTAAGATAATAAAGTCCAGCCAGGCTCTGTCTACAGCTCTTTATAGTACTGAGAAAACATTCTCATCTCCAGAACAAAGGTATTTGAAACATATAGAACTTTCACTGAAAAAGAGTTTTATGATAAGCTGAATTCTAGGGTTACAACTATCTACCAAAACAACCAAATCTGCGAATCTAGTATCAGAAATATTTTTTTTTATGAATAATGATGTAGCCCTGGTAAATAGTACCAAGTAGTCCCCATATTAAAGAGAGAGATCTCCTAAACTTGCTTGTTCAGAATCTGACTAGTAAGTCAGAGGTCCTGGGTTCAAATCCTAACAGAGGCATTGGGCTAAGTAATGACCTCTGTTACATTAGCGCCGGTGTAGGGACTTGTGGATAATACTTAGCTGTTTTCACAAGGACCCTGTAAACACTGGAAACTTGTGGACATGTAATTTCCTGGATGGGGAGTACATAATTATAACACTGGTAAGATACTAACAGCAATATATCGCCCAGCAAGAGAGAACTTCTCTTTAGCTTGATTGGTTGAGGCAAATAAACCACAGGTCCCAGTAATGAATCCTAGTGAAGGCATTGAAATACATAATGACCTCTGTTACATTGGTGCCTCAGGAATAATACTGAGCAATACTTTCACAGACATCACTGCAAACCCAGGTAGCTTGAGGGCATGTAACTTCCTGGGGGTTGAGTATGTTACCCTTGTTAAATACTACATGCAATATACCGCTTGATTAGAGAAACTTTTCTGTAGCTTGATTGGTTAAGTTGAACTAGTAAGCAAGCGGTCCCAGCTTCGAATCCTAGCAGAGGCATCAAATATATGACCTTTGTAAACAGTGATAAATTAATAAAAAATTCCATCACTAAAATTTAAATTTTCAATAAGACATGATTATGTGCATGAAGACAAACTTGGTATCTGGGTCAAGTTCAACTTATTGTTTAGTTTCTTGTCAATATAAACAGATTAATATCCACAATAATGACAGACTGCTATCATTAAATTTCCAGCTTGTATAACAGTGTCTATTACGTACCATTATGACGGCTACCATGACTGAGGTAAACACCTTGACAGCAATGTCCGTAATGGACATTTACATCTACATCAACATTTCAAATACAGTCATAATAGAAGTAATAACCTGCACACTGCCTTTGTTGACTAAAAGCAAAGACAGCTATACAGATGTCAAAAGCCTTCTTAACTGTAACATCCATCCACAGTATTTCTACACATACATCAATAAGTTACAATGGAACACAATTTTATGAGTGCTTTATCAAACAGAAAATCTGGCACTGGGAACTGAAACCAGAGCAGAGAGGTTAGGATAGGAATAGGATATTAGATAAAGAAACAGAAATGAATGCAGGAAAAGTGTTAGAACTGGTCCTAAGGAAGCAGAAAGGTTAGGATTGAAACCGGGGAAGGAGAAAAGGTTAGGATTGAAACAGAGGGAGGAGAAAGGTTAGGATTGAAACCGGGGAAGGAGAAAGAAAAGGATTGAGACAGAGGAAAGGGAAAGGTTAGCATTTAACTGGGGAAAGATTAAGAAAAACAACAGGTACAGAAGAAAGGTTAGGATTGAAACAGAGGACTGAGAAATGTTAGGATTGACACAGGGGAAGGACAAAGGTTAGGATTGAAACAGAGAAAGGAGAAAGGTTAGGATTGAAGCAGCAAAAGGAGAAAGGTTAGGATTGAAACAGGAAGGATTAGAAAGGTTTAGGTTGGAGGAGAAATTAGGGAAGGAGGAGATAACTGAAAATTATCCTAATCCTGTATCTTAATTCTGTATTCTAAGACAAATAATAGGAAGAATTAATAATTTGAAAGCATGTAGACTATTATTCTTCACACAAATCATGTTAAACATCATGTACTTACATCCAGTGTCCTTGAGCTGTTGGATGGCATTGGACTTGATCCGCACACAACCAAGAAAACCTGCTCCTTGTTTCTTGTGGATCTTCTTGTGGTTCCAAATACTGATAGTTACTGAATCTTTACTTCCAATGTACCTGTCATAAAGGGGCCAGAGGGTCTGTCATCAGTGGGTTCAGAATAACCAAAGGACAAAACATTTATAAATGTAATCAACAGAATTCAAAAAATTCAAAGCCAGACAATAATGACAAATAGGTGAAAACTGTACATGCTCAGTGATTTATACATTTACTTCAGTGTAATTAGATACAGGTGAATTTATTCTGGAATTGGTAGAAATCTGAAAGATACTATCACGAGGCATTCTAGTGACAAAAAACTTTATGTATCTGGATTTCACATGATCACCTGGCAATATGGTTTCTCAATACAATCTGAAAACAAGGACTTTGTTATTAATCAGTTGTATCACTGCTCAAAAGCTGAGGCTTTTGTTTTGGTAGTAGATAGGATATATAAAAATAAAGGTAATAAAATATTTGCACCTGTCTTACACAACTGATCCTTTCTACTTACAGGTCATAATGCTGGTTCCACTTGGGGTCAAGTGTGTTTTTACTGGTATCTGTTGAATGGCATTGCCCAGAGCCATCTACACTGATCTTAGCAAACGGATCCGGAAGTCCTGAAAATGCAAACAATAATTACAGGAAAAAGAGTTTTTGAAAGTCTAGTACTTAACTCCTCTGTCCAAAAAAACCAAAATATTATGCTACTCTATGATGGAAATATGATCATATGAGTTAGAAAGCATGCATATTTTTACAACATAATTATATAAAAGCCATAAAATTTTAGAAGTAATATTGAGACCTGCTATCGCAGTCTGGTTTAAATAGTACTTTACTTTTGAGAAAACTAGTATCCAGTTGTCCTTAAAATCACAGTCTTTATCTTTTACACTTAAATGTGTAATTATCATAGGTATCACTCATTCCTTAATTAACTCCTCACAAGGCATCACAGATAATACAGATTTCCAGATTCAACCATGACTAATGCACGCTGAAATTTGGCCAAGTGGCTGAAGTTTGATCAAAATTCCAAAAGGAATGATGCCACTAGTGCGCTGAAAAGATTTTTGAAATATAGATATGGTGACCTTGACCCTATAACCCTGAAATGTTTTAGTGTCCTTTATAAATATGCGCAGTTTGTAGAATATTCTATTGACATTATCAACCTTTAGAAAATGTTATAAAATATGTACAATTTGATCAAAATCTTTCAATGACTAAAAGTGATAAGAAAGTATTTAGGGTGACTTTGAACCTACAATCTTGAAAATCTGGAGACTTTAACTAACCTGAGATATTATGGCCTATCATGAGAGGGGAACAGTATGCTTAATCTTCCTCAAGTAATGTAGCCCCTAGAGTGCTAACAATGATTTTCTAGAAATAGTAACAGCCACTCTAACCTTGACCCTTCAACCCTGAAATTTGAACTGAGATATTGTGGTTCTCTACATGTATGTGGGTGTTTGATTAAAATCTCTTCAGTAATGATACCACAACATACGATCAGAGGGACATATGTATGGAGTTCCTACATCTCCTCTGAATTTCAGTAGTGAGGGGATTATGAGTATTCAATTTACATCCTTCCTTGGATTTGTGAAGAACACTTTTTGAAAGGAGATAAACCTCAATGGAAGGTAGCATACAGCCTTAAGCATTCTCCAATTGAATTGTGACATAAATACAATAACATTTCTGATGATTTCTGATTAATTAATTTAAAAATAATTTGTAAAACATGTAATTAGTTTCATTTCTTTGTTTAGGGTGCCATTGTTTACTGTCTATTTTCAGTTACAAACCTCTCTTATTGAATGATATGCTTTACTTGCTGTTTATTTTTTAAATAAATATTGTAGATTCACAATTATGTATACAGAGATACAGAGTTTAATTTCCATGTACATCTAAGGTGTGACATAAATGTAATGGCTGGACAACAATGGTGGCCTGATGTCCAGGTGATAAACAAGCAGATTATAACCAGGGGGACACCATTTCATGCTCAGGTATGACGGACATCAAAAACAGATATCCCACAACTTATACATTCATGCATGGGATCAACAGAATCTGGCTCAGGGATCGTGACACAATCTTAAACTCAAGTTTGTACTTAGTCAATGACATATATGGCATCTCTTTTCATAGTGTTACCCATGACTGGCAAAGTCAAAACTTCACAAAGTTTCAGACTTCAGATTGCTTCGTGATCCTAGGGCCTGTGCTACTTTGAGGGTTAGAATATTACCAAGTCTAATTTTTTTTCATACCTGTAAGTCATTTAACCACTCAATAACCATTAGTATTTATTTTGAATATACAATCTGGGAGACAGATAAGTAGAATGACATCCCTTAAATAGACTAAATCCACTATTCACCTATCTATAAAATTACACTCAAACTAAGTTTAAAATTCACAGCAAAAGCAGCTATAAATTTACAAAAGACACACTTGTGAATAGCATCATTAAATACAAACTGAATTTTTTCAGTGGTGCTAAGGACCTTAATTTTGAAACCTAGTAAGTAACTAAGGAAAATCAATTTGATGGAGAGAACCTTCAAGATCTAAAAAATGAAGGGGTAGGAAGAAAATTAATTATTTAGATAAAGAGGTGTATTAATCCCATATTTCAATAAATTTCTTAATTTTCATAAATCTGATCATTTCAAAAGAACAACAAGTACATGTGTATGAATTAGTCACTCAATTAATAGGAATGAGTAATTTATTTAACAAGGCTACTGTCCCCAGCTGTATACGATCAGTCTGTAATTATGCATGTGTTATAAAGCAGCATGTACATCTACCCAGTATAAACAGATGATGTAGGGTTTATTCATTATTTATTATACATGAATCATGTGGAATGTGTCTAAACATATTTTATTATAAATACTCCATTCTACATTTACTAACATTTACTTCCTTTAATCTCTAAATTTCAGGCTTTTTACCCCAGTAACATAAGACTCTCAAGTCTTAGGTAGACCTCAACAATAACTAGTCTCATTAGCCACTCTAATATTATGTAATTAGAAAAAAGAAAATCTGTAATATTTTGAGATTTTCCCATTCAGATTTTTTTTCAAAAACAGATTTTCCAGTGTCCACTACTTTAATTAATGGAATTAAAATGGAAATTTCCCGAAAGTTACAACTGACCTCCCCACAAAAAATATGACATTCAAATTCAGTAATCAATATGCTAAATTTTCCACATTCACAGTTTGAACATTGGAAAATCTCCAGCTTTCTATACCACTGCACCTATATATCCTCTATTATCTCCCTTTATGCTTCATAAATTTGTCCTTGGCATTCATTATACATTATTATCCAGTACATGTCTAGCCCATGTAGTGTAAAAGTTATTACGGGGATTATTTTTTTTGTATACTACAAGGTTACACCTGCTTTGGGGGATGGCCAAACAACATGTAATAATCATCAATAATCATCCGCAGCAGTCCTAGATAATTACATTTATAGTCGTTTATGCAGTAGCAACATCTCTTCTCCATAGTTGTACAGGTGCCCAAGTCATTCAGATATATCAGTCAAAGAAACAGACAACAAACCTAAACGTCCGTGTTTCTAGTTTAGAGTACAATTAAATGATTTGCAAAGTAGATCCTGAAAACTTATTTCTGCCAGGGTATTACTTTTGAGGTGAAAACTGATAATTTCAGACATCAATGTTTTTACAGGACCCAGGCATATGGCATCACTCCTAACTGAACATGATAGACATAAGAAACCTGTCTATTATATATTATTATTATTATTACTATCTTAAACGGTCTGTCAGATACTCCTCCCTCTTGCCACAAGTGTTATTCTAGTAAGTATTTATTAAAAGATACTGGTAAGATCACTTTACATATGCATTATAATATTGTATATACAAGTCATGTATATCTATTATAACAGTGTTGGTACAAGTCATGTATATGTATCATAATATTGTATACATAAGCCATGTATATGTGTTATAATATTTTATATACAAGCCATGTTTATGTAAGTCGCGCAAAAATGAAAATACTGACTAAACATCAATTACTTTCTGATAAACAAACAAATCAATAAACTTCAACATTTTTAAACAAGTATCATTCTTTCAATTAATAAATTAAAATTATTTACAAATAAGTATTAAAAATCCCTATATCAAAATCATCTCCTGAAATTTTATTCATCATAGCTTGGCCAAAATCATTGCACTTCATATCTCTTCTACTGTTAGTTATATAGGCATTCATTGTAAACCTAAACTGCAAACGATGCATTTTGGCAATAAAAGCAGCAATCTAAAATTAAAAATGGAGTCAGTGTATGGCGTAAATTTTCCCAAGTAAACAATGAACACGTAAAACCACACATGGCTAATGCAAAGAAGTGACATAGGAATGGTTCAAATTTCAGCCCATCGACCTACAGCAAATCTAGGCTGTTAATTCGATCACGTAGCAGCCTTCATGTCATGCAATGCACGTGTACTAAACATATTGAAATAGTTTCTTGATACGTGCATAATTTTGAAAACAAATGCTAACTGGATACATATCAAGGATACAGGCATGCATCTGATGCTCCCATGGTGTTAAGAACAGAACATCACAGATGCAACAGACATGATTGACAGATGGAGCTTTAGGGTCCACCTGGGGTCTTTTTATAGTCCCCTAACTTCCTCCTGGAGCTCCAACAGGGACTGTTCGGCCCTGAGAGTAGCTGCCACCAAATAATGGTTCATGCTACATGATACAATGCATATCTGCAATCGGTGGTGCACGGGTGTAAATTAAACATTTTTTCCATTCTGGCCAGGGTATAATTACAATGGAAAGATACCTACATGGCTAATGTTTATAAATAAAGGGAGGGGGCAGGAGGGAGGTTGGAGTGGAGAAAACCTACTTCAACATTACTAAGGAGTTCAAATACAAACCATGAGAATGGTGGAAGCTTTTACATGTATAAAAATTCTAAAACAAATCATACAGGTAAAATTTTACATTTTGAACTTTATAATAATAAAAAAAATCATACCGATAAAATTGAACAGTCTGAATTTTATATGGATATCTGCTGAAAAGTGAAATGCTCATCTATACAGACGGTTTAAATCAAAATTCAATTTGCATACCAAACTAACACCTACGGTTTAAACTATAATTACTTAAAAATGATTTTTGGTACTTGTTGTCTATGGTAGGTTGTTCTATTTATGTATCTGGTAAATATCTACATATATGATATATAAATTTACAGTAATTTCTTACAATCAATCTGAATAATAATAGCATATCATTAGAGTCTTCAAATTCCAGCACGGCTATAGGAGTTACTTCCCTTGTATTATTTTACTCTGCACTTACTAAACACTGACGCAACACATGTAACTTGATATAAATAAATCATGATGATCTGTCTATCGCATTCCAATGCAAATTTTATGCATTTGAGAGCAATGTAAACATGTATGCACAGGTATATGTGCACATAATGACATTTCAAGTCTGGAAGTTCTCATCAATCAAAGAGGTATGATTATCAATCATATTAATTAAAAACTTCTCTACACCATGAAGGTGCAAATCACACCTAAGTTGATTTCTATACTAATTTAACAGATTAATGAAAACTGAAAAGTTACTCAGGTCTTGTTTAAATGGTAGCACAAACAAATGGTGGGTGTTTTTTTTTTACTTGAAGGATAAGATATGACATCAAAGTACTGTATGTAATACTGTGTACACAGATATAATAATAATTATATAAATATTCAAATCCAAAATCTTCAAATATATGCAACAAACAAAAGCAAAATTAAACATAAGGCACAGTGGGCCTGTTTCACTCACTTATTCTGTAGCTCATGAAGAGAATTTGGCAAATTTCATGTTTATTAGAAACTTAATAGTTATATACTTCCTTTGTAGTATATGTTACAAATGTAAAATTATTTAAACACTTAAAACGTTTTCAATATTCATTAGATATTTGTTAGAAATTTTGGTTCAATTGAATTTGTGGCCTTTTTTCAACATTTGTAAAAGGATGTAAATACTTGTGCAGCTTACATTGTCTTACAATCATAATCACTTGGTACATGTACTTGTCATGACACTGCTATAGTACAGACAATGTGTAAACATGCATGACCTATATTGTAGATGCAATGAGTACACCCTGTTATATTCCTATCTTATTCCAGCGATATTTCCTAAATATTCCTATTCAACCTCTTCATTTGAAGTACAAGTCACAGATATGTGCATAAGAGGGATAACTCTTGTTAGGTTCGGACATGTTTACAAAAATATTACATGAACAAATATGAGAACTATTCCACTTAAGTGGCATCAAGATATTTAGGCATTACCAGCTGAAAATGTCCAGACAATCACTGATGTATACACCAATGACAGACAGTTTTTGGAGTAGGCAAAATCAATTTTACAGGTTTAAGGAAAATAACATAGTTTCACATAAATAATATTTGCCTGTCTTACCAGTTACCACACTGTGGATTAGTTTAAATGACCTTGTGTATTCTACAGGAAATAGTCAGACTCTGATTATGACTAAAATATCAATAAACATTCTCATGTCACTATCATTCAAATTCCACTGATTATTGTTTGTTGACAGTTGTCATTCAGCTTTTTCCAATATTATCATACAGTATGTTCAGTCAACCGATCAATACACCTGTATACCCATTAAAGGTGCACTGTCCCAACAAACGCCGACGACTTGGAAGTAAAAGGAAGGGTTGTAAACGTTGGGACTATTTGTTCTAGTTAAATAGACTATGATAACCTAGAAAAACAACAAAAGTGAAGTAGATGTCAAAGCAAGCAGATTTATGTACTGTGAACAGATTTGTGATCCTTACACATATTTACTGCACGAATCATGTCTAACAAAGAGATATCACATAGGTTGTGTCTGTTTATCCATGTCCTCCATGGGTGGCCGGGTGGCTCAGTGTTCTACATATAACCATTATTTTCCTACTACTTGCCACAATGTCAAGTTCAAAACAGATACTTCAGAGATACTAGGTAATATACACTAATCAGGACCTGGTGTGGTATGGATTTGATATAACAAGAAATCCCAGAAAAATCTTGGTGCCCATCATTAATTGGGCGTCATTTGGTATTTTCCTTTCATGTTTATGCTGTTTATTCTATGAAATTTGAAAATTCCTCCAAAGAAATAGTGATAATAATCTTTAATTATGAAATCCAATATGGCTGCCTATCAGCTGTTTTGTTTCATTGATCTGTCACAAAATCTCAAGGGCATAACAAGGGACCAAGGGGAAACTATACATCAAATTTGGGAACGATCCATACAGCCAGTATATTCACTGTCAAATTACAAGATGGTCAACTGTCAGAATTTTTCTTCCATCAGTCCCAATATCAAAATGGCACAACTAGGAAACTGTGGAGATCTTACTTCAGAAAGATCCAACCAGTACTTCAAAGGAACCCGTGAAAACAAGAACTGTTGATTGACAGATGACATACCATGGATATAGGGTAAATTGAAAAGCCCCACATCTGATGACGGTTGGCAAAAAAATTAAATGCTCATCATACAACTTATTGAAATATTATTTCAATTAAAGAAAAAAAGTATTCTTTATATCTTAAGTAAAATTACCAAAGATATTGCTGAAATGAAATTTTTACTTAAAAAAAGAACAAACCCAGCTGTTTTGAAAATTCTTTACCTGCTGACAGGTATAAGCAAACAGACAAAAAATTACAGACATGTCCTACTCATTTATTACACCAATAATCCTTTAGACTCTTTCACTGTGTTTAACATGAATTGATGAACATTTGTATATAAGACATGAAATAACTGGACACCTCTGTCCCTAACAAGACCATGTAAAGGCATGCACAATCTTTTAAACAGTCGCTATGAATGATAAACATTTCTGCAGGGTATATACTACATACACAGGTGTATGGTCAATATCACGATATCAGTCAATGGACAAATGTTATGTGCTGACTTAAAAGATTTTTACTATCTTGGACGACCCCTAACTTGGTACTTGTGACCTAGGTATATATTGTAGGTGTAAGGTGTATATTATCATGGTACAGTAGTAAATACGGTCTACCTATGAAGGCTTAGTGACTCATCATCTGTCAATTTAACCCTCTGAGTGCTTTAGTGTCAACTAAAGTTTCTCCAAATAGAATTAGCATACTTTGAAGTTGGATGACAAATTTTTAATCAAACTTGTCTTATTGACCACTTGTCTGTAGTTATAACCTGTCTATAACAACCAGTGTCAGAGTACCCAATATTTTATTTACGTTAACAGTGTTCCATTTACTACCTTTTCAAAATGGCAATCTAAATGTCCAGCAGAAATCTGAGATTTACACAAATCTTTATTTAAGACAATCTGGAGATCAGTTATTACACTATATCATCAGCCTTCATTCATTAAACTTCATTATCTCAAAGTATTAATACTACTAATACATGTACACAGAAAAACTATCAGTGAATAAGTTTACAGTTTTGAATATTTCTAAATATGTGTTTTATATAAAAATGTAAACATGATGGAAAATGTCATACATATCAATTACTGGTACTATTGTTTTATTTACAAGTATTATCATACATGCTGCACATTCATTCTTTTTCTCTCTCTTAATTTTGTATATAGAAAGAAACTCAATGCTGAATTTGCTTGCAACATGACATCAAACCAGTACAACATAGCATAGAGTTCTTAAAAGATCCAAACATTGTCAAGACTTGGTGCCAAAATATAGCTATAGTCTCTATAGAACATAACACATGACTGTGCAAGAGCTGCTAAACTCTGATTACAACTGTGCCAGGTGACCTAAATGCTATAAACCGCACAATTTCTACATCTCAACATAATTCACATGATTTTTTTTCATGATCATCAGTAATGAACATCATTGTGACTATAAACTATTCATACCTCACATCTGACAAATTATAGGGTAATGATAGCTCAGTCAGTTCAGGTGTTAGCCTATGTAACACTAGGTAACGATTCCAGGTATGTGCTTCTGCACTCCAACCTGTGGCAGTTTTTTGTTTCACAGGAAGCCGAGATACATACTAGTCTGTGCTGATGAGATTGTGTCTTTAGGCCAGACTCTTAACCCTAATTGTTCCGATTGGCATGTGACAGGCCTCCAATATGTTGTTCAGTGGTAAAGCAGTAGCTATCAACTACTACAAACAGATCAAAATGACCATGGCGGTTCACCAGGTGATAAATTTGGTGAACAAACTAACAAAAAAAAAATAGCACAAAGGACAAGAAGCCATATGTGTCCAACTTTGGACCCCTTGGTTGCTTGGAAGTTGTTGTGAGGTTTTAAAAACGTTTATCACATTTGACCTATGACCTATGACCTTGAAAATGGGTCAATGTCATTACACCAGCATGTTCCGGTTGTGAGTAAGTATCAAGACCCCTGACATTTTCATTATTATATTTTTTCAAACAAAATCACTTGCAAACACTGCTATAGCTGAGCATCACGACCATTTCTCTTATCAGAAAAAATTGTTTGAGACTTTGAAAGTGGGTCAAGGTCATCCTTTACAGCAAACTTTGCTCTTGATTTCAGTATGCTATTTACTCTAAACCTTGGTTATTGAGAAGTTGCTAAAGGAACAAACTGAATCCAAACTGACAGATATGTATGCTTGTATAAGATTGTTTGCCCTTTGGGCACATAAAACTATTTGACCCAATATACCAATACTAACGCTAGCTTCTGGCTACAGCAGCAGGTGCATTGGAAAAGCATTTGTTTATATACATTGTCAAAAACAATAATCTGACACATTTAAATTATGCTCCCAAAACAACATGAAAATGAAGCAATAACTCTCCAACTCTTTACAATTCACATATCTTTTAATATGTATAAAAAACTTTAAAATTAATCCAGTTTGCCGATATTTGAATTGACAGTAAAACTTGAGATAACTGGTTTTATTCAAAACTTTCGAGAGGATATCACACCTTTCATGGGAAGGTATAATGATGCTCAGTCAAACTATTATTCACATAATTTTAGCTGAAACCCACAGGAGATATGAATTCTCCTCATCTTCAAACACAAGTATGTTAACATTAAATTACCTCTACAAAATATTCACCACACAAATAAACATGTTTAAGAGTTCCTGTAACAGCTTCTATTTTGTGATATTAATTGTGGTAAGACAATGACATATGCATCATATTTTGTAAGAATTTAACATGCTGGTGAAAGTAAATATACGGAACATGTTATTAGATGCAAATAATACCTAAATAAAACACTATATCTTGCTGGCATTTTTTGACTCTTCACCAAAGCCCATGAATTTTACTATGGTCATCTTAGTTTAACATAAACCTATCAAATAGTCACTCAATTATATATATATATATATATTATATAAAAAACTCAGACTGTACTTACGAAAGAAATCCTTCTTGGCTAAGTTTTTGGCACATAGTACTGAAAAAAGAAAAGTAGCATAAAAGTAGTTACTTCAAAGGAAAGGAGCCAACGTCAGATGTGAATAAGAGGGTATTAGGTGGGTACTTCTCTGTGAATAAGGATACCATGGGTATGGAGGGCGATTAAACAAAGACTAAAATTATATGTTTGATGAAGATATTAATCACAACATACTCAAATGTTACCAGTTAAGTGTGGTTTTTATTCTGTCTGCTAGTTTTGCCTCTATCACAGAGGCTTCATCATAAGAGTAGTTAAAGACAAGATTCATGTTAATTCATACATAACAGATACAAGCTTATTCTATTTTACAAAAGCTATGTTTTATAATGTTATTGTATGCAGAGGGACATAAGGTTTAAATGTGGTAAGAACTGATATCAGAGAAACCTGAAAATTGTATCCTTTATGGTCTTGCAATTGAACATGTTATCAATTAGCCCTCGTCTAACTTGGTAGAATGTGAGATTGAGAGTTCTATTCACTGCATGTATATCTTATCCATCTCACAAAATACATACATTACCATTCTACTTAACTGTTAACTTTTTTTGTTCAACCAGGAATATCTGTATTAGATTTGTACACATAATTATCCATCAACATAAAGAACAAAAATTCAGTCAAAGTGACAACACTGTGCATACCTAGAAGACTATATATCTCGCATGTGGAATGGGGTCCAAATCAATAATTGTAATACAATCTTCATATTGGCATGCCGACTTGAAGGTACCTCACATCCTTATACTAACAATCAGCTCAAAATGAACCAGATGACTGAGATATAATTAAATTCAGTGATGGCAACAACTCACCCATGGAACAAGACATGAAATGTGTGAGTAACATTTTGGAAGAAAGTGAACATTAAGATAAATACCTACATTTTAGGAAATATATTTACATTAAAATAGCCTTTAAAACGTATCACAACTGAAACATATTCAATCTTTCTTCTATGTTAGCTTACAGACCTGTAGTACAGTGTTAGAAATTAACACTGGATATCAATTTCCCTCTATTATCAGTCAGCCACCGTCAAACCTCGCATATTCATACATAAAATAACTTGACAATTGATCGAATGGTCACGACTCTACCTAACGTATCGAAATAGACTGTAATGTTTGACGAAATGTGCCGATAACGTGACCATTTAAACATATTTCTTCACTATTGACGGGTTGGGACAAGGCAGCCATATTTATTTTGGGTTGGTTCTTTACAATGGACCAGCGTTACAAAACTGCGTTTTTCTCTTACAAATTGGTCAATTTTATAGGCCTGTGATCAATACCTGTTAAGCGAATTTTCATTGTAGATTGTCCATGTCGCCTTGATCCGTTGCTAGCCATTGCTCCGTATCATACTCATGATATAAACAGTATCATCCATTCATTTGTTGTCTTTGAGGAGAAAGCACCAGTTCGACTCTCATATGCAAATTAGACAAGAACAGATCAACTTCCGGTATTGGGTAATCATTATCAAGATATCTTCATCAATCCGTAGTATTTGATGACACTTCATATGACGATTTTGCACATCATAACGACAACAATTTTTCTCAACGTAATACCCAACTTTTCAAAATAATTTTGAAATGCTGAATGAGAAATATGCACCATTTTCTTTATTTACAAAGTGATCCCGCATACCGGATGTGACGTTGTCATCATGCTCTCTTCTTGATGCATAGGGGTGGGGGAGGAGGGGATTAAACGGGAAGGAACAGAGGAAGTGACATTACTACTATTTACTTTACGCTATCCAAATGACGAAAGTTAATGTCAGCGGTAATTTTGTTCTGTATTTGGTTCATAATTTTCTTTTATAATTTACTATATTTATATATCGATTAGTGAGCGATTTCCTTTTGATAAAATTGCGTGTGTGTATAAAATCATAAAATAAATGGCTTATACAAAAAAAAGTGCCACAAGCGCTTAAAGGATCATCCTTGGGTTGTAAGTTGTCTAAAAAGCTTAAACAATTTGAAAATTAAGTGTTTGGGACGGTATCCAATATCTTTCAAATAACAATAAACGATTAAAGTTTTGAAGCATCGTTGCGCCTGATATGTTTGTACTTCATTGCACCCGATAGGATTTTTTCTAAGCAGCGCGCGAAAAAAAAAATACATTCCATTATGTTCATTAAAGTATGAGTTTCAATATTGGATGTACATATTGAGACGAGAATGTTATTTTTAAAAGTCTATTTTTAAAGTAGATCCGTTTTGTACCACACAAAGAAATCGCATGCTGATATTATTTTTTATGTGTGTTTTGTTTTCAATTCATACTTTTCTCAAGAAAATATGTAAACACAACATTAATTAAAGCCTATGCTTCGTAGACACCGAATATTACCCGGGGTACATTTATGATAATGAACGAGGTTATACTTATTTCTTCAATGCGTACCTCATCCATGACATTTCAATGACAAAAAATATATGTAAACATATATGTGTATACATGCCTCCAAAATGCACTGTTCAAAAGGGAGATCTAAATAGGAACAGGTTGTTAAAAAAGCATCATGTGTCAGACAGAGGAGGATGTAGCATTAGTAGAACCGGAAATAATACAGCATTTAAATATTTGCCGATGCTAGGATTAAGTACCAGCCGGAAGTAATGATCGGGGAGTGTCAAGCTTAACCTATCAAATTATAAAACACAAAAAATTATGTGTACATTTACCGAAAATTGTCATTTACCGGTATTACGAATTTTCGGTATATTCCTACAATAAATGATTGGAGAGGACTTAGAATCGTGAAGAGTTGAGTGGACATGGAGATTACAAACGCCATTCTCACTGTCAAAGTTCGAAGGAATTATTAATTTCTTATTAGAATTGGAATCGTTCATTATCCTCTCAAAATAGAGTCTTTTAAGATTGCTAAATGTAATATGGCACGTGATATGACAACAGTTTTCTTCGGTGAACCACTGAGCTTTCTGTCGACGATTAAAACACCCGTTTTTTGTGTCTGCGGGAGGCTCCCAGTTCCCATCGAACCCTTAACATGTTAGTTTCCTGTCCCTCCCCATCCTATATCCTATGCTTTCAGTATGAAATTGAACAGGACGCCGCAGACATTAGAGATTAAATCATTATCGTCTTTATTCTCTCGTACACATCCTCCCCGCTTACTCGGCGTTTTCCTTGTCCATCTCGGCTTCGTGTCCCCCTCCATCCACCCTTTAGTGTTATATAAACTTCGTAAAACAGCTGAATTAAACCTCATAAATTGATATTTATATATATTCTCGTCATAAAATGCATTCAGGTTAGCAATGATATAATTCGGGCCAGATGAATACCATGTAATAGATCAGAGTTGTCAAAGGCCTTTATGGGGCACTGTTGTAGGGAGCTTTCCCTCACATTTCTCTCATTTGCCCTTGAAATTATTCTAGGTCCTCATCAACATTGTTTCAGTGACTACTTATGATTCGCGTGATTTGTTGCTCTGCGAATTTCTTCAGTGAAAGCATTGACCATGCGTGTGTGTGTCACGGTGGGGTTGGGGTCGGGCATTCATCAAGCTTATCCGCCGTAATGGAAAGCATGTAAGCCCATTTTCCAATTTTCTTCACACTTATACAATATTGATTTACGTGACATTTATTTCTGAAAACCAGAAAAAGCTTTATATCTCAAGCAAGGAAATACATATGTGGATGTTGGTTTATCTTCCACTAAATGCTCTCGCCGAGTCATCACAAATCACTCGATGTATTTATGAGGATTTTGGCGGGGAATTATGCGGCATGTGAGGGAATTTTCTTTCGAGAGCTTCTTAGGATCAACGACAAAAATAGAATATTGTCGTAATGACGCCTCAATATATATTGAAATGTTTAACCTCTTAGCTAATAGCTATGTTAGCGATGACGGAACTAATCCCCAATCTAGTAATTAAAGATCTTAAGCGAATCACACGCGTAAAACGTAATTACCATTTAAATGAGGGCAATAGAGCCAACTCGTGCAAATCTACTGGTTCTTTGGGAGGGTGTGTGTGTGTGTGTGTGTGTGTGTGGGGGGGGGGGGGGGTTCATTAAATGTGGTGGTACATAATATACAGAAAAATTAAAGACAAATATGCTATTTGAACGCATAATAATATTGGCTTTCAAGGGAATTTAGTTTAAATCGATATTGTAACAGTGGAACATCTGATCACTTTACTAGATTTCAAACTTATTTCACCTCAAACCATACAGAATGTGTTAAGTGAGTGCGTTTTTTATTATAGATCATAAGGGTCACGTGAGTTTATGTCGTCAACTTTTTCTTTTAAACAACTTCATCTTAATAACCGATGTACCAAATGCTTTGATATTTGACTGGTTCCTAGGATGGAGCCCGACAAAGTTTGTGAAAAGAAATGACATTGACCTATATTTAAGGTCACAGGGGTCAGATTTGTTCAAATATTAAAATGACTTCTTTTCGTGAACTAAAAGGCCCAGAGGCATGATATTTGGCTGGTATGTACCTAGGATGAAGCCCGACAAAGTTTGCGAAAAGAAATTACTTTGTCTGATATTCAGGGTCACAGTGGTCAAATGTGTGAAAACCTTTAAACTACTTCTTCTCGTGAACTAAAACGCTTCAATTGGTATGAACAGAGACGTATATACGTGTTATACACGTTTCTGGTATGAATGATGTTCAGCAGTAAATACTATTACTAAGTTTGCATACTTACATATCTTCTAGCCTTCTCATACTCAGATTTACCATTAAGGCCCATCTAGAAGTTGTGTTTGTTAATTTATATAATAAAAGGTGTACCCCTAATTTAAAAGTTCATTAAATGAATTTGAAGAAATAAAAGATATACCCGGTGAGTGCTTCAGGCCCATTAGACTTCTTGTATTTATTGTCAGTGCGATTTCGATATGAGAGAGACCTATTTTTTGTCTTCATATCCAATTTGATTAACTTTGGGAAGACAAGAGCGTGGCATAACAGGTTATATAAATAGTTTTGGCTTAGGGCACATTGGCCATTCTATCATAACTATATGACATTCCTGTAATTGTCAGTTGGTATAACCTGTTTTTTTTTTTTATAAGATTTTAACCTCAGGGAGGGCCATCATAACCAGGCATGCACAGTTTATGACGTTTTGAGTCGGCGTCATTGAAACACTTAACAGAATGGGGAGGCGTGACATTTATCCAAGCTTTCGTGTCACTAAGATTGATACATACTTTCGCGCCAACATGGACGATTCTGAAAGGTACACAAACATCATAACTGGTAAATAATATCACCAACGGATGCTGTTTACTTAGATGCCGATTGGCATTATTAATTCCGTTAGGTTATTTCTGTCGGTTACATATGAACAATTACGATGCACATGTCGTTTAGATGTCGTAGTAATTTTGTCGTTCAGTTCCAAGCCAGAGATGAGGGTCTTGGTAACACGGATATGATATCTTGATTGGGCTTATTTGTGAATGTATGCTTTCGATGATTTACAATTCATTAGCATTTGGTTATGTATGTATATATGTCGTTTCGGAATGATAATAACTTATAACCATGGTTACCACTGTCAGAAAGCTTTGAGAAATTTATGATCAGTGTTTATGAACACGCATTCGTTGTAGGTCTCATTATTAGAGATCTGATATAATACTATCAACAAGATATTTATTTTGATTGCATATAATACATGCAATAAGTAGAATTCATGTAGGATTAAACGTAATAAGTTTTATCATTAAGGTCCCGATTGTGAAAAGTTAAATTTATATCAAAATATTGTGATGATGTGAGAGCTTTTAAAAGTTGTGAATGGATGAAGCAGATATGTTCTATCAATGTAAATCACCTTTATATCTATACATGACTGTTGAAAATTTTCTTGCAGTTATGTGTAATTAAGGAAGGTTGGTCCTTTTCCCTTGGCAATTGCCTCGTCTAGATCAACGTTTATAAATTCATGTTGGACAATTGCAATGGCTGAAGACGTAACAGAAAAGGAACATGTGCAGGTAAAACTGAATCAAAGAATGTGAATGTGAAGCGTTTTGTACAAGTTGGGGGGAATGGATACTATGCACCAAAAGTATCTTATGAAGCAACAAATATGAATGATCAGTCCTCTTTTATTCAGATAGTTTCTTTAGTACTGACTTGAAATTAAGTCGGATGTAATTCAGTATCTGGAGCCACATTTACTTGTGTTTTTTTATTTTCTTAGCTACTTCTGGTTTTTGACAAACATATGGCTAAGTAATGATAGTTTTTCACTTCCTAATTGTAACATAATACTTCAAAAAGTTTCAGCACTCTGGGTTAAAGCATGTTAGAAAGGTCGTAGAAATGTTAATTTGAATCTGACCAGAGGAATTCAAATTAAGAGGTTGTGTTTATTTGTATTTGCTATGTGTTTTGTTCACATGTGCTGATTTTAATAGTTGGAATATTTTCTGCAGATTTCCAATGAATTGCTGTCTCCACAAAAGTCAATTCTGGATTTCTTCAAATCCCCTGACAAACCCAAGTCTGCCAAGAAGCCTGTTAGTCTTATTTCCTACTTTGGAACTGCACAGCAGAGGGAAGCAGAACAAAAACAGGTCTTTAATCTTGTATATATATAACTGTTCATATATTCTTCACATTGTTTTCTGTAGTAATTGATACATTACCTCACATCTTTGAGACAGACCTTTGAAAATAATAAAATATATATTGTTGAAGGAACATTACAATAAAACAGTCATTACAAGAAATTGATTGGACATATGATTAACACACCAAATGTTGTGTTTAACCGCTTTCTAAACATTCCTAATCTAACAGGAATGTCCAGTTTGACCAATCAGATTGTTCTGGAAACCCCTCTAAACATAGCAGTGGTAATATGATTAATACAGCTAAACCCAGAATGAGACACTGTTAGAAAGAAGTAATTTGCAGTGACTAAACACACGTTTTGCTATGGAATGTAATTTTCCAAAGAATATTGCACTTGGTTTATAACAACTTAAACTTGATTAGGTATACTACACATATTTTGCTGTTTGAAATCTTTCTATTCTATCTGTTCAACTTTCTTCCTATCCTGATCCACAGATTATCCAAGCCTTATCTGACAACTTTTCACTTTGTATGTAATATAATTGACGTTTCTGTTCGCAGTGCACCATATTATTTACATTATTGATTTATGTTCAGCTTTTGTTGTATAGAAATTTCCTTTATATCGTTGACAAATAGTGATTCCAATGGACCTGTACTACATTTGATTATGGTTTTTGATGAGGGGAAAAGAAAGAAAGAATGACTTTACCTTGTTGTCCCTTTGATATGTGATAGATAATAAACATTCTTTCCTTTATGTTACAGCATGAAAGCTTAAATGGAATAGAAAAACTAAATGGAAGTCATAGTGACAAGAATGGTGAAAAGGGACCTGGCAAGAAACGCAAACAGAAAGACAGAGACACAGAAAAAAATGGAGACGATTTTGAGGAAGAGCAAAAAAGTAAAGGAAAGAAGAGAAAGATGTGCAATGAGAATGTGAAACTGTCAATGAAGAAAGAAGAGAAACAGAAAGATGAAAAAGATATTTCTAGTATGGAGAATTCTAGTTTAGTGAATGGCAATGTTGACCACGGTAGTTTTGTTGATGAACTTGATTCAAAGTTAAAAACAAAGGATGGAAAATGTAAAGACAAGAAAAAAGCACTTCAATTTGTTTGTGAAGATGGAATGGTCGGCGCCCAACAAAATGAATCCAATTTTGATAAACAGGAAGTCAAAAGTACAAAACATTGTACCGAGAGTGCTGCACAAGAAAGCGAGGAAAAAATGGAAGAAAAAGAAACCGTTTCTGAAATGTGCTATGAAGATTTTATCAAAAGTTTAGGTAATGATGTTTCTGAAACTGACAATCACAAAGACACAGAATCTGATGTCCCTGAAGAATTAACAAAAGACAAAATAAGAGAGGAACATACAGAAGAAGAAACTGAAAGTAAAGACACATACAAAGAAACTGAAAGTAAAGAAGACCAGTACATTAAAAACTATCCAACTATTTCCAATTTCTTCAGTAAAGTTGAAAAAACCCATGCATCAGTTGATCCCACTGACCCAAAAGTTCTTGGAAAAGTGACTGTCAAAGTGGATATACATTCTGAACCATCACCAAATAACAACATACTTGCCAATCATGTACAGATTAAATCACCGCCACTTTTTACAAAGAAAGATGAAGAAGAGATTGAAATCATTAGCTCAGAGACCATAACAATAGATTGTACACCTTCCAGTAAAAAATCTTTATTTGGAATGAAAACCGATCCCACTGATGATATAAGTTGTGAGAAATTAGAAAGCAAAATGGAAAGTTTGTCGTCCTGTGAGGACAGCTGTATGTCCGAGGATAGTAGTGTGTGTATTGTTGAAGATGTGGAAGATGTTAGCATTTTGGAAAGGAAGAAATGTTTTCTTCAGAGTGCCACTGTGCCCGAGGTACCAGCTAAAACTACTCAAGTTACCCTCAGTTTCTCTAAGGCTGGGCAGAAACCAGTGGTAAGAGTTTGATTTCTAGGTTATATTGCTTATATTGTTATCAGTCAGTTTTATATTCACTGATTAATAATTTATGTTTGTAGTCATAGAAGACAGTTAAGATATCTGGAGCTTATTTTTGGTTTACTACTGGGCCATCAAGCCTTATATATTCTGTTCATGAAATACTGTCAAGTTATTTTAAAGGCACTGGGAAAATGTCGAATTACCTGTATGGCTTGTTAAAGAATTAATTATTGCTTAGTTGAAGCATACCTAAATATGGTAACGTCTATCAATTACTGATACTCAAATTTATTCAAAATTGAAGGGAAGTATGCATTTCAACTGGGCATCAATAATTACTGATACTGCGGAGTGCAGGTGAACTCTCCCTTTTATGCTTTGTTTGTATTGGAAACCATTGATAGTAAATTGATTAAATTTGATTATCCTTGTCAGAAACCAACACACTCCACAAGAGTCAGGAAAAAGGACCATCCTAGCACTGACTTGGCCCCTGTGTTTGACAGTACACCTGATAAAAAGTGCAAAGTCTCCAGGAAATCTAAAAAGGCTTGTAATTTAGATGATGATAAAGAGAACAAGAAAGATCAAGGTGCTCCGGATAAAGCCAGGACTCCCCTCAGAAAGGTTACGAAGGAAAAAGTGAAGAAAACATCAGAGTCCGAGAAAGTGAAGGATGGAATAAATGAACGCAGGTCTTCTCTTCGGTCCCGGTATCGAGTCGCAATCATTGGTGCTGATGATGAGAAAAAAACGCCCATCAGAATGAAATTTAATAGGTGAGACTCAGAAACTGAATGCCTCAAAGTTTAGGATTAGTATTTAAGTAAACTTAAAACTTTTATTGAATTTTGTCCCCATCCAGTTATGTTGCTACTGATGAGGATTTTAGAAGCAATACCTCTTTAGCGAACTCGTGGTTCTCATGTCCATGTCATGTTGACAAGTGTGACTATATTTCTTTGCAAGCTTTGGCAAAACTAAGTGTAAAATCAAGCATGAATATAGAATATACAAGATTTCCTATTTCAGGAAGTAAGAATTAAGGCCATTGTTGGTTAGATTTATAGGAATTTGTTTTATCCAACAATGCAAGGCACTAACTCCATGTTAGCGAGGGCATTAAGACAAACATTTTTGTCTTGAGTTATAGTGTATGTATTGTTTGGAAAATGTTGCTCTTTTCTGTTAATTCATAAAGCAATGAATGATCTTAGTTTGATAAGTACTAGAGAGAGAAGATTGTACTTTGCTAAAACAATTTCTTTATAATATTTTAAACTCTGAAATGATTGATATCTTTCACACAGGTACAGCAAGAGTAGTAGCAGTGGAGTAGATGAATGCGACAACTTCACACCCCGTAGTTCCAAACAGTCAAAGGTAAAACAAACAAAAATCTATGTTTTGTATGAAAATAAGAATTTTGACCTAATATCATGTAATCATACATATGAGGTCATATGGTGGCAAGCACAGGCCTGCTTTTGCCGATTTTGTAGAGCCAATGATGAAGATGGAGACCTGGGTTTGACACCTGTCAAGGATTAGTGACAGCAATGTAGTTTCCCTGTTTTCCTTCATTGTAACATTAGTATGCATCATCTTATGTCTCCATTATTGGGAAAATAAAGTGATAGTTCACAAAATTTGGGATGAATTTCTAGATCTTCATTTATTTGGGTCTGGTAAAGAACACACCTTGAGTTAGGCGAAACACTCTTACTTTGCTTTTAACTTTGTAAAACAGAGTAATTTCTTTTCAGAGTTTGCAGTTAGGTTTATTCAGATCAGTATTCTACTTAGAAAACTCATTAAAATTTAGAATGAACCAATGTTTGAAGCCTCCCAAAAAATTTATTTTTGTAATAAATACACAAACAGATTACGAAGAGGCTGAGTAATACAGCCTTAAAAGAATCCTGACTTTAAAAAAAAAAACCAGCAAAAAACAATCTCTATTAGATTATCAGTTTTATGCTTTTTGGTTAGTGTTGACAATAGAAACACTGTCCAACATAATGATAAGTGTGAGGGTGGAGGTATTACTGTTTTACCAAACATGTATATATTATGGAATGTTTGATTTTGCTTGATTTTGTTTCATTCAGTGTTGTATCTCCAAACTGTTTGTGAAATTTTGTGGAATTTTCTTCTTAATCTATATAAAATAAATTATGAGCTACTCTGAATTGATAAAGAAAATCATTGAAAATCAGATTCAGAAATTAATTTAATCAGTATTGTTATCTGGAATCATGACTGTTGCCAAAAAATTGTAGAAAGAGTTCCTCATCGATTCAGTTCCAAAATTTACTTTTGATATACAATGTGGTTTGTAAAAATATAATTGAGATTTTTGTCTTTCAAAACAGAAAACCAAGTTATCAAAAGCAAAGGAACTACTACAGAAGGCAAAACGTAAAAGTAGCAAGAATAATAAGATCCAGAAGTCCAGAAAGCAGTCTAAAATGCATGCAGAGAGTGAAAAGGAATTGTCAGATGATGCCAAACCTGTTGGTAGGAGACGAAGCTCAAGACTGTCAGATAAATTCTCAAATGAATCTGTAGTTATTGTGGACAGCAATGGCAGCGGCGATGAAGTAGATGGTTGTAGTGTCAAAACTCCCAAGGCCAAGAGTAAAACAAAAACAAAAGGCAGCAAATCTACTCCAGCCAAGTGCACACCCAGTAAAGGTACTCCTGCCAAGTGCAAAAAGACTCCTTCAAAAAAGTCAGGTTGGTTGCTATTAATTTTAATAAAGGTTTTAGTGTGAATTATTTGTTTAGTAGCTAAAGATAACAGGAAGTCTAATTGGGATTTGATAAAGTAAGAAATTTGATTTCTCCATGATGTGCTGTTGACAAATTTTAGAAATTTTGTGTTCCAAATCACCTTAGTGTGTAAGCAATACAACTCTGGAAAGAATAATTGTTAAAGAAGTTATGCTTTTTGCTGATGTCTTCAGAGGATAAAAATCAACTTTGTGAAGTGTTCAAGGCAAAACATTCTGTCCCCATGTGTTTTCTGATTTCTGAAAGGACACAAATATTGTTTGTGTGTGAAAAAGAAATTAGCAAGACACAAACTTGAAAACCTATGCAACAGATGATGATCAATAAACACAATAATCTGAATAAGGCAATATTCATTTTACTTGATGAACAGGTAAGCTAGCCTCAATATTCTTGAGTAGAAAAGCAGCCAAGGAAGAGAAGAAACCTGCTGTAGTATTAGATACTGAGGCTGAAAAATTAAAGCGGGCTTTTCTGATGAGTGGAGTTCCAGATGAGCTGCGACGTCAAGTTGTAACAAGTGATGTTGTAATTGTTGAGGATTACCCGCCCCTTCCTATTGACAATCACACCCAGCAGAGTGAACCAGAAAGGGCAAATAAACATGGTATCAAAGTTTGGGATCTCTTAGATGTCACTCTACCCAAAATTGGCACAGACATCAAGAGTCTTCCTTACAGGCCTGTGGAATGGAGACAGGATCTCATTGGCACTCATTCAAACATGTCTGACTGTAGTAGGATAAGGGTAGGTCTTTTAAAGGAATTTTTATCTCATAGACAAATAATAATTCATGATTATGAATGACTAAATAGATGTTAAAATTAAAAAATTAACTATCTGCATTGTGTTGAATTTTGGCCAGTCATATTTTTGTTAAGTTTTAATGCCGATTTTGATTTTATGATTTTAACAAACTTTCACCTTTTCAGTTTCTGTCCTTAAATTATCTGTGTCTACAAAATTTTGCATGTATAGTCAAACTATTATCAGGCTAAATGAAAAACTCAGTAAGCCATATGGTACAGAATTGGATGGAGAGAAAAGTTTTCTGCCTTAGGAAGCAACAGGTCAATTGGTTTAGTATTTGTATTGATATTGTATCTCATGTTTTGTAGGAATTCCAAAAACATCCCAGGATTGAAGATGGAGATGTTGAGAAGATATTAGCAGAGATATCATCCTACTGTCCTACCTATCCAGTCAGCAAGGTGTTTTCTGTCCTCAAGATGAAGAGGGATGACTTTGAACAAGAAGGTAATAAATCGTCTTTTAATGTCTTATCCATGGCCTTGTAAGGTATGTAACAGTTTGAAAAGAATCTGTTTCTGATTATCAATGAATTTGTATACAAATACTTAATCCAAAATCAATACATCTGTGATTTTGATTAATCATTATTTTGCATGAATAAGATACTTTCTTTCTTGTTATAAAATTGGGGTTTTTTTATTGTCTTAAAACATTTATGAAAATCTTTCATGGAATTGAACATATGAATTCTTCAGTACTTTTTCTTGTCTTTGAATAACAACTCTTGCACTTGTTTTAATTTTAGCCAAGGAAGCTGAACAGTTGGATAAGAAAACAGCCTCTGAAGAGAAAAGTGAGAAAAAGGAGAAGGCAGCACCTCGGCGAAGTCTTAGGAAGCGTGTGAGCCTTGAACTACCACAGGTTGTGGAGTTGGGAGGAAGTCCTCCCCTCTCCACCACAGGGGATACACCATCCTCTGAGGACCCTGTCAATAAACAAGAAACAGGTTTGTCATTGAAGGTTTTTTTCCCCCAGAACTAAGAATGTTTTGGTTTCACTAAAAAGTTTGATGTAATAAGGATTTAATGTTCTAGGGTAGGCTAGGGGAGTCATGAATTAGACTACTGTTTGATTCTCTTAGAATAGTGAAACATTGATAACAAAGACAACAACCTTTTCAGCTTTACATTTTATGTACAACATTTGTCCTGAACTCTTCAGCAGCTGAAGTTAACTTTTGGTGGTCTTTGGTCAGGGTTACTGATAAAAAGTTTAAAGGTCACCTTTGATCACAGATGTCTTGTTAAGCCCTTAACAGATTAAGTTCATGTTAAAACTAAATTTTACACCTGATCAGATTTTTGTCAGTATCAGTTCAGGGTAAAGGTCACACTTGCCTATGCAAATAAAAACTTCGGGTACAAGATACCTTGTGAACCTTTCAACAAATTTATTACATGTTTGATAACATGAACTTCTAACCTTTCCCAACCAATTTCTTTAGTCTTTATTTTTAAATGTAAGAAGTAAAAAATTCTGGATAATTTTCATTTAGACAAATCTTAGCTGTTGATGAAAATGCTGAATTAGGATTCTAAATATTTTCACAGTTTCAAATGAAAAAATTACAATTTCATAACTGGTGATATTTGTTTCTGCGTAGTACCGACAGTAAACTGGACAGACAAGTATCTTCCACTGCATTCATCAGAGGTTGTGGGTAACACAGCAAAGGTGAAAAAACTGCAGAGCTGGCTGGTGGAATGGAAGCAGAGACTGGATAAGGAGGCTCGCAAAGCCAAGAAACTACAACTGAAACAGAACAAAGGCAAACAGAACAAGGACTCTAGTAAGAATTATGATAATCTCTTGATAATACGGGAATTATCAATTTGATAACAACTTATATCATCATTTCAATGACACCCAAGTGATGATTTAAGAAACTTTTCCAGTGATGATGTAACTTTTGTAGTTTTGACCAATCAGAGAAATGCTTTCTAGTCATTGCATTTAAATTTGACGATTTTCCTGTTTCGACACAAATGCAGTGAAGGTTGGAAGACATTTTTTTTTATCTAATTTATACCTTGTATATTTAAGGTTTTGTCAAATTTGGTATAGAAAAGTAATGTCTTGATCAATTCTAATAGATAACAGCATAAAAATGGTAGAATACTCATTCACAATGATGTTGTCTTGTTGTCGAGCATAAAATCAAAATGTGATCTCAAAGAATATTTCCGGCATTAGTTTCTTTTCTGTCTAGATTGAACCAATTGTTTTCCTTCACTTTGACAGATGTTCAGCTTAAAGCAAGAGTAATGTATTGTCATAATTGATATTTGGAATGACCATTTAAAGACCACTGTAACAGGGCATCGGGTACCATTCTTATGCTTCATCTGTAGGGCAGCAGTACAATGTATGATGTCATCTGGATAAGAGAAGCTAGCAAGATAAGACTTCGTTGTTTATGAGAGTATAGTGATCCCATATAGGCTGTAAGTAAGAATGTTTTTTCCTGTAATTGCAGGTAACAGAGATGACTGGTGGGATGATGATAGTGACTTTGCCTTAGACAGCGATGACAGTGATGAGGAGGAGGATCGCCTCTGTAACACTTCCTTGTTGTGTGGACCTAGTGGTATCGGTAAAACAGCTGTTGTCTATGGGCTAGCACATGAGCTAGGCTTCAAGGTAAGAAGCTGAGGTTCATTTCTGATTTAGATATACAACTTTTTGTATTTATTTGAATGTGGTAAGTAGATGTAAATTGCATTGAAATGAAAAATAAATCTGGAATATGCTCAGTATTTTTTTTCTTTCAACTTCTTGCAATGCAGGTGTTTGAAGTAAATGCTTCATCAAATCGAAATGGAAAGCGGATCCTGGCACAACTACAGGAAGCAACACAGTCTCATCAGGTGTCTCGGGGGACTGACACACCCACAAAATGTCCACCCTCAAGTGAGTGATTGTATTTGTAGTTTATGATCTTGAAGGCAGAAGCAGATTCTGAAGTTTCCTGTGACAAAGTAACAAAGTTTCTTCATTATAAAACTCGAATATTTGATTTTAAAAAAATCAAATTTTTACACAGGGATATATCTATTTATATACTTTTAACATAGGAAATACAATATTTCAAGTGTAGAAATTTCATCAGGAAATGAATTTTTTACTTTTATTATTAGTCAAATTAGCTATCAAAAAGTCACATCTGCCAATAATTCAAAACTTTTTAAACATTTATAGACAATAAAATGGAAACAAAATATTTTTAAAAAATTTTCAGAAACAGCACATGCTTCACAGCCAAATGCAAAGATGCCTTCAGCATTTTCAAATTTCTTCAAACAAACATCTTCAAACTCCTCCAATAAAACTGCATCTGGAAAAGAAGGAAAAGGGAAGGGGAAAAGTGACAAAGAATGTGGTAAGCTGAAGAAACGCAAGAGAGATTCAGAAATTCCAGAAAATACGGACAAGAACACTCCTATAAAGAAAAGTAAAAAGAAGTCTGACTGTACTGTTCCTACTGATCCCAAAGCTGATGGCAGTCTCAATTTGTCCAGTACATCTCTCATTCTGTTTGAGGAGGTATGTGTGAATAACTGTGGGCTGGATACTGTTAAAAATGATGTTTAACTTAACAGCACATTTCTGTTTGAAGGTAGCTTGTTGGATTTAGAAGGTTGTAGGAGAGTGTTCATTTTCCCATGTCAGTCTTTCATGTTCTAATTTGTCAAAAAATCATGAGAACTTTGTAATTTCTTGACTTCACTTAAAATACTTGCATCATCTGACATTTACACTTATACATTATCTGCATAAGACATGCATGATCAGATTAAACTAGTCCTTCATTAATTGAAAAATGGGTTTTACTAAGAGCACATGCTCAATTAATACTTACATACATAACTATGGATGAAAAAGATGACATAGAATGATAAGGTAGTCACAACTGAATCTTAATCAATTGTAAAAATCATCAAATGCATGAAATTTTAATTAATGAAGTCACCTGACCAGAAAAACAGAATTCCAGTTACCCTAGTAGGTGACCATCTGAGATTTTGACTGTGAAAGTTTGCTATCACTATTTCTTGAGAAGTACTTAATGGGTTTTCATCAAATTTCTTATAAAGGTCCCTATTTGTGCCCCTCTGATTTTGGGATTTATCAGAAAAACAAGATGACTGACAGGGGGACCATATTGGGTTTGGCAGATTATTTTTGTTATTGTGTTAAAGGGAATTTTCAAGAAAAGGGAAAAATGAAGTGTTTAGAGAATAAAGACTATATGATGTTGGGCATCAATATTGCTATGGGATCTCTTGTTATTTGCAACACTATGAGTTGAATTTCTTGTCAGCTGTTACGATAAGGACCATCTATATCTGTAGTGTAATATAATAGTGTAATAATGTCTATATCTGGTATGATATGATAGTGTAATAATGTCTTTATCTGTAGTATAATATAATAATGTAATAATTTCTATATCTGTGGTGTAATATAATAGTGTAATGATGTCTATATCTGTAGTGTAATATAATAGTGTAATAATGTCTATATCTAGTATGATATAATAGTGTAATAATGTCTATATCTGTAGTGTAATATAATAGTGTAATAATGTCTATATCTGTAGTGTAATATGATAGTGTAATAATGTCTATATCTGTAGTGTAATATGATAGTGTAATAATGTCTATATCTGTAGTTTAATACGATAGTGTAATAATGCCTATATCTTTAGTGTAATATAATACAAATACGCTTACAATATATTGGAGATGTTCCAACTTACATTTGTTTGTTAATTTTTCTACAGATAGATGTAGTGTTTCCTTCAGACCATGGATTCTGGGCAGCTGTACAACAATTTATGGCTACTACGAAGATTCCCATCATACTGACCACCAGTGACACAGGTCTGGTCAATAAATTTGATGGACGGTTTGACCACTACCGGTTCAAGACGCCACCTTATGTAAGATGGAAATCCAATTTGTACTCTTTCATGTAGTAATTTGCAACCACATAGATATTTTTTTCTGAAGTGGTATTATTAAAGATTTAAATTAAGATGCTGTCAGAATACTAGTACTTTCTAGTAACATGTTCCTAGAACGATATCAGTAAAATTTAAAAATAAGTCAATAAATTTGTGTGAAAATAACTTTTTATGTGACAGTTAATGCAGAATTAAACACATTATTGATATTACATGTTTATTAATTTACATGGCAAAAAAAATGTGTTAAAATTGAATTAATTTCCCAGATTCATTTATTTGTCTTTGTATACCTGGGGTAATTAGAAAATTTAACCTCTGTTAATTTTTTATTTAAAAAAAAAATTGTTTTCAGCGGAATTTAGCAGTATATCTACAGCTGATGTGTCTTGCCGAGAATGTGAGGACAGATTTCTGGGATATGTACAATCTTGTGTCATTGTGTTGTGGCGACATTCGTCGATGTATCCTCTCCCTTCAGTACTGGGTGATATCAGGTGCTGGTGTAAAGGGCATTCAACGCAGTATACACAGAACACTGGGTATACAACCACAGCTACAAACAGATATATCGATGGAAAACAGTGTCGTAGAAAAACAGGATGAAATGTCACAACAGAAACAAATATCCATTACGAATGACTATGATGATGATGATGACTTTGTCTGTCTGAAACCGGTCTGTCAGAAGCGTAGCAGTAGGTTTGTCAGTGATGATGAGGAGTCCAATAGTATGCCTCCTGTACCTTTATGCTATAATCAGGATATTGTTCCTGTTGGGAATAAAGACACAGACACAGAGAAAGAACGTCTTCCCCAGGTACATCTTGGCCACACAACATCTTTACAGGGTCTGATGTTACAGGGCCATGACAGCATCATATCTCTACTGAGACAAATGTTAAAGGTAAGAAACTCTGAACAGTTACACAGAAATCTTACATTATATATCGTTTTATAATGAAACCTGGCTTGACTGATTACTTACATTAAAATCTGACTTGACCACCAATTTAAAGAGAAACATGACTTGGTACACTTATGTATAGTGAAACCTAACATGACCAATCATGTATAGTGAAACCTGACTTGACCACTTATGTATAGTGTAACCTGACTTGACCACCATCATTTAGAGTGAAATGTCTTGACCACCATCATTTTAAGTAAAACCTGACTTGACCACTCATTTCCATTGAAATCTGACTTGACTAATTATTTACATTGAAAACTGACTTGACTAATTATTTACATTGAAAACTGACTTGACCAGTCATTTAAAGTGAAACCTGACTTGACCTCTCCTTTACATTGAAACCAGACTTAACCAGTTATTTACATTGAAATCTAACTTTACCTGTTATTTACAATGAAACCTGTCTTGACTTTTCAACTGCAGTTTAAACTTAATTGTATTACACCTTAAAGACAATGATTTATCTTGCATAATTTTTTCGTCTTGTTAGGGTGGTATTTTGAATACTTGTATGTTTACATAGTGTCATTGTCACCAGATGTTGCAGTCTTCTAAGATGTTCGTAAGGAACATCCTGCCATGTACAGTTTGTTTTTTTATTGCAATATCTTATATATATACTGGCAGGTAGAAAATGCATTTTTGGACAGTTTTGACTGTTTATTTTTAGGAAGTTTTGCTTTTTTTACCTAAAAGTTATATGGATATTTGATTATAGATGAACTGTTAACTGTCAAAACTGGTAACACTTCATAAATTGTTTGATAAACTTTTATCACTCTTATTTCCAGATTGGTGATGATGGTTTGGTGTCGTTAGCAAGTCAAGTTTGTCGTCAGTATCAGTCATTGAAGTGTGACCTCCTTTACCGCCATCACCTCTCACTCCTGCCACTTACCACAGTGGAGTCGCTGCCACTAAAGCATACACAACATGTGGTTGACAGTGTGCAGAATAAGTCTCGCCGTAGGATAAAGACAATTGATCTTTATGATAGTGAAACATCTAATGATGGTCTTGAGCAGCCAATGGACTCGCAGGAAACACAAATTGAAACTCTGCCCAAAACACAAGATCCTAAAGAATCGGAATTGATAGGGAAATCTCTTAATTCGTTTTATAGTTTTTATGACAATTTGTCTTTAGCAGACTCAATGGTAGCATTAGAGGATAGGTTATCATTGCATGGCAGATCTGAGTTTGACTCCAACTTTCATTCAGATATACAGCTTTATAGTTGTAGACAGTTATACAAGACACATATGTCTATGAAAAAGGATATTATATCATCAGAACACATCTGTGTACCCATTACACAGGATACTCCCAGGGTAGAGGAGCTCCAGGGCAAGGACCATGTCAGTACTAGGTAGGTTATCTGTTACAGATACTTAGTAAATTGATATGTCTCAGCTTATCTGTTCAGTCTGTTGATGGAAGAAAACTTAATTCTTAACCATTTATGAAATATACAAATATCAATAATACCTCTATTTATAAATGATTCAAGAAATTAAATTGACCAAAAATAAAATTTCAAAGACATTTATACATCAGCAGTGTATATCTATAAAACGTTGGCTATTGTAATGTCAAAGAGTTAAATATTTTGAATAAACTTTATTCCCCAGTGTTGACACACCCACCAGTAGGGCAAGCTGTAATGTACGGACCAGTTTACCCATTGGGATTTCGGCGAATGGAGTTAACCAGGAATACCTACCCATGCTCCGAGCCATATGTAAATCAGAGCAGTTGCGAGAACAAGCCAAGATTAAACGACGGTGGGTATTTATCGATGGATGAATTCTTGTCGTCATTTGTTGGTATATCAGCGGGCTGTGTAATGTGTAAGGCATACTGGATAGGATAATGCTTTAAATTTTGGATTGATTTAGAACTAAATATTCTCAGTGTCTTTGCTTGATCTCGAGCTCAGGAGATACTGGTAATAATCAGAGGGATAAGCCCCCTAAGCTTTTTGATAGTGAAATACAGAATAGGTATACAGATGTTGTTAAAATTGTTTTATCGTGTTTAGATAATGTTTACAAAGAAGCATTATTAAGTAATTCTTCCCCGTATAATAATCATAATAATTTTGAGAGGAACTCCTTTTGTAGTGTGATTTATATCTTTGAAAATCTTATAAATTTACTGTTCAAATTTTGTATCAAGTGATGCAGATTGGAATTGTTTTTTTTACAGGTTTCAGCATTACTTGGACAGTATCGGATTAACACTGAAGGACAACACATTATCTGTACTCTGTACAACATTCAGATAATGACAATGACAACATCAATGCTGACAGTTCTCTGTATGAAGTGTAGGTGATCGCTGGTCATTTCTATGCACAGATCTTGAGTGATGGCGTGCCAATTCTGTGTACAGATCTCAAATGATGTTGGGTAATTTCTGTGTCAAGTGCTCCGATGATGGCTGGTCAATTCTCTGTATGACACACAAGTGATGGCTGGTCAGTTCTTTGTATTACACTGGCCAAACAATTCAGTGCATGACACTCGGGCCATGACTGGGCAGTTCTCTGTACAGAGCTCTGGCGAAGGCTGGTTAATTCTGTGTACAATTCTTGGGTAACATTAGCCAATTCTCTTTAAAGGGCTAGGGTAATGGCTGATAAATTCTCAGTACAAGGCTCAAATGATGACTGGACAGTTTTCAGTACAAGGCATAGGTGATGCTGGTCAGTTCTCTATATAATGCTTAGGCAATGTCTGCTAAATTCTCAACACAAAAGTCTAGTGATCATAACAGCTAGTCAATTTGTAGTTTGATGTTCAGAAAATAATGCGGTCTACAATTCAAATTGCCCTACATTCATAGTATTTGGTCTGTCCATCCGTAAACAGTTTTTATCATTGCTAATTTTTGAGAAGTACTGGATAGATCTTTCTCAAGTTTCCTATGTAGGTTCCTGTTGGTCCCAAGCTGAGTCCATTTGATTTTGGGACAGATCAGAAAAACAGGATGAGGGGACAGGTGGCAATCTTGAATTTTTTCAATGAAGTTTGTTATTGCTATTCCTTGAGAAGTACTTAATGGATCTTTCTTAAATTTCCTCTGTTGGTTTCCATTTGTCTCTAGTTGTCCCCAAATCATTTGTGGACTGATCAGAAAAACAAAATGGCCGACACGGCCGTCTTGGATTTAGACTTTGCAAGTTTGTTATTGCTATTTCTTGAGAAAAACTGCATGGATCTTTCTTAAATTTCATGTATATATTTCTCTTGGTCCCTAGTTGTGCCTGCTTGATTTTGGGATTGATCCTAAAACCAAAAAGGTCAACAGGCAGCAATCTTGGATTTTATCTAGTAAAAAAATTGTTATCCCTATTTCTTTAGAAGTACTAAATGGATCCATCTCAAATTTCATAGGTATGTTCCCTTTGTTCATAGCTGTGCCTGTTTATTTTATGGACTGATCAGAAAAAACAAAATGGCTTTTAGATCACCATCTTGGATTTTGCAGGTTAAGATTATCATCGCCATTTCTGCAAAGGAACGTTCAAATTCTTATCATTTAGAGTAAAAACAAAAGAGAAGAGAGAAGACAGGAAAAGATCCACCTTTCAAAGAGCAAATAAAGATCAAACAATGGTATGCACCAAGATCCTTCTGGAATCTCTTGTACTTTAGTGGATTGAGAAAAGTCAAATTTCCTGTTCAGAAATTTTGAATAATATGGAAAATATAGACATGAAGAATTTTTTTTAATGATGTATCTTTTTGCTCAGTAGGTAAGACAAAAACCGATTCTATAAATATTTACATGTTTATTGAAAGAATAGGCTATTCTTTACAGTTAAAATTGTGTGTATTGAAAAGGAAGAATATGCTTAAAAGTCAGAATGGTTGAAGAAGGTAATGATTGTCCATTAAACCAACAGTGGTCTTTGATCCTATTGCACTGAAAAAAAATTCTGAACTTATTTTGATAAGAAGAGATGTTTCAGTATGTTGCATATGTATATTTTGAAGGAAAACCATCTAATTTGATATTTTATTGATACATTTGGTTGTATCTAACCCAGGGCATTTGGTATCTTTCATCATTTTGTAGAAATGACGAAAATATCTTATATTTAAAACATAAATCCTTTGCTAAATGGAATAAACTTGAAATGAAAAAAAATATTTTTATTGAAGACTGTTAACTGAATGTATTTGAATGGATGTATTATTAGTTGATATTTGTGAAACATATTTTAAAAATTTAATGAAAATCATATTCATGTATTAATTGAAAAGTGAGACCTAGAAATTTAAGTTCATGTCATCTTTGAAATTCAAGGGTTCTGCTCTCGATTCAAATAAATTCTCTGGACCCTTATAGGCACAGGTTAGAGCCTTAGACATGACAAAATGGCAGGCTTATGCAAGTTTTTTCAATGGTTCCAGGTATGAAAACCTGATAAATTGCAGGTCAGATTTGCTCTGGTGCAAGTCCAATATGCAGTTGCTTGATTTCTGTTACTGTTTAACAAAGAGATCACGGGTATACAATATTTCTAGTTTCCAGACTAGTCAACTTTCATATCTCATCCACAACATATGTAAATACAAACCGTTGGTTTGTCATGGTCAATTCCATGCATAATGATAGGATTCAAGAGTGAAATGCTTTGATTTTGAAGATGAATTATGTACATGATTTTTATATTTATTTAATTTATGTTTGTATTTCTAAGGCAAAACAGAAATGAATTTAAGAGACTATCACAGAAAAATACAATAAAATTGTATCAACTTCAATTCAGTCTGTTATGTCTTTGTTCTCAGCATTTTGATAAAAAAAATAATGTTCAATAAGGATTTTAGTTTTTTCCAGAAAAGAGGCCCATATGAACTGTATTGCTCACAAGGCTTTGTTTGGATGAATTTGTTTTTATCCAAACTAAAGGAAAAGGAATTCTAATGGTTTGAGTCTATTACTCTGGATAAACCCTACCATTTGCCCTCACAGAATCCTGTCATTCCTAAAGAAGGTTTTATAGAATTTGCTCCATTTCCATTTTGGACCTCAGGGGTCAAGCCCTCTGTTTATACACAATTGAACCTCTTCACCCAATGATATTTCAGACCAAATAGGGACAAAAACCTCGTACAGGAGCTGATTCTAGAGAATTCACTCATTTACCTTCTATGCCCCGCGTGGCCAAAACACCCATCATTTATAAAAAAAAGTGTGCCCCCCTTGACCCAAAGATGCTTCAAACCACATTTGGATAAAAACATTCCTGCAGAAGAAAGATTTTAAAAGAATTAACTAAAGTTTCCCCCCTTTTTATGAACCCACTTCTTGGGGGCAAGATCAACTGTTTGCAAAATTGAGTTTGTTGTTTGCGACTACCTGAAGAAGAGTTTAACAGAAATTGTTGACAGATACCCTGGTATAGCACAAGCTCACCTTGGTTCTTAGACCACACACGCTAAAAACCTGTACTGTAAACACTTATTTTTTGCAGTCAACTTTTGGTACATTATCACTTTTGCAAGTTCAATACCTCAATGAAACCTTACCCTGTTTTGCTGATTATTTTATAGCAAACTTAATTATATAACTATCAACTGATTTCATGTTTATACTTTACAGAAATTTATTATCCTTTGATAACGGCATCTGTATAGATGTTTCTTTGACTACAGTACATTAAGATTATTATGTAATGATGGAAATAAACCAAAGACTTTATTATTAATGTGAATGGCTATACCAACTCAAAGTTGTTTTTGTTACATCACTTTCATCAAAGGAATTTTCAAATTTTTCAAAATTAAAAACCAGAATAGAAAAGAACTGAAAAAGGAAAATGTCCAATATTAAACAGCATATCAAGACCAAACAATTGTAGGCACAAAGATACCTGTGTGATCTACCAGTAATTGCTCTGTTAAATATACTTGAACACTTGCATAACATATAACATAACATATAACATACATAAAGTATGATGTGAAAATTTAAACATACTATGAAGGTGATTGTGTAAGTGGGTCTAGGTCATTGTTGGATGCCAGGATGGCTTGTATATCTGTTGTTATATTTCAAGTTCCAAAAATGAATATCGAACAAATAACAAAAAATCTTACTTTCATCAGTTATATTTAATTTTTTGACAAAATTTTGCCTTTTTGCCTTGCCCGTAGAGGAAGTTCTACAACGGACTAGAAGGCATGTACTTCAATGATACAGCTATCACAGTGTAGACATATAAATAACATGCAACTGAAAATGCTATTTGTTAAACCACATCCGCGTCTCCATCATGATTCACAATATGTTGCTGATTATACATTTTTAGCAATCAGATATGAATACTTTAGCAGTTACATGGATCTTTTCATACTGAACATAGACTATACAGTTAATTTAGTAAATCCAATGAAAAATTAATGAAAGAAAAAATTCCTGTTTTGCACAAAAATCTTAAAAATAACACTCCTCAAAATTTTTTGAAAGTAAAAATATCCTCATATTAGTCTGCATTGATATTTATTTCGAGAAACCAAACAGAAACCCATGGAACAGATGAAGAGACTAAGGGTGATCAGAAAAACTGACAAGATCCTGAAGACATCTTGTCACATGAGGAATGCTCCCCCATTCATCACCATGTAAATGAGAAGCACCATCAATAAGAGTATTGTATTGCAATATTCTTGAACCAGAAATAAGAATTCCCCAAGAAGTTTAAACAATTCATAATTTGCAGAGCTGAAAACTGAATTACATAAAGATGAGGTAAAATTATGAGCTAGAATGATCATCTCTTTGAAGCAGCAGTAAGGAAATTATATTAACTAGGAAACATTGATTGGTCTTGGAAAAAGGTATGTTTGTTACTGTCTTGTAATAAGAACATCTCCTGAATCCAAGGTTACGTCTTGCCCTCTGGGTTTACTGAAGGATAGATACTGGGGATGTAGATCTTTCAAATATATATATATATATATATAAAAATCATTCCAATTAATTAAAGATAAATGTCTACAACATGCATACAAGTTCAGAACATAACATAATATCTCTAATTAACAAATTAAAACTTCCATACTTGCCATGATGTAGAATGAGATGAATAAAGATATCTGTCTACCTTTCGTATGGTAGAAACAAAGTGCTTTATACATGCCATCGATGCTGAAAGAGAGATCTAGGGACCACTGAATGAATATTCAAGGAATAAGGAAATCGGTTCCATTTCTCTTAAAATAAGAGATGCACATTACCCGACATTTATTTAATTCACATTTTTGTAGTTAAAATATCAAAGCGTTGTAATTGGGTTTGTCAACCACTATAAGTATTTTGAGCATTTATCCTTATATGACCTTAGATGGTGATTGGAAATTCAGCAATATAAAACGAATCACATAAGATTTTTGAGTTGAAAAACACAATGAATAGACTCGCATGGTAATGAACTGAGATGTAAGATGTTATATTCTCACCATATGCACTTTTACACTACTACAGTGTAGTACGATATATGTAAAAATACTTGATTGACTTCTGGTTTAAAACAGTTTGATATCAACAGGCTCCAATAAAACTAATTTTACTGTACAAAACCTGCATTTTGAGTTTTTATAAATACAATATTACAGGTTTCCATTATTTCATATCAATGTCAACTTCGTTCATTCATCTCTCAAAATAACATCTATAATCGCTTTTTGCAATACAAGCAATCATTATACATTTGTACATAGTAGTCATTAGCCAAGCAATCTCACACATATACCTATCTTTACATCTAACACAGCTGCTCAAAAAATCATTGTTGGGAAGTGTAGGGTTTATAGCAATACAGTGGATAAGGTTGTGAAGGGTTAACAGCTTTGAGGCATCTCTAACTTTGGTTAAACTGCTGTAATATCTGCTTGAGCAGCAGTTATTACATTAGCTTTTAGTCTTTGTTTTAAGATTATACCACAAATTTCATGGTAGCTCTACATGGGGACCGGTCTTTCCACAAAGACTACAGGCATCGAGACAGCTTTAATATTGTGATAATGAAGCAGGAAGCGTATATACATGAAAGCAGGTAGTAACAAACACTATGTATATCTTACATTCTTAGGACTTACTCAGCACTAGTAAGAGAAGTAGCATATATTCATCCATCTGCTGTCCTCATTTTGTCTTCAATTTATAAACAGTTGTTTTCATGGTGTGAAAAATCATTTCAATTTAAATTAACATACTAGATAGTAGTATCTGTCGAAGTGTTTTTATTTAAAAAAAAACCTCTTTTTTACATCAAAAAAGTAATTTAGTTGCAAATACTAAGGAACTTCATTATAACTAACATCAATTTACAGAAAATTTGATGATGAAAATGCTTTTTCACTGTTAACCAGTGAATTAATTTTCAAAATGGACACTTTTGAGTTTTCAAAGATTAAAGAAATAAGTTTAATAGAACCATACTCTGAACCTTTTTACAGAGTTAATTGAATAATTTTCAAAATTATTGTAAATGTTCTATCATCCTATTAATTCTGATGTTCATTCTGTCCTATTTCAGCACAGATGTTCATAGTCACCAAAATCATTTTGCGGAATCAAGACACAGAATATTTCATCAACTATAAAACATCATATTGACAACAATTACCAATAGACTTTATTGAAGACTAGAATTGATATCCAGACATAACCAATATCATAAGTTTATGTTATAAAATATATAAATACTCTTAAATTCTTAATAGAATTTCATAATTAAGTCCAATAGTCACAAACATGCTATCTAAAGTCAATTATAGATCTTTATATTCCATCTATTGAACTCTCGTAGTGTTAAATTATGTATCGATTGTGCTGTATTTCATCTACGTCAATTTTTACTCAAATTTTTGTAAACACTCATTCATTTGCCATCATAAATACTTCAATATTTTCATATTGATGTATGCACCTTATTACCTGTGAGGACTTTCAGTCTTTTAAAGTAACAACAATGGATAAACAACCCTCAATGTCATACAAGATGCATTGTTTTTAAATAACTGTCCACCTTCACTAGGTAACAAGTACATATCTCAAAAAAAAAAAAAAAAAAAGAGGATTTACAAAATCAGAGAAATATGGCCACCTCAATCTCATTATTTTTAAGCCATACTATATTATGTCAACAAGCATGACCCGACTTTTAATCAAATTTGGTCAGGATCAAAGAGATAAGGCATAGCAAGTAAACTTCAACTCAACCAGGAGCCGTAAACAATGATAGCCTTTTGAATATCCACATGGGTCTTTCCTTGTAAGAAATCTAATAAACAGATCATGTCAGCTCTGATGGTCTCTTTGCTGTCTTGTTGGACAATTCAATTTTGAAGAGTCCCATGTTTTGTCTATATACTGTAGAACAGTAACAGTTTATGCAAGGTTCAAACTTTGGTTAGTGACTCAGAGCTGCACCTTCTACCAGAAGTAGTTTATAGTCATACTGGTAATCTGTTAATTTTTGTCAAGGACCACAGAAAAAGTCCTTCGTTTTGCCACACTTTTACCCACACCAGATATCAAACATCTTACTTTTCCTCCAGGAGAAACATTTCGGTTTAGATCACAACCGTTCCCGATTGTTTCCGTCCGATGAATTATGTCCTTGTCCCTGTTATATGAGAATTGCTGCATTAACTAAGTAAGTTTCGAATTTCTTTATGTATGTGACAAAGATAGTCTACATAGGAGGCAGAGTTATTTAGTCCTTTGTCCTCCACCAAGAAATGATTGAACCACGGTTCCAGCTTGTCACGTTGTCTCACAATTGTTAACTGCAACAGATAAGTTTTATTAAAGATTGTGCAAAACACACACAAGTAAATAGTACGTTTTAATAATAAAATGCATTGAATACTAATCCATACGAGCGTAAAAGCTGCTGTTAGAACACTTCTGACTTTGCATTCATGTATCGTTTCAAATTTCTAAATCACTGGTTAATGTACTTGTCTATTTGAAGAAAGCTTTAACCCTCGTATTTATAAAACAATTTGTAATTATGACTAACCTTCATATATCTGTTCCTTTCTTGTCTGACCTGTTGGATTACCTCGTTCACTCGTTGAGACAAAGGATTGTCAAGTGCCAGTAATTTACACTAAAGAAAAAATCAACATAACATGAGATTTCATTTATGCATGAAAAATTCTTATTTTTCCCTGAAAACCAAATAGAATAACATCATTTATTCAAATGAATCAGCATATCTCATCTCTCATCTCACCAAATTTGGTCAAAATCCAATAATTCCTACAAGAGAAGTAGGATTTTTAAAAGTTTCCCTTTTGGGTTCCCTAGGATATTTTTGACCAAATTTGGTCAAAAACCTGTAACTTGTTTATGACTAGTAGCATTTTGCATGAAAAAAATAGAAAAAATGGACCATGGACGATGTGGCATGCCTAAAATTTGCAAAATTACAATGCCATTAAGAAAACACAATTTCATGTCATGGTTTCATATATAGCATTTGGCCGAATACAGTGAGAACAGGAGATCTCTGGGCAAATGGAAGTTGATGGCAGATGCATGGACAATGCCAAACCATAATACAAAGAAAAACTACCGTACATAGAATGTTTGTTTTTGTGTTTTCATACCTTATCTATATCCACTTGCGCAGCACTTTGTACACCAAATATATCTTGTATCCACTGAGGATCAACATTGTGTCCTATCCACATAAACATGGAAATACCATTCTCTGTAAAACAAAGTTAAGGTAATGTTTCAATTCATCAAAAGGTTACATTACCAAATATCAGCTGAAATACACAAACAATTTTTTAAAATGTATTCAGACTGACTGGAAATCTAGTATCACAGAAAACATGTCTCTATTTCATTTATCCTTTTTTTATTTGTCTATCAGATGTAAAATTGTCTAAACCAAGAAGGAATGTTGTCCGTCTCATTTCCAAAGAACGTTTGAAGAGTCCAGCATCAAAATTTATAGTATAGACAATCAAAACTATGTCCAATATAAAACAACACTGGTACATAGAAATACAGAGATAAGATACCATAAACAACACAGTCAAGATATGACCATGTCAACATTTACATACAAACCTAAAAGATAAACTCCATTATCCTGGAGACGCTCAGCTGAACACCGAATGGACCGTGGCATCTTGGGGGCTTTATCCAAATTATGCTGAAAATATGAAGATTTTTAGGGTCAGTTATGGTATTTTACATGCAAAACTGGCCATGTACTAATTCTAAGACATGAAGTACATGCAATCCGTCTCCCCTCAGTCAAAATGTTTATCTATACTAAATATCAAATTTCTTGACCTATGTTTATGAGAGATCTTTGGGTGCTGGATCATATATGTCTACTAAATGGTTAAATCATTTATAATATTTTTTCTTTGTCTAAATTCCAAAAATACAATCAATCTACTCACCAAAGGCATCAGTCGTGGATAAAAGAACACATGTGATGACTTAACATCCATTGCACTTACAAGGTGCATCAGGTAACTTCGGTCATCAGTTGATATTTCTGACCCTATAGAAGAATAAAGACAACACATAACAAAATGTTTTTACTTCAGTGACAAAAAAATTCCAACCAAGGGTTCTTAAGCCCACCATAATTCTATATTTCTCATCTAAACACCCCAATTCACTATTATATTTCAACATCCCAAACAATTACCTCTTTGACTTGTCTATGACCTATTTGTGCTACTATATTAATACACATCACAATTAAACGAAAATAATTCCAGATAGCATTCATGTTAATTTGGTTACCAATATCAGAGCCTTGATTGAGTCCATGTCTGTAATAGCTCATCAGTCGTGAATCAAAAGTCAATTCTAGATCTACGTTCACGATATCATGTATTTAGGAATATGTCTGCCGAGGTTAGTTGGTAAAATACTTTATCTCTCTAAATTCTTGTTTTTTCTCCTCTATCAACTACCTGTACCCACGTTTCCTGTGTAAAAATATACTTTGCCTTGTATCCTATACTAACCTTCCTATGTTTAGTCTATCAATTTCTCTGCATTCACTACTATACATTATCTTACACATACCTCCTTGTAATCCATCACTTTTGATGATGCAGTTGGAGTAGAGGGGTAAAAGTTTCATACACTCAGGTAGTATTAACTGGCCTGCAGATGAGGGACTAGCACAGCTCTTTCTGTAACATGCTAGTATCTGGGAAACCTGGTTCATCACATTATCACGCACCTGGCGTGGGTTGGAATTAAGTGTCTCTCGTATTGCTACAACATAATACAAGAATTGTTCAAATGTTTAAAGTAACAATGAGTTTTGACTCATTTCATTCTTGACCAGACATGTTTGAATATGGCTACTAAGTATGTGTTTCCTTTAATTTTTTCACAAAATAAATTAAATGTGATATTCCTTACTGTTAGAGACCTGACTTCTGTACGATTCAAACAGAATTTTACATCAAAGTTGGATCATTAACCTTGATACAAATAAAATAGGGTAAAAATTTTCATTACTAAGGTAAACTTATTGTGGTCAAACAATGAAAACACAATATACAGACCTTGTTTTGACATGAAGTTGATGAGTGTATCAAGTTCACAGCTGCGGAAGAGTTCAGCCATCTGTGTGCAGCAGTTGAAGGAAAGGTTGTGTATCCTCAGTCGCCTTTGACCACTGACACTTGTAAACAACACTGCTATCTATAAACACAGAACACAAATAGTCAGTCACATCTATTGGCAGAATAAACAGCTCCAAAACCCGAAGCTACCCTGATAACATATGACTACTCTGTTGACAGGACAGAACTCTCTTAAATGACCCCAAAAGCCTACACTACACTAGTAACACGACAAGATATCTCCTACAGCCCAAAAACCCTTTGCTCACTGTTAACATGTCACAACTGTCTCAGACAGACCTTAGGTTACTGTGGTAACATGACAGAACTACCTCCTAAAGACCCAAAACCTTCAGCTAGTGTTGTAAAATGACAGAACTACGTTCTACAGCCTCCAAACTCTATGCTTCACTGGTAACATTGTAGAACTTTTCCAGACAGCCCTTAAACCCTAGGTTACAACTGTTGACAGAATAGAAGTCTCTTAGCTGAATTAAAAACCCTAAACTACTCTGGTAGCATGATAGAACTATCTCCTACGACCCGAAAACCCTAGGTTGTTGTGGTAACATGACAGAACTATCTCCTATGACCTGAAAACCCTAGGTTATTGTGGTAACATGACAGAACTATCTCCTATGACCCGAAAACCCTAGGTTATTGTGGTAACATGACAAAACTATCTCCTATGACCTGAAAACCCTAGGTTATTGTGGTAACATGACAGAACTATCTCCTATGACCTGAAAACCCTAGGTTATTGTGGTAACATGACAGAACTATCTCCTATGACCTGAAAACCCTAGGTTATTGTGGTAACATGACAGATCTATCTCCTATGACCTGAAAACCCCAGGTTATTGTGGTAACATGACAGAACTATCTCCTATGACCTGAAAACCCTAGGTTATTGTGGTAACATGACAGAACTATCTCCTATGACCTGAAAACCCTAAGTTACTGTGGTAACATGACAAAAATATCTTCTACGGCCCCAAAAAGCCTAGGCTGTTCTGGTAACATGAAAGAACTACATGTAACTGCAACAACTCAATCCCAATCTTTCATGAAGGAAATTTGAGGTATAGCAAAACCTTCATAAAAGTTAAATTAAGCAAACAAAAGACTTGACAATACATGTAAAACAATAGTACTAAAGGGACAAGATTTTAATTTGCAGATGCATTTTTTTAAAGGCAGGTTCTACTGGAATGCTGTAACTATAAGTTGATTTATCAGCACACTGAAGTAACTCGACAAACTCTTCTTACTTGTCATAAGAAATAGCTAACTATTGCACCATACCTTTTGATTCTTTGGGTGGACCTTTACCTAGAAAAAATTAAAACTAATCTGATTTAAGAAAAAAAAAAAAAAATCAAATAATCTTAATTGTCTACCTGTACAAAAGCACCATCTCCCTCATTGAGTTTATCATCATGCTTGATTTCCACAGCGATAGCCTGGCTCTGACTCATGGCTGCCAACTCCACATCTGTTGTGTTGGCCATGTAGAAATTGCCAAAGAAGTCAACAGGACGTATACCTTGAGAGATTGATAAAAAAATATGAACACACATAAAATTGTACAAGTCACACAAAAATTCATCAATACTTAATCAAGTTTCAAAATTTACAGGGTGTATTTTCCCCTCAATTCCCCAATTTTCTGTCAAAGAACTTTGGCCGAAGAAACAGTATATCTCTTTTGGAGAAGCATCCACAGTTGTTGATGTAGTATTGGACAATTATACCACAGACACAAAAACACATACAAAGACTTGTACCTGTGCTTGTTCTCACACGAAGAATAGCATCAAATGAAAACTGGCTCTCTACATTCATCCTCAAGTCTTCCATAAATCGTGAACCATCCAGGTCAGCCTACAACAGAAAACACTTGGGGTGTTACCAAAGTTCCATGAATATATAACTTCTAAAGATATAACATATACAGCCAAATACTTCAGGATTTTATAACAATATAAATACATGAATTTTAAAAATGATGAAATAGCAATAATAATCTGTAAGTGCCAAATCAAAATGGTTGCCTGTCAGACATTCTTTATTCAAATCAGACCCACAATCGAAGGTCAAAACTAGGGACCAAGAGGAATCTAAATATGAAATTTGAGAAAGATCCATCCCATACTTCTCAAGAAAAAGCGATAAACTTTCATTTCAAATATCTAAGATGGCCACCTGTCAGCCATTTTGTTTTTCTGATCAATCCTTAATTCAAACCTGCACAACTACAGGCCAAAGGAAACATACAAAAGAAGTATAAGAAAGTCCTATCCAGGACATCTCAGGAAAAGGTGATAACAAAAATTGTTTACAGACAGACGGATGGACGAGGGACTACAGGTGTAGGGTGTATTGAATAGCCCACCATCTAATGATAGGTGGTTAAACATACTCTTCAAATAGCTCATCCTTACTACAGGTAGACTTCAAAACATGTTTTGTTTAATTTCGACCTATAAAATGCACACCTCTTCAATTGACCCATTACAATTTACCATACATCTCAAAGATTCTGTATATAACTAGTTTAGATTTTTTTCAATTTTTTTACTCCAACTATATACTGCATGACATGTATTAAGAGTGTAATAAGTTCCTTTTGAATTCATACAGGCTTTAAAAGTGTTTCACAGGTGATTTACAGGAATTCATGAAATTTGCATTCAGTTTACAGTAACTTCAACCCATTCAACAATTTATATTTACTACACAGCTATTACCTTCTATCCCACCACCACTCTGGCAAAGTATTTAATGCATATACAATTTAACATAAAGCAAATTCAAAACTATCACCTTATCCTTTTTGCCTGCATGCTCCACATCAAGGTTTTCTTTATGCTAGAACTGGTTATGGATTTATTCTATCATTTAATTTTATCTACACATTAAACATTCAATACTGCTCCACATCTGTTATACATATGTGTTGGTTAGAACATGATGATATACATGTACTATATTTTCTAATTCAGAGATGACGAATTATAGATACCTTGTATATGAACCTAAAATTTCTTTAAAAAGTAGATAGGTCATATGATAAAAGATGATAAAGGATATTAGAACTTTTATATATATATAAATATGCACTGTTTCTTAAAATAAACAGCATAAGTTTTATGCCTTGAGATTCAAACTTTTGAATTTTCTATTGAATGTTTGTAGCAAAGCACTGTGTAGGTTATTTGATATGAAATGTAAGGAAAACCATATTCTACTTATAATAGTGAAAAATTTTCCATAAAAACAGGCTTCCCACATTTCAAAGAAAACAAATAGGGAATAAACTTCATGGAAGCTCACAGCTGATGTAAATGTAAATAAAACAGTGAATGCAAAATAAAAACCTAAAAGACTGTAAAAAATTCCCGATAGTAAAATGAATTTTACAAATTATATAATGGTTGTGAAGGATTCCCAGGAATGAGCCCAAGCTGGAACCTTTGACATGCATGCACAAATTCCCACACAACAGGTAATGCTGATTTCCTCGGAGCTTCACCAAGCATGACAGAAAGATATCCAAACAGAACAGAGGAGGAAGGAGAGAAAAATAGATACCACTTACTTTTTCGTTATCAGACTTCAAAGTGAAACAAAGAATGGATTTGTCACATGTTTTCATGATTAGATTTTTTGCCAACAGAAAGAACGAAGGATAATGGTAGGCAAAAACCTAACATAAACCCTGTGCCTTGTCTTCTGTTTATTATATCTATCTATTTATAGTAAATAATGTCCATATTGATATTCATCCAATCCATAACAATTAGAAATCTCCTTGGCAGTTTATGATGCAATATGCTCCAAGTACAGATGCAGAAAAACATCATTCAGAGAATACTGAACTCGAAGCACTGGAATATGTAATTTAAAGCAGCCAGCACAGCAATAAAGCAATTGCTTACTGAAGTATGAAACTTGTTTACAATAGAGCTATAATGAACAACAAAAGGCAGGCGAGGAAATCAAGATAGGTATATAATAATAACATTTCTCTTTTTTGAAAAGTTTGTAAAATACTATTGATAAATGAAATTGGATTTATGATACTTAAAGGTCTATAATTCCACAATACTGTGATTATCACAACCTCTACATAGACTATATCTTACCTGGAAGTAACTGTACTTATACATATTGCCCCCAGTCAAACGACACACATCACTGATGGAAGCTACATCAATATAAGCATTTGGGAACAGGAAAATGTCCACACTGCAGCCAGCTACTACACATTCCTGGCCGAGCTTGGTGTAGAAGTTGTTCTGTGGTGTAAGGATTGTCTGCAACACAAATATCAATCATAACTGATACACTCAATGCCAATTACACATTAGCAAGTCTCAGAAGAAATATTCTATTCTGCTGTGTTAAAAATTCTTTGGTTCTCATACCTCATTTCTTGATGTTCATTCATGTCATACTATTGTATAGCTAATTAAGACAATATTTTCTCCATTTTGCGGTGTATAAACATGATTGTGGAAATTTAATCTGTCAAATAATGAGACATGTATTCTATGTCCTCTTACATCCAAATCACCAAATTATCATTTATTATAATGTAATTTGATCATTTTAAAAGAAACCCGCAAAAAATATAGACACATGAAAATTTGCAGTTACACACACACACTTAAAATACCAACGACACGAATGATAAAAAAAATCATCAAATAATGAAGTAAAACTGGATTCAAGTTTTAATATGAAATTCATGTTGATCCATAACCATCATTCCATGCTGAAAATATTGAAACTGGGATATTTGTTTATAGGATGAAATCTTTTATATCCAGCAGTAACATGTTTGTTTTCATTTTGTAGCACAAATGTAAAAGAGCAAGATTATTTCTCATTGTTGTCAATGAGTGAATATATATAAGGAAATAACATAAACACCTTTTCTTTGTCTGTTCCAAGTAGTTTCCTGTCATCTCTGTTTTTAAGTTTGCCTGGTGCTTCAGCTATAGGCAATGATGAGTGAAATATGTAGAGTTTGCCACTGCGGTCAGCAGATTTAAGGGCATCCAAGCCTGCTTGTATGACGGGACCAAGCACGGTCTCCGTCTCCCTTGATTCAGCAAACATTACAGGGATCTGGGCAAGCAAACTGTTCAAAAGAATTCAAAGTATTTATAAATAAAAAAATCAGGAGCAACACAGGAAAATTTTCAGAGTGATCTGCCTTCCCCCTTCCCCTCCCTCTGTAAATAAGAAAGTTTTCAGAATTTTCACAATTTTCAGAACAAGCAAAGATCATCAATTACTTCAAGTGTTTGCTTTATTAAAGATCATATATTTAACAATATGGCATGATTACCTGTCAATTACAGCCTCTGATTCAGACAGCTTAACCAGGAAGCCATCTAACAATGGCACAAAAACATCATCTAAATCTGATACAACCAACATTTGTGGCTGGGCAAGACTTCCCTGAAAGTAAAAGAGCACAAATGTAAGCACTACAAACAAAAATTTTCAACATAGTTCTCCTACTCTTATTTGATCAAATCAGATAAAATATCAAAATTTCATAACACCAGGGAATAACGGTTCAGAGATTCAGATGTTTTAAATTGTAAAAAAAAGGATACAAGTGATGGAACATCAAAGTTACAAAATCAAATCAAATTTCAAAAGTAGGAACGAAACCAAAATATCAAAATACTCAATTGTTTCTTACCTTGACATTATAAAAGTGAATTTCTTTAGCATATGTAACAAATCCAACACGTATTTCAGATTCCTCTGCACCAACTTCCCTGCAAAATAAATCAAAATCTCTAATACATACTACTTTTAACACATGCTTCATAGTAAAGATTAGTAACAGATCAGAAAAAAAAATGTGCCAAATTCTATTCAATGATCAATTCATAAAGTTAACATGCTAACAGTTCATTTACTAATCAGTACTTACTTTGGTAAGTTGACAAGAATTTCCTCTTTAAGAGTTTTACAAAGCAGATGTACAAGACCGCTTTTTACACTGTTGTAGGATACATCAATCATGAAGATAAAAGCAGGTGCATTGGGTAAGGTGCCATTCTGTTAAAACAAAAATAACATCAGTAATTACAAAAATCTAAATTTAACTCCAAATGGCATTTACAACTTAACAGCTGCTTTTAATAGATCAAGGGGGAGATACCATAAAACTGTTGTAAGACATTTTCCAACACAGACATACAATTGTGAATCTCACTAAACACATCTATCTTTCCTATTCCTTTTATTTCCAAATACTGTTTGAACTGATTTGAACTCAAATCATAAAACAGCTTGCTGTAAAAACATTTCAATACAGGTCCCAAAAAAACCCCACATAATCAGTACAAATACTAGGAAACATATTTTGACAGTAGTTTAACGACTGACCTTCAGACCCTTAAACTTTGACCTCTTTTAAACTCTTTTCTCTTTGAAGAATGCAAAGCCTCAAAGGCATTCATTAGAATACAATCTTCTTATAATTTTGCCACACACCAGTAAAGTTTTGACTTGACATTGGATGGCAGTAACATTGTAATTTTTGTCATGTAAAAGATGGAACACTTACTTTGCAATAGTCTTTAGTAGCAACGAATTCATAGGAGCCAAGACAAAGTTCTGGTCTGTCATATGCATCCACTCTTCTACCCGTATGATCAAGGTGTTGGAAGTACTCCGGTGGCACTGTTGTCAATAATACAGTTAAACTTGAACACTGAATTTTCTCAGAATTATTACTTTAAACACAACAAATGATTTTGTAAATGCATTTTGCTCTGATTTATGCAGAATCTTAAATATGGGCGTGTTTCCTTCTAACTGGAATATTCATGAAATTCTAAGAATACCGATCGTTAATGTTTATTACTAAAACACTTAACAAGAATATTTGAAAAAGTTTATATGTTTAGCATGCATATCATCATACGACATGTAAACTTAAATCATGTCATTTTGAAACAAACACACTAAATTTACCATCTGTTTGTGCTCCACAGAACACACACTGGAATCTCCTGCCACCATCAATAAACATCATGAATGGATTCATGTAGGCTTTACATCTCTTACATCGCACTGGACCAACTTCTCCCAAATTAACTATTGGGGGTTGATTCTGGAAGTAAATTTCATGGGAATGATTTAATTCAATACCCATCTTATCTAGAAGTGTTTGTGGTTGTATAAAGAACACCTTTGTGATGATGGAGAACATATGCAAGACGAGATGTGAAAGCAATGTATAACAAAACCTGAATGCAGGTCATGATCTAAAGGTGTTCTCAATCATCTTGACTGAATCAACAGCCAAAGTTTTACATATCAAAGAGAAATTTTACAGTCTAGATATTTGAAATAAAATATTGGATCCTTGGATGTCCTAGTATGCATGCTAATTTCTGAAATGCTCTTGTTTAAGATTCAAATGAGTAAGAAATAAATGACTGTAAATTTTTTTTCTTTCATTGACTCATGTTTACTTTTGTTAAAATCACTATTTTGAAAATCTGGTAACAAAAGAAAAATACATGACAAATCTCACCTCTCCAGCATTGAGTTTAGCAAATGGAGATATTGATAGAGCTAATGGTATGTGGCTCGTCTTGAGGAGGTCTGCAGTACATGGTATGGTATATGTGGTCGACCTCATGAATCTTGGATTACAATTACCTAAAAAAAGGGACGAAAGTGATATTGATGTTGGAAACTTTGAAAAACGTTTAGAAATTTCAAACCGTCATATTTCTATACGCAATACCATTCATGTAATCAAAACCTTGGTGTAACAAGAATCAATGAAATGAAAATGTGACAAGAGAACCAGTATTTAAATTGCCTAGTAATTATTACTGTACAGAAATTAAGACATTGACCTCAAAGTAGTGTTCTGTGCATGTAATGACAATACAGAATAGTTAGCTCCTCACTACCGATACATAATAAAGTTGACAAATGTGTAAATGACACTGAAAAGTGTGATAAGTAAGCTATAATGATAGAGACATGTGTACTGGCTAGAAATGTATCACAATGCCAATTCATAAAACCAGACTGAGTCCAGTTCACATAGAAAAGAAACTGACCTTGGTCTTGGACGGTAAATTGTGTGGTCACTAATGGAGGTACAACACCTTTCTCAAGTGTGGCAAACATTCCCCCTTTGTTGGCTTCATCATCCTCAATCACCTGTATCTGCAAAAATGACCATACAAACTTGACATTTACTTTTGAATTTGGAAATTCTTGACAACTTAAAAACACCAGTGAGGTTTTACATAGAAATGGAAGAGCAAGGCTTCACTTTCGGATAATAAACTAGAACTGTCAGCCAATGGCTGAAAAATACCCCCACCCTGCCAATGTCACTTGCAATATACAGTTTTATAGTACTAACAATATAATTTGAATTTTGAAAGTAAATTCCAACTTGTTAAACTCTTAATGCTCATCCCTACATGGTTGCTATCATTACTATATGTAATTTCATTGAGTTGTCCTAACAAAACTTTCAATGAAAAATCCTATTTATAATGACCCGTTACCAAGGAAACCTCACATTTTTTTTTCAAAAAAATGGATTCATGCACATTTACATATTGTACCTAATATTTGTGTGTTGTAAAAATGAAACTGATGCATAAGTTTAGGAAAACTTGTCAAGACAAAATATTCAAACAAAATCCTATTTATATTGACTTGTTACCAAACCAACTAATATTTGCTAGAAAAATGATGGTTGCATGCACATCAACACATGGTCTCTAATATTCCTGTGTAGTTTCATTGAAATTGATTAAGTTGTTTAGGAGGAATTGTCTGGATAAAATTTTTCTTGGACAGACAGACAAGCTGATTCCAGTATACCTGCCCTCACCCAACCCCCCTGCCCGCCCCCATAACACATTTAATAAGCATTTCAATATCAAAGTTAATGAATATTGGACTGGTTTTGACTGTCGGAGATTTTTAGTGAGAATACAGTGAGAATACAAATACACTGTATTACTAATTAACTAGTAGGTTTTTATCAGTTAGAGGTGTTAATTCCCAACAAATTTCCATGAAGTTAAAATTATTACATTATAAGATTCAAGTTAGAGAATAACATATAAAAATTTTCTAATAACATTAAACACAGTAATTTCATCTACATGAAAAAAATTGTTCAGTTTTAACAGATCATTGAAAACAAATTTGTAACCAATGCCTCATCTCTAATGCAGTCAGAGAGTGGGTACTTAAAACGTAATATTTAATTATACTGTTGTTTCTGGTCTACTTACTGGGCTAGGCATCTGGTCGGGGTCAAGTTTTCTGGGAGCAGGTTGTTGAATTCCACCTGGTGCTGGCATATGTTGTCCCCCTGAACCTGGGAACCCCGTCTGAGGAGGGAAGGTTGTTCCTGGCATGGTCCCACCCATATACTGCTGGCCCCTTCCTGGGGGGCCTGGCTGGGGTATAGGGCCAGCAGATGATGGAGGCGTTTGCTGGGATGGCATGGGGGGCATGCCTCCATATTGACTAGAAGGGGGACCAGGAGGATGTCCTCCAGGCAAAGAGGTAGGAGGTCCTTGGTTTGGAAATCCTCCAGGCATTGATGTAGGAGGACCCTGATTGGGAAATCCTCCAGGCATAGAAGAAGGTGGACCCTGATTTGGGAATCCTCCAGGCATTGAGGTAGGGGGACCTTGATTTGAAAATCCTCCAGGCATAGAAGACGGGGGACCCTGGTTGGGAAATCCTCCAGACATAGAAGAAGGAGGACCTTGGTTAGGAAATCCTCCAGACATAGAAGAAGGAGGACCCTGGTTAGGAAATCCTCCACCTGGTGCTGAAGTTGTTGGGCCTGGTGCGTGTGGGAAACCAGCAGGAGTAGACGTCTGTGGTTTGGACTGAGCTCCTGAACCATATCCCATAGGTGGTCCGGAAGGAGGACCACCCTGTGTAAAATGTCCATAATTAGTGGGTGGGGCATTTCCCATAGCACTGCCAACTGATTGTGGAGGAATGCCACGACTTCCTGACATCTGAAATTATGGTAACAATTTTCACTTTTTGTTTAAGTTGTTCACAGAATCACACTACATGATTATTTTCTATTTTTTAATGTGTCAAAGATCTGATCTTTGTATGTCAAATACCTTACGATAAAGCTGAATTACATTTGTTACATGTAAGCAATACATCTTCTATGAACAATTTGAATACCTTGTTAGTCAAAATATTTCATATTGTAAATCAAACATCATTCTAAAGTAAGACTTATACAGAATGAAGCATTTTGTAACTTACTTCCATTGGTCTAGGCTGATCTGAAACCGACATACCACCCATTTGACTAGTCATCTGGAAAATTAAAGAATATATATATATTGTATTAAAGCACAAATTTTTTCTCTAAACCAATATGTAAACAAAATTCTTAAAATTTCTACTACCCAAATGATTTTTTAAAAGATTATTAGCAAGTCCAATTTTAACAATAGCACAATTTCAATAATTTTTCATTGTGATTGAAACAAAGTAAACAATAAAAAGAGAACAACTCGTGAAGCCAAGTTTCCAAATGATACATTTTACTTTCTTCTACAGCCTTTATTTATTTTTTATCTTTAGCAGGTAATAAATAAAAAATACCTGCACTTCTACCTTATGTAATTTCAAAAGACTTACACTGGGAAAGGAGAATTTTCATTTCATTTCATTTCATACATTTTAAATGTCAATTTTGTCTACTAACCTGCTGTGTAGCATTTGGGGGTGGACCTCCAGCAAACTGCCCTTGTCCTGGGGGAGGAGGCCGGAACTGTCCCCCTTGTGGTGTTGCTCCAGGGCCCATCATATTTTGAGTGCCTCCTGTGGGGTTAGGAGGTCTGGGTCCAGAACCCATCATGTTGGGTGGGGCATTATGTCCCATCATTGAGTTGGGTGGCTGTCCCATCATGTTGGATGATGCCCCTGAACCCATCATGGAGTTGGGGGGTCCTGTGGAGTTTGGAACATGTTGTGGTGGCCCTTGCGATGGTTTTCCTGCCATAGGTGGACCTGGTGCTCTGTTCAAAACAATTTCAATGACTGATTAAAAAATAAGCTAATCTTCACTTAGGAGACATTAATCTGATGCTTCTGACATTTATTTGAAAAAAGATATTAACATTTCGAATGAATATACAATGCATTACATAAACACATGGGGTGCGATCAATTTTAATTTTTCTTTGTAACTGGCCAACTTATCGCAAATGTCCTACCACTCATCCCACAGCATAATGAAATACTAACAAATATTTGAAGAAAGCCATGCTAAATGAAAAATTGTTGTGAATGCTTCATTATCAATTTCAACATTTTCAGACATCATTATAGATAAAAATGTCAGAGACAAAAGAAAACATAACTGCAAAATTGAATGTTCAAAATGAACATTACATCAGACAGTATGTAAATCATTGTTGCTAATTGCAATTTAGGTATGTTGATGGAAGATCAGGACTGTGGAATTAGATTCAACAATTATCTCAGTTTCTCTCCTTGGTTAAAATGATAATCACAAAAATGCTTACCGTTGTGCTCCATAGTTGATGTTGTCCCCTTGTGGACCCCCTCCTGGAAAACCACCAGGCTGTGGTCCATTAGTCATAGGTCTAAACTGGCTCTGTCCTGGACCCAAAGCATTGTTAGGTTTTGGGGGCCCACTGGGGAAACCTACATTAATCAATTATACAAAAATCAACAAATTCTAACATGTTTTAAGTTAAAAGAATTACTTCTTCACAAGTTTTCATCTACTTGGAGAATATATATATATATCAAAACAAACCTTTCATACTTCTTTATTAAATACCAATACATAATTGTATTTTTATAGGTATACTGACCACTGGGTGGTGGGCCCTGTTGACCTGTGCCATTGTACATTGGTTGACCAGCAATTGGAGGTCTTTGTCCACCCATGGGAGGGGCACCATACCCTGTGGGCGGCATATGGCCTTGGTTTCCAGGGAATTGCGGGTTCATTGTGTCATAATCATTTAGCTGAAATTTGATAAAAAAAATATACTGAGTGCAACAACATATTCTGACTTCATACTGGCATTTACTATTCCATCTCTTTAAAGGTAGTCTTATACTTGATGAGAATTTAAGTTCATGAACAATACCTGAATGATGAACAACTGTGTAGAGAGTTACAACTGGTATGTTCTAGTATAAATTAGATAGTGATACTGTTTCTAGTGCAAGTATAATGTTATCAGGAACAGAGAGAGAGAGGTGTTTTGAGATGCCTAGCTTATTCTTTTGAAGTTGGTACTGATACAAATAATTGCAAGGGTGATATATACAGGTACATGGAAGTCAAAGGAGCACCACAGTGATGATGAACTGATCCTTTGTCATAACAGAGTCAAACTTGTGGAAAAGAGAACAATAAACACACCAATGTCACACACTGCCCTTTCTTAGCACTGCCAACAAAACTAACAACTTGAATTTAATAATGACAAATTTAGATATATAGGTAAGTTTTGTATACTTGTGATTGGGATTTGAAAATTTCTGAAAAAATATCTATAACAAGTAAACTCTACCAATTTTGGTTCCTGCTTGAAATATGCATAAACCAATCAAACATCTGTTCAATTCATCATGTAGTGATGGGCTTTGTGTCTGGTTCTTATCAATCAGAATTTAACTTATTATTATTCAGTTGTAGATCCATGAAATCATCTAATTGTAACTGGACAGTATTACTCGGCCTGCTCTTTCTGTTTTATTTATCTCACATGAGTAAGTGCAGTCGTTGCTATACAATGTAGCCGGTGGCAGCATCTCAAAAGATGCATCATGGCAACTTGGTATGTATACTGACATATCATGTGGTTGTCAGTATAGTAAATAATAAGAGTTTTTTCCATTAATATTTTGAAAATCATATTTCTGCTTCAAAATCGCGTTGCGATGTAGGAAATAACCAAACATTGGCCGTTTAACAACAGTTGTTTCTGAACATTCCAAAGTTTACAGAATTAAGAAAATGTCATTTCATTCATAAATTACAAGATTCCGACACATAAAATACACATTTTAAAACAGTTGAAGGTATTATACGGGCGATATAACACAACCATCAATGCAACATATTAACAGTTAAGTCTTTTATAAACAACTGACAGCCGATTTGACCATACCGACATGCCGAAAATATTTACCTTCGCCGGGTGAAAAGTTCTCGAGAGTGTGATTCAATCTTACCTGCAAAATGCTCGAATTGGAAGCTTCTCTTATTTAAACAGGAAAGAACAATGGGAATTTCGTGATTTAGCAGAAATGAAGTTGACTAAAACACGCATAAAATGACACGACTTAGTATTACGTTTTGGATGCCACGTACGGTTGGATATTACTTCCGCTTACTGTCATGCGCAGATAATGCCACGTACTTCTGAAGGGAATTATGGGAAGTAAACTTTCAGGATTGTCTATAGGAAAGAGTTGATGGTTTTGATCCGGTCACCTCTAATATTGAAGTATGAAACGGTCACTTCAACGTTAACACCAAAATAACATTTTGACAATGAATATACAATTGAACAATCGTCAAATTTAACGCCTATAACAAAGTTTATTATGTGAAGATGCGATAACTATTTGTCAGTAGAAGAAATCCCGACTCTACTACACGCCTAAATAAAACTCGGTTACCGAGACGAAAGCAGACGATATGAAGTTATATCACGATATTACTTATCACTTAACTTTGCCTTGCAAATACCACAGATGGTAGACTGTTCAAGTCGCCCCGCTTCCTTGGTTCATGACTTGTATTTCCTTACCAGTTCTTGTTACCAACATTTGCGAATTTCATAGTGTTTATACATGAACATCTCAAAAGCACGACAGACTCTTTCGCAGCCTTTTTTTCTACAATATGAAACCAACACGTGACAGAAGTTATTATTTATTTCAATGCCTCCGCTAGGATTCGAACCCGGGACCTCTGGTTACTGATATGCGACTAGAATTTTTACATGCTCTACCTCCAGGTAGGGACGTATAATACAGTTATATCCTTGCTCCAGGATATAACTCTTCATCAAGTTCGTAGGGGTTACAGCGATGCTTGTGAAAGTAATGCTTAGTATCAATCTCGAGACCTACATGGGCGCCAATGTAATACACTAGATCGTTATTTGTTTCAATGCCTTCACAAGGATTCCAACATGAGACCTCTGGTGTGACGCTAAACCGATCGAGCTAAAGAGAAGACGGTGAGTTTTCCATTTGGATAGCAATACACCTGCATCCCCAAGTTATTCATTATACAAAGGGTTGTTCCCGATATCACGATTTTCGTGCAAGTTTCCGTCAAATGACAAAAAAAAAAAAAAAAAAAAACCTTGAGAGATACAGGCGGATAAATGAGGTTTACGGTCTTCAGATTTCTCATAGGGAAATATTGTATCTTATTATACGTTATGAAGTCGGACATGTTTGATGCTCGTTACTTGAACTGGTGGTTCCATCGTTGTGCATGATAGTATAACACGCTATAAATACAAAATGTTTCCTCCATATTCTAAGAATATATAATGTATATCCAATGTCATGACATATTCCAGATGTGCACAGAGCGAAAGTCGAGTACTAAATGTTCACTTTAACTCCGAACAGCATATCCTTGGGTGACGGTCCTGATTTTTGAGAGTTGGATGGATCTTTCTCGAATTTCATAAGCAGTCTCTTATTAGTTCATCATTACACATGTTCAATGTTGGAACTGATTGAAAGAAAGCATATGACCGACTTGTAAAAGTTAGAATTTCAAAACAAGAAGCAAATGTATAATGCAGTTTAATTAATGATTTCGCTGCCCTTTCCTTCTTTAAGTTGCAGTTTTACTGAATGGCGTTATCGTAATAGGAAAGAGTAATAAAAAATACCCTGTCACCGCTGGGTTCGACCTAACGACCCTTCGGTCTCTAGCATCCTCAATACTCTCGGGAATTACAATCACTTTCGCTCTCAGCATCCCTGAAACTTGTTATGGGGAAATTAAAGGCACAAACGGGGTAACTTGACTGATTTCAGAAGAAAAACACTGACCAATAACAGACTTATACGCTCATTTTGAAGATTTCAAAGGAACGACACTCAACTTAAAAGCCCCTACAATGTACCGTTACGCGACGTTGAGATTTCTTTGATGTACATCAAATGATCAAATTAGTTTTTTCGTCTTGTCCACAAGGTGTCGCACATAGAACCTTCGATTTTGCCATGAAATGGTCCAGGGGTGCAGAGAGCGAAACTGATTGTAACCCCTGGATTATCGAGGATGGCCGGAGACTACCGTTCGACAAAAGTGAAATTCCAATTAGAGGTGGCATCTGTGCTCTCATCTTCTAATATCATTCACTTGTGTTTGTGTCTTTGACGGTGCACGTAGTAAACACTGCTGGTTTGCCACGTATTAAAGTTATTTTGAAATAACTGAATATTGAAATTATGAAATTGTATTGTATTTCTGTGTTAGTACACATTTGGTCTTTGATATTAATTTTGGTACATTTTGGCTTTTCCATGTCCCCTCTTATAGGCTCCAACGATGTGTGTTCTATGCATCACTGACGGATCCTTGAACGGGAGTATTGCAAGTCTCATATAGTTTAAAGCATTACTTGACTATGCTATATCTGATTCTTAAGTTTAATGTGCTACTGACTTATTTTTATTACAAGTGATTTGACGATGTTGGCGGACTTTATGTCAGAGAGGTTTACCGGAACCTGCACGTTACGTTTTAGATCATATACGTACTTGACGCTCTCTCGAGATCATCCGGTATTCAAAATTATGAAATTTATTTAATTAGATGCAGCTCATTCAGGAAAATACCTGGGACTGAAATTGAACCAGATTAGCTATTATGAAATTGGATTTAAAATAGCTTCCGCGAAACATGCACATTTGCTGGTAATTCATTTTCAGATTATAAACACCTGGAGACAAGTTTGTGATATGATTCTAAGCAACAATGAAAAAAAATGCAAAACAAGTTTAGATCTTACCAACTTAGATTTTTTAAACGCGGAAGGGTGGACGAAAATTAGTCAAAAGCCATGTTGATAATAGTTATAAGACACTAAGGAAACATTTATTCTTGACAACTGATAGAAGCAGGATGTAATTATCTTTCATCAAAATGTTATGAAGTTTTGACACCGCTGATTCTTCTGTCCAAACTCCCATATATACGGCAAACGTTTTTCTTTAACAGTTGAATCTAAATCCTGATAATATCCTATTATGAAACGGGTATGCGAAACATTTGGTTAAATAATACTCTCAGTCATCGTTTTTGGATAATTTAATATATCAATTCAAACATCATGTATTACTTGAAACGATAAGTACTATTTTCCATTAAAGTGAAAGTGTATACCAAAACCAGGCTAGAATAGTCGATAAGATCGTCGGAAGTAGGAAGGTGGAAACGCAACACGGTTTGTGGACCAGTGCTTGATTTGACACCGGTTACCTTTTAATACGTGAAGCGATGTATGTACTACTTATTGACTTCTTATCTTCCAGTTGTTGACGTGGACTCCAGCAAGTATGTAAACGGGTTTTTCTGTAACTTCGAAAATGGTGGTTACCAGGGCTTAGCTGGTCTCAGGGGAATTCTTGTTGCTTGTCGTCAATGAACATGAAGCTTTCCAGATTTTGTGGCTGTGGATGCCGTTTGTTGCTGTTTTGTTTGTCTGCTTTCGTAGTATTTATAGCAGTGACATTTCAAGCTGATGATGCATATCAACCGAATTCACCATTCAAGGAAATGCAATTTCAAAGTAATTTGGAAACCGATGAAAATGAAGAATCCAGTAAAGATAAACACGTAGAAAAGCCTATCCTGATATGGTGGACCAATGGCCTGTTTCCTCACCATCCAGGCGAAGAACTTGTTTCCATTGACTGTGAAGGTTACCCATGCTTTTCAACAAATCACCGGCGATACCTTGCAGATGAAAGAACACGTGGTATAATGTTTTACGGAAGTGATATTAGTCCTGATAAGTTACCGTTGCCACGCAAATCAACGCATGATTGGGCTTTATTTCATGAGGAATCACCTATGAACAATTACATCTTATCAAAACAGCCTTTTATATCTCTATTCAACCATACAGCAACATTCAGAAGTGAATCAGATTACCCTGTAACTACTCAAAACATTTATTCATTGAAATTTATGACAAGGCGAAAACCTGTCCCTCTTCATGTCAAAAATTCTGAAAAGATGAAAAGAAATCTCGCTCCTGTGTTATATGTTCAGTCTCATCCTGGAGTTCCATCAGATCGGGATAGTTACGTAGAGGAATTAATGAAATACATACATGTTGATTCATATGGTACCTGTTTACACAATAAAGATCTACCTGAACATTTAAGGGACCCTGCACAAAATTTTGAAAATTTTGAATTTCTAGACTTCATTTCTGTCTACAAATTTCACCTGGCATTTGAAAATGCAGTTTGCAAAGACTACATGACTGAAAAACTAATGAGACCATTACATGTGGGTTCTATACCAATCTATTATGGGTCACCATTCGCCCAAGAGTGGATGCCAAATAACTCCACAGCCATCATGGTGAGTGATTTTAAAAGTCCAAAGGAATTGGCAGAGTTCATTGACTATCTTGATAATAATGATGACGAATATGAAAAATACATGCAGTTTAAAAAACCAGGGGGTGTCACAAACCAAAAACTTCTAGATCATATGGAAAAACGTCCATGGGGATCCCATGATCAAAACTTTCATATTTTCAATGAGGACAAAAAGCCAGATTATTTTCAAGGATTTGAGTGCCATGTATGTAAAAGTATTCACATGAGGATGGAAAATGAGAGGCTTCGACAGTTTGATGCATCAATACCGCCACTCCCTGGAAAGGTAGCCAATGATTCACATATGGGATGTCCAGAGCCATTCTCATCACTTGGATTGCCGGAGGAAGAATTGAAAGAAAGGTAACAACAGTTCTTAGTTTACCTTCTGTTGCAAATGAATTACTCATGACCTGATTTTTCCCCTAAGAGAAAATTTAATTGATGGAAATATAATACCAAAACTTAATACCGAAAGCATATTAACAAGTAACAAACAAAAATGTCTTTGAAATGTTGAATATCATTTACTACCATATTTTAAATTTTACTGTTGTAAAACAAAATGAGGTGGCAGAGATCTCCACACAATTCATGTTATATGATCAATGAAATAAAAATGACAGTATGGACATGTAAATTGTAAAATGTTTTAATCAATTTGTCACTTTATCAAGACACCAAATACTACACAAGTTGCATCACATACATAGAAATTCAAGCAAGATCCAGTACCGATATCAGACCATACCATCACTTGCTATACTCCATTAATTGTGTGATAGATATATTAGGTGATAACATGGGAATGCAGAATTTTTGCAGAATTATAATAAACGGTTGTATTTGATATGTGGTTTGCTTGTTCAGACTTCTGTTACTAGTGGAGATTGAAACTTCTTCCATCACTTGGACCTATTATAGTTACCATATACATAATTTTAATTATTTTAATTATGCACAATATCACCAGTTTCAAAATTAATTTTCTTTTACAATTACTGCCATTCTGAATAGTGATAAAACTATGGCGATGAAATAATTCTTAATGATTTCTGGCTTTTTACAGGTGGATAAATACTGACTGGATCAGAGTGTATCGCTCCCAAGAACTGATGGCTTCTGCAGTTAGTGATATGATGGATGCTGATGAAGCAAACTCAGAGAATTTCATTGATTATCTTAATAAATACATGGAGAACAGGGATGTAAGCTTATAGCAATTAGTGTATGATGTTGTTTATCAGTTTGTTGGTCAGTTTCTTTAATTAGATTTGATATGACTTGATCAAAATTCTGATAACAAACATCATACTGTAATGAAATATGAAACATTAATTGTTATTAGTGTAAATTTATCAGTAAATATCCTATTTATTTGGTGATAAAACCTGTGCCTGATAAATCCATCACTTTACTTTTTATGGCTTACTTGAGAGATTTTCAGCCTGATAATGGGCCCCATTTCCAGTTGAAATTTTTTCACACCTGAAATTTCCCTCCTCAATTCACCAATATTCTTTCCAAAATGAAGCAAAAAGGTTCCATCCCAAACCTGTCAATAAAAACCCTGCTTTTGTTGACAGAGCTTATGTGCTTGCCCTCTGGGTTTTGTTAATTAATTAGTATGTATACCATGTAAATATAATGAAATGAACACATGAACATGTATGTAATATACTTGAAGTATTGTAACATTTTTTAAAAATCCAAATGTAGTTTAACATCAGAGAAGTATTTATCTCGTAAAACATCTGTTTTATAGGCTATGCCTGTTTTTCTTAACCAATAAGAAGAAAAAAACAAAACAAACAAAAAACAAACAAAAAAAAAAAAAAAAACACATGTAGAAAGAACCCCTGATCAGGACTTCTTCCAGAAGTGTGATTTTGAAGCAATATGAAATTCAAGAATGTCCATTTTTGTTTTGTTTTGTTTTGATCCATATAAGGGATGTAAAAATAAATTTTCAAGTACTAGTCTGTAGACATGCTATCCAAAGTTCTGCTGTATTTCCCTCCACTAAACATCTAATGGAAGCAGGTTTTGTATCAGGGCCAAAGTGTATGTCGGACAGAACTTGTCCAGATCTGCACGCAGCCTTCTACTCAGAATTTGGAAGTGTATATTTTAGGGTATTTCTGACTGTAATTACAAAAACATTATGAAATAGTTGGAAATAAAAACTTTGAAAAAGTAGAATTATAAATAGAAATATGAAAAAGTGGACAGTGGAATTTACAAAAATTAAAAACAAATATATTGACAATAATGTTTGAAATAGAACAGAAAAAGAATGAAAAAAGGGTTGAAGGCAATTTTACCATTCCATATTAATATATATATATCTTCCATACAGTTAAGATGATAATAATCATTCCGTACTGGAAAATTTGAATTTTTACATACACATTAGCATATTGATAAGCACTCATTACTCTGACATGCAATTAATCTTAATCAAAACTTTATGATTGTGCAATGTATAATACACGTGGATATATCTACATAAATGTGTAAAAAGTTGTGGGTCAGTGTGCTTTGTACATAGTGTTAAATATGGTCTCTGTCATTCAGCTGATGGAGCATGCTTCTAGAGCTGATCGATGGTCATGCTGGAGACCAGGGTTCGATTCCTGGTCGGGACAGATATGATATAAAACCTGACAAATTTATGTAGGATATATATACAAATCTAGCCCCCAAGATCAGAATACAATTGTTTTGACTTGACAAGAATTTACTATATCATAATTTCTATTTTTCTATTTACTATCATTACATATTTATCTTCATTTGTAGATATCATGGAAATCAACACATCTACAAGTTTTGTAAATGTTTTCTCTGTTATATCAAAGTCCTGCATTCAACTATAATCTTACCATTTCATGGTCCCAGTCCTTGGCATCAGGGCCCAGAGACAGCTTTTGACGGATCTCAAAATATTGCCATAACTTTGTAGGACATACTAAATGTCCCTCTCATGTAGAAGGGGAGATAACTGCAGGAAGTTTAAATAAGTAATAAAAAAGTTTGTCAAACCAAAAGTGATATTTTATTTCATTAATCCAGCTGTGCCTTACTGATCATACATTGGACATTTATATATTTTTTACTGGGTATATGTAATTGTTGTTTTTATAGTCATGTTATTTCACTGATTTGAGAAAAGTTCGAAAAGCTTTTGTGTGAATATGTACAAGATATCTGACATATTGTGCCATATGTAAAGTGGTAACGTGTTCATTTATGGCAATCATATAATTTTATTTATATTTTTGTTATAATATCTGTAAATAAAGGACCTGTAACACTCATAACAGGTGTGTGTGTGTGTGTGTTTTCTTTTTTTTTTCCTTTTAGTTTTTCATTTGTTTAGGTTCAGGAATTGTCTACACCGAAACTATCGATGAGTTCCTGTACTTGTTATGGTAGCTGGCTTCTGTAGTGGATTTCCACTACAGGGACTGTAACTATACGCGAAATACTCTTGTTTTTTTTTAATTTCATCTGTTTTGGGTTAGTAATTTCATTTCCATGTCGATTTTCTCCTTTTTTTCGTTTTGTATAGAAAACATCACTATTTACATTAATTGAAATGTCAAACAGTTTTGCTACTTCCTTGTATTAATTTACACAAATGTATACATCCCAGTATATGCATTATGGTGATCTATAAGACATCGGAAAAGGTACAACTTCCTGTGTTGTGTATCTATGATCAGGTCGCTGATTGTATAGTTCTTGCAAACTGAGCAATAATGGGATCTAGACGGCTGAAAAAGGTAATGATTTTCTTTCTTATCTTAATTAATTGTAAACCTGGCTACGTATAAGGATATAAAGATAGCAGTTTATGTAGTAATGTTGTCAGCTCTGATAACCCTGAGATATTACTTTATACAGATGCTGTTCAATGAACGTTTTTAATAAACGTTCATTTGCTTGCTTGTAACAATTAAAGGTATTCAAACTGTTAATTTCTCATTCCTTTTAGTAAATGATTAATAATTAGAGTCAAACTGTAATAACTACCATGTAATGATCATTGCACCGAAATGTTTTCTTCCTTAAATTAGTTTAAGGAGTGATTAACTCATATATGTATATAAAAAAATCAAAATCCATATATATCAGAAAAATAATTAACTTCCTTATGTATCACAAGTAATTAACTTCCTTATGTATCACAAGTAATTAACTTCCTTATGTATCACAAGTAATTAATTTCCTTATGTATCACAAGTAATTAACATTGAATTGTCACGAGTTTATCTGGATTATTTGATGTGTATAAATAATCAATTTTACTTTAAAGGTATCGATTTTTAAATTTTTAACTTCTCCTTGAAGATAGGAAAGAATAAACAGCGACAACATAATTCATCATTCTCGGACATATTTACCGACCTGACTCGGAGGATAGCTAGATATATTTAGGCTTTCTCTACTTCAGGAAGTAACTATCTTACCATGAATATGCGTGTGCAAACGAGAAGAAATCCTTAAAACATATTATTATAACTGATTTTTCCTGATTTTTTTTCCAAATTTATTAAATGTGTAAAATCTTCAGATGGATGCCCCGATTGTCTTGGGATTGCTCTATGTACTTAATTCACAAGTCTCTTGGTCTCGTTTTATGACAGACATGATGGTTCTGTCTGTCAACACTTTAATTCTAAAGGCTTATCTAAGAATCATGAAAACATGCTTTGCTGATATTTTAATGTGATGATTCGTTGGCTTTTGTATCAATTGTCAAGGTATAAAGTTTAAAGATCACGTGCAAATTTTGTATGTGTTTTAAAACTCCAGCCTCGTTCAACAAAAGGTCGGGCATAAAACGGAGTCCTTTCTGTCAATCATCTAGTTCTGATTACCTTTTACAAAAGATAAAGATACTTTAGGACAACACTTAAAGAATGTTCACCTCGCAAAATATGCAAGTGAAAAAGGATTATGCACTGAAATAATTTTTCTTATGTGAAGAGGAACATATTTTCAATATAAATGTATTTAACCAATTCAATTTTCTTTGCTAATGATCTCATTTCCTTACTGGAACATTGTTAAACTTATCGGATATGGCGATTCCCGACTGTAACTTCCTGACAAGGTTGTAACGGTGTAATCACCAGTGTAAAATGATCAGACCGGAAGTGATCGAAATGGCAACAGGAAGTTCGTAGTTTTCAAGATATAAAGTAAAACACGTTTAAGAATATTTCTAAAAATCATGGTATAGTTGATCATCGTTAATCTGGCTATCATCAAATCAGTTAACGAAAGCAATTCTTGTGTTTTAACGAAGGAAGATAGCTATATTTTTCAGTTTAAATATTTTGCTTCACACCAACAAATCCCCCGCCAAAGTAATGGTCTATTTTTTAATATCACAAACTCCTACAACAATATATATTGTCAAAATATTTTATCTGCTTTTTGCAGAATCTATATTTTATGTAACAGCACATTTATGTGGACTAGGTGTCTGCATTCTCTGTTTGCGAACACAAGTAAAAAGCTGCACATGGATGTTACTAACCTAAATATTCTTCGGGCAGATCTGTATTTTAAAGTATAGCAATAATCGGATGACCTTTACATTTGACCTGTAGGAGCTCCTACAAATGACAAAAGACCCACCAGAGAACTGCTCAGCTAGACTTGTCGGGGATGATCGTAAGTCACTTTTGAACAATAATAGAAATTCGATAATTTTCGTTATACATACATTTCCTAAATCACTTTTGAAACAAGGTGACATTTTGTTTCGGAATTTATATATGCAAATGAGATAATACATGTAGGTAAAACAATGTATACAAAATGTATTGTTATGTATTTTTTGGTAAACGCTAGAGGTTAGGGATTGGTCACGTAAGCTATCTATAAAAAAATTGGTAAGGTCGCTGTGGGCAGTAAAGAACATTCAGAGACAAACATGTACCATCCATGAAACCACACCATAAAATAACACCCGCGTCTCGTTAAAAATGAAAGAAAAGTTAAAAATTATATGTAGATCTGTTATGAATGTTCCTTAATATTCTCCCTATGTCTATTTTAAGTGTTTCACTGGAAAGCATCACTGACTGGTCCGGTGAGTATTTCTACGTCAAAATGATTATATTTTTCTACTGTAGTTGAATGACGTGATTTGAATTAATGTGAAATGTTTACGTGTGAAATTGTAAAGATACACATTAAAGGCACAAGGAAAGTTATGAGGTTAAATAGGACAGTCTCGTTAGCTACAACAATTGTTCGGAATATGAACCGTATTTAAGATGATAAGTCTTTTTTACGAGAATGAGCGTAGTGTGTAATAAACCCAACATTTAAAAAAATCATTTTACACTGATATATGCCTACAAGACATTTGTGATATTTCTAAATCTCACTGCCTTTCCTTCTTCTTTTCCCGAGAGAAATGAAATATATTTTGTTGTTGTTCAACCCTCCAGATTTTCTTAAAAGGGGTCGTTAAAACTATCGGCTTATTGCTGGATTGGCTTTACCAAAAATACATCCCTACAAAAGGCTTTACCAATAATGTATTACTATGAAAGGCTTTGCCAGTAAGGTATTCCTACGATAGGCTTTATCAATAATGCATTCCTACGTTAGACTTTGCCAGTGACGTATTCCTAATATAGGTTTTGCCAAAAATATATTCCTACGACAGGCTTTATCAGTAAGGTATTCCTATGATAGACTATCAATAATGTATTGCTATGATAAGCTTTACCAGTAAGGTATTCCTAAGATAGACTTTACCAATAATATATTCCTATAATAGATTTTATCAATAATAAATTGCTATGATAAGCTTTACCAATAATATATTCCTAAGATAGACTTTACCAATAATATATTCCTATGATAGATTTTATCAATAATGTATTGCTATGATAAGCTTTACCAATAATATATTCCTATGATAGACTTTATCAATAATGCATTCCTACGTTAGACTTTACCATTAAGGTATTCCTAAGATAGACTTTACCAATAATATATTCCTATGATAGATTTTATCAATAATGTATTGCTATGATAAGCTTTACCAATAATATATTCCTATGATAGACTTTATCAATAATGCATTCCTACGTTAGACTTTACCAGTAAGGTATTCCTAAGATAGACTTTACCAATAATGTATTTCTGTTATATGTTTTACCGGTAATGTATTCCTACGTACCTTAACATTATCATATTTAGTTACCTAGTACAATGTAACTCAGTTCGAAATCTCTCAATTTGAAGACGATACTAATATGTATAACCGGTCGTTTTTCTACAGGAAGATACACCTTACGCTGACGGGACATTTGAACTAGACATACGATTTCCAGTCGAATATCCGTTTAAACCACCTTCGGTAAATCAGATTTAGTTTAAACGATAGTTTATCCATTATTATTGAAATACATGAAGGCACAGAATAAACAGAAGTGAAAAAGGAGTTTACAACAAGCGTGAAGCTTTTGTAAGTTATCAGTTTTCTACATGGATGTCATACATGTCGTATATTATATCAAATTATTGCGATATTTTAAAATACAAATTAAAGTATTATTACATATACAGTATATTTCATTGTACAATGCAGTTTAATTCAGTATTTGGTTATACAGCATATAATTATGTATTGAAAAGTGCTATTCACCTGTGTGTTTTCGGTACAATTAATTGACACAAGGAAGTCGGGGATGTCTGTGATATTGAAAATCGAAGTCTTTTGAAGTGCACTCGTCTGTTTACAAAATATACCAAGTGCAATATTAAATGATATCAAGGAAGTTCACACTTTAGAAAACGAAGAAACCATTTGGTCAATGCATGCTGAGGAAGCATTCCTACTGCTTAAGTTTCCTGATTAACATATAATCAATTCTATCATCAGAGGAGAAAAGTTAAGGTTCTTTGTTACCTTTCTTTGTCAAATCGACATGCTAACATGTAAAACTCTATGGGATTATTTGAAAATCAATCTTACAAAGAGTCGAGTTTACAAAATTATAAACAGAACACAGCTTTGTCGAAAAATGGGCGTTGTTTAATACCAAATTAGAGTACCATGTTATTTTACTTCTGCATGTAAACAACTCAAGGTAAAGTTCGATACCAAGATCTACCATCCAAACATCAGTGTTAATGGTCAAATATGCATGGACATCCTGAGGTCCAAGTGGTCAGCTGGTATTACAGTTAGTGCGGGTAAGTGTCACTGATGTATTCGCCTCTTACTACCGATGAAGGGAAGGTGTGAACGACACACTTACTATAGTATTGAACAAAGTATTGATACTATTGTATTGAAGTATTCAAATAATCGAGTCAAGTATACAACGACCTCTGTGATTGGTCGGGGGCGGAGTTTACACATTCTGAATAGTTGATCTGACACCCAATTTGTTCCGGTAGGCGGAGTTAATGTACACTATCAGTTACATAACAATTACTAAGTAATCGCTGGAAAAATGTCCGACGACGGCAACAGTACGCAAAATTTTCTTCGACGAAATTATGTCCGATACGAACGATATGGGGACTCCTGTTTTTGTACAAGGCGATGTGGTTGTGATGGATAATTGTGGATTCCATCACCATAGACAGGGAGAGCGCATTTTAAGAAATATGCTGAAAGAATATGGCGTGTCCCTGGTTTTTCAGCCGCCTTATTCCCCGGAATACAACGTAACTGAATATGTATTCAATGTCATGAGACAGAGGCTTCGGGCAAATACCCGACTTGTGTCAGAATTTCTGGAACTTGCAGTAGTAAATGCTCTAGATATTCCGCCCAACCAACTTCAAAGTTTTTTCACATGTTGCGGATATGTATAATTTTCGATGGAAAGATAAAAAATAAAATAAAAAATATATGGGACCACAGAATTCCTTTACTTTTTAATGCAGTATGAATTATCGGCATATATCAGGAGGTCCCAGGTAATTCGTAATTCTTTGCTACATATAATAGAGCTTGGGCTTAAACCGAAATATTTTGAGCCAACCCTCCCCCCCCCCCCCCCCCCCCTTTCAAAAAAATAAATAAATAAATAAAACTAGTACAGAATGACTATATGACTATATTCACTGTTAAGATGTTATGAATTCTCCGGTCCCAGTGATCTAACCTGTTGATATATATTTTGTACGTAAATTAGTTTAGTACTGAGTAACTTTCGTTTTCTCGTTGTACCATCGATGGAAAAGCAAGGTATCATTGGGTGTAGAACGAAAACAAATGGGACAACCCAATTAGGTCTGATCTGAAGCCACCTGTGACTTGGACTCTTCCAATTAACCTCTCGCGACAGTCGAGTGTTTGTAAAATGCCGATGTCTGCACTGTGTTTTTTCACCTGGCTCCACCCACAATCGATCTAGACTTGGCTCTGCCAATCAGAGAGCTTGTTGCATAAATTTAAGGAATTCGATTGGTGAAGTACTTCAGTACAATACTATCAATACTTTGTTCAGTACTACAGTACTTGAAACGTTCACACCTTCCCTTCATCGGTAGTAATGTAGGGAACAATTATAACATACTTAAATTTGCGTGGGGTCAGATTTTTACCATCCCTCTTCTAGCATATTTCATTTCACTTTTTTTTTTCAAATCAAATAATATTTATATTTTATTTATTTCATTTAGCAAAACAACATAATAAAATCTTCACAGCAGAAGACAGAACTAACAGTACGCATTGTTTCCTTTTTTCCAGTTTTGTTGTCTGTTAGTTCTCTAATGGCGGATCCAAATCCTACAGATCCCTTCGTGCCGGAAATTGCCGATATTTACCGAAACGAATATGAACAGTTCAAAGAGACTGCTAAAGAATGGACAAATCTGTATGCATGTCCTGCTAAAATGTTTGATGAAGAATTGACAGAACCGAGTGCTGTCATAGATTCAGACAAAGATAACATACACTAACTGCAGCTGTAAATTATTCGAAATGAATTTTAAGGGAAAACCGTCAGAAATATGTTTGTCATCAATACATCGTCCTGCAGGTGTTACTAATACACATGTAATTGACGTTCTTTTGAAACCAAATATCGACATTTATTAACATATTAACAGGTTTGATCCAGTTTGTTTTTAAAAAAATGGATGCACATTGTCAGTTTTTCTGTGAACACGTCCCTGTTTAGCTTAATGGTGCTGGATTTTAATCTAATCCATTAAACTCCATATTAAATGTATATTTGATAAACAATTGTTCAAAAATCAATGATCCTTTATAGATCGATTGTTTATCAGATCGAGCTCTTGATCCCAACCAGACATTTAGGAAATCTATCTTTTATAATGAGTGATCATTCAGTTCCCACTATTTTACACACAGCAGTTTATTGGGGCATTAAATTGCCATTGTATTGGTAAAGACTTTGTGCAATATATTCTGTCCTTCAAATCTGAAAGGTGAAGTTTGAAACGAAGATCTACCATCCACACATCATAGACGGACAGATTTGTATGGACATTCTACATTCCAAGTGGTCAGCGGTGTTTACATTAAGTACAGGTTATTAATTTTTGTTATGATATTTGTAGTCTATATATTTGCAGTTAACGGTATAACTTACCTCCCTTTATAATGCCCTGTTTACAAATGGAATATTTTGGGTACCTTTCAAGTATGAAAGAATATTTACGGTACATGAATTATTGAGCAAATATGCGATTTGGGCTTGACGTCTTTGCTTCTTTTTATAATTTTGCTGAATTATTATCTAATTTTGGTTTGCTGTCTTGTTGATTCCCGAGTCTTCATATACAATAACACTATCATACAATGTTTGATTTCAGTTCTTCTAGCAGTAAGCAGCCTAATGGCAGAATCTAAATCTCATGACACAGAGGTCACTCAGAGAGCCAAAGAGTGGACAGATATGTATGCTCGTCCGTCTCTTGCAGGAGAAAAAGATTTGAGAGAGCCTGTATTACCATGATTGGGTGGTCATGGTGATTGATGTCTGGGAGAAGATATTGCATTACTTTCAATAATTCTGATATGACATTGAATAAATGCACAAGAACAGTGGACATACACAATTTAAATATTTATGGATATATCATTGTATGATATTTGACATTACATACAAAACTGAACCCTTACTTCACCTTTGACGTTGTTTTATCTCCGGAACACCAACGTTCACAGTCACCAGTTTGTTAATTATACAACAAAACATATAGAAAAACTAATTGCGTAGATACACTACACTATTACTTTGTGTATTGTTGTATTTGTTATTTGCTTTTAAGTGACTTTGTATTTTGCATTCATTGGCCCACTTGTTTTCAACCAGGGCTAAATCTCTTTTAAAAAACCCCACAAAAGCTATATATTAAAGATATATTACTGATGCCTTTTCTTTAAATAGCTAGAAATTCATTGACCATGTCTATCGTATATGCCCATGAAAATTGAAATCAGAGACATGCCAGATTTTCTACAACGGTACCAATAGGGAGAACTTTCCACCAAGCCGTATTAGTGCTTTGATTTCCAGTTTCCTTATGTTTCGATTTCCTTACTGAATAGTAGCAACCCTGCTTTCCAAATATATTGTGTTACAATGTTCCAACTGGTTGGGTATTCAAAGGTTTGTTCCCAATATCACGATCTCCCAGCAAGATGTTGACGTACAAAATATGGTATCTAAAGATGCATGTTGATAAATTATACGATATTGTCGGGAAAAACTCATTTGTGTCCAACACGCTTGAATCGAATACATCGGATAAGTAGAAAGGTTAGCTTCGTCCCGATTTTTTGGTCTTCTTTAACCCAGTAAATTAAACACGGATGATTCGAACACTATTGAATCGAAGACTGCGTTTGTGTCGAATATATTTTGTGGTCCATCTCTTCTAAATTCTAAAGCTTGTCAGTATGACTGGTGGTTCATTTGCTGTTAACCATGTTCTCAATTGGGAACACGAAGGACATGAATTGACCAAGACATACGTAACGTATGTCGTCGTTTGTTCATATTTTGACCTAATTACATAGATTTTAAGTTTAGATTAATATTTTGGTTGATTTATCGCGGTTTCGTTTTCGTTAATGTATAAGTCTGTATTTTCTGACTCTATGCCATCCGTAAATGACTTTTATTTGGTCTGATGAATTATTGTTTTATCCAATAAAGACGTACACTTTACTTCAATATATTACACATTGCTTCGCACCTTATACGAATATATATGGTCACAATGTGTCAACATTTTTGCAAATTAGTTTTGTCTGGTGTATATTAAGATCTATGCAATGTCTTTGGCAGCTAGAAAATGTTAAACAAGCCAACGAGAGGTATTTTTCAACGAAGTGTCATACGTGAACATTAACAGAATGGATTTGGTTAGTCATAATGTAACTTTAGTTGAGATATATTTAGACAGTAATACACATAGATATTACGGTGGTATTACTATATACGTGACTCATGATTACATATTTGGCACCTATACAGGTTTACGCAGAACTACCATTAAGGATTTTATTAAACAGTACTGTTAACATATTTTGTTTCCAACCTCTCACTGATTGACACTCTGCTTTCTCGTTGATGATATTTCAAACACCGCACAGTTTTACAACCGCATACAACCACCACCACCTGGCACCACCAGCAGCATCTGTTTACACCTTTACTTAAACGTGCCTGCCTCGGTGGACCTCATTACACCCCGATTAACTCACGATCTTTTTCCGCTCCGGCCGCACATCCTAATCACGCGTTAGTTTATTCCATTTCAGATTTCCTGAATTATCTTTACTGAACATCTGTACAAATAATGATTTAAACCAAGACTCATTCTCATGACCTTCCAAAATTTTCTCAGTTTGAACTATTTCCCGTTCCGGACCGCCGACCTCCATACTTAATCTACTTTAACACTTTGTTCCTCCAATGAATCTGTGTATTATAGATTAGTTTAAAAACCAAATTACCCTCCTCTCTGGACCTGCACCCTGCACGTGAAATTAAACCACGCTTTTAACCATTACTTACCCACCTCTGTGGACTTTCATACTCTTACTATACATAAACTTAACCAACGCATTACTCCCAAGAAATCTCTATTACATTAAAAAAACTATACATCCTCTCTGAATTTCAATATAAATGTTAATTTAAAGCATGACTTCCTCTCCAGTGAGCCGCGTTATTCCCCCTCTTCCTCTCAAGTTCGTCTTAGATTAGACAAAGCAATAACGGAAATTTTCTCGACGGATGCAAGATGCCTGCATCTCGATTCACGGAATTCATTATTGCTATAAACATTCATAATATTGTTTCAAAGGTGTTTAAGCTGTTGAATTTGATCTTCATCTCAGAAAATTGCAAATCAATTATCTATAATCTGTGATTCTAAAACGTACAAGATCTTTAAGAACATACTGTACTTCAATATTACAAACGTTGAAAGTAAACAGAATTAAAAGGAATTAACTTAAGCATACCTTACATGCCAAAGTTCCTTATCCTAACTTCTATGTTGAACAGGCAGTGTTGACAATTTGTTTGGTTTTACCACATAAAAACGTGACCGAAATATACGAGTTTTTATTCCATTCATAAACTGATATGGCAGTCTTTTCCCAATTAGATGCAATTGACCAACTGACCAAACATCTCTACCAAGCACCGACCTCTCCGTTACCCTTACCCTAGACGGACGAACGGTCTGCCGACAACTTAAGCAACTCATTAGTTCTTGGCATTACTTACCTGTATGAATCATATTATAAGAAATCATTCAATGGAAATTTCCCAATGTTCTATTTTTAGTGGTGTTTGAAAATTTCCTGTTTGAATGCTAAAGAAAATGACGTCTGCTTGAATTTGTTAATGTTCAACTTGTATGAAAAAGTTTGTCTCAAAGCCTTATTCATATCTAAAGTAATATACACACGCTGGCCTAAACGTGTTTGTGCTACAGTGTATTTACTGTAATTGATCTGAACTAGTATCGCTGTCGGCGTTGTCCAATCACATACAACGGTGACGTGTGTTGCTATAAATAGAACGTGTGTATTAGTAAAGGTGCGGTTTGTCTGGCTGTGCGTCATAACTAGCTAAACCACAGACGGAAATACAGAAATTTGTTATCTGGAATTCTTACAGTACCAGTAACTTAGACATGGGCGGTATGGGGACTAACAACAAACGACTCAAGAAGGTAGTGTAAACCATATAATAAGATTGTAACTCTTTTGAGTGCCCAGGCAGTATATATCAGCTGAATTCAGACACAAGTCTGTAATATGCGATTTAGGGGCTCTTCCTGAATCTGTGTATTGATTCTAAGAACAAGGTAGAGGTTTGTATGGATCTCTGAAATATTACATATTAGATGAAACAAATTTCCTGGACAGTCATTTTGTTTAATTGTTTGACATTGTATCTGCTATCTACTCACTACTCTTTACAGTTTAATATCAACCATATCTCTCAAAATGCAGCTGTGATAGGTATCGAGATAAATGTATCATGATCGGCTCAGATCCCGACATTATGTAACTCGCTGTGTTGTTTACAGGAACTTATGTCAATGCAGAGTGAGCCTCCAGACAATTGTTCTGCTGGACTTGTTGGTGACGACAGTAAGTAGTTATCATGTACACATATCCTGTTTCTCACGCTTCAGTGATTCCGCTTCAAGGACACTCTCTCTTTGTTACATTGAACACAACAGGTGATCTCGGTTAAAGAAACTGGACATTTTTGTCGACTACATTATGTATATGAAGCAAATAGGAATGTTCATTATCCTATACGATGACATAACGTGATCCAGTATTATTCAAGCATAAAAGGAAACGAATTTCATTATCTGGGCCAGTTGTATCTAATAATAACTTTTTGTATTAAATGTGATATTCATGTCTATATCTTTAAAAAAAACCCCATGTTTATGAGTAAATTGTTATGCACGTTACAAAATATAAACTGTATTATAAATATTTATGTTGAATTTCAATTTTAATGGAATTCAGTCATTTAACAACATAAAAGCTATGGTTCCTCAATGGGAATAACTACCTAAAATCTCGCCAAACTCCTATTAATAACTTTTGATGTTGTTGATAATTCAGCATGGAATTTATTATCAATATTTGTTACAATATTCATATTTTTCTTTATTGCAGTATATCATTGGCAAGCGACAATATTTGGACCTGTAAGTACGATTAGCTATACTCTGATGTTCTTGATAATATCAAAGAGTTTTTGAAAAAAAGCCTGATCACATTTGGGTATGAGCGTCTTGTTAAAATAAAAAAAATATTATCTGCGCAAGTTTTGAAACCCGGATCATGTATTCTATTGATGAAATTAGTTAATCTTTTATCAAATGTTTTTAATGATCATTTCATAATATTCAGAGGTAATTCTGATAATACTTTTTTTTAAATTGTGCAACTTTAACAATTTAAATCTTGAAATTATGATGTTTTTTTCACATGTTTGTGTTTTGTACGATCCTTAAGTAAAAGCATCTTCTTTAACAGGATGACACACCCTATGCTGGAGGTATGTTTTTCCTCGACATGAGGTTCCCTACAGACTATCCTTTTAAAGCACCGAAGGTAAGTCATATACTAAATCAGATCCTAACTGATTAAGATGTTTGCTTATTGATTCAAATGATTGATTGTTGAAAATTTCCTTCCTAAATGCACCCTAGTTCAAATGATTATTTGGTTAAAGATGTCGGATATGCGTTGATATTTGGTATCTATTGGATGTATATTTTAAGAGCATTTATACAACGTAAACTAAGTATTAATTTTACCATATGTATATTTTTCACACATGTCACATTAATAAATTTTCTTTATACTTCAGATCGTATTTAAAACTAAAATATATCACCCTAACATAAATAGTAATGGAAGTATTTGCGTGGATATATTGAGGTCACAATGGTCACCAGCCATCACTGTTAACAAAGGTATGTTATATGGAAAGCGAAAGTAGAATGTTACACATTTGTAACGTTAGTTGAGAAAGGAAATTTGTTATATCATTATCAGGTAATCAGTAAAATGATCTCGATATTATAATGTTGACATGTTATAAAATAAATAAATGTTACAATATCACTGATAGGATGACACCATGTAACATAAAGTTTTAAATTATGTGATTTTGATTAATAAAAATTGATCTACGTTTATATAGTAACCAATTTGACATTGAAAATGATTTCCTTTCAGTTTTATTGTCGATAAGTTCATTGATGGCGGATCCTAACCCATCTGACCCATTGGTACCGGAAATAGCCAAATTGTACGAGCATAACCGACAGGAATACAACGCCATCGCAAAGGAATGGACTAATAAGTACGCACGTTGAAAGCATTTTTACAGGACTACCCTAATACAGCTATATAGATGACGTCATAAGGACTGATATATCAGAACGACATAGAACAAAGCTATCTGTGATACATAAAATAACGGCGATAGACAGTAATATGCATCGTTCTTCATTAAGTATAACGTCGTCCAATACACCAGTTAGTAAGTCATTTGTGAGGTGTCTACTGATGAAAATATTACAACATGGCTTATCTCGAATCTCTGGTGTTTGAATTATCAATAAATGTTACGCGAGTTCATTAACAGCGGCCTTTTCCTGGTTGCAGGGTAAACTGAAGCTATATCAAGAACTGGCATTTCTTACTTTTATCAATATTGAAAAAAAATCGCGTTCGTGAAATATTCACAAACGAGTACTTTTATGTATATGTTGTATTGTTTATATTGTGTTGAAATCTAATAAAATTATTATTTGTGACAATAAAAATTGTTAAAATAATTTTGATAGTAAAGTTAGATATTTTAGTGAATATTTCAATTTTTTAAATGCAAGATTAAAATGGAAATTTAATATGAAATACAGCATGTGTCGGAAAATGTATCATTAAGGCGATTCGTCATTTAAAGACTAATCAGATATACCAGGTGCCAAAATTTTACATAAAAACGTTTTGAATCTTAAAAGATAATAATATTTTAAGAATAATTTTTCATGTTTACTGTTTGTACTGTAGTAGTTCAAAAGTACTGGGTCAGGAGGTGTTGTTTTAGGAAACGGTGTCAATTACACATTGTTTCATATAAGCTGCCCTTTCTTTTCTGGATTTTTGCCCGAGATTTTCCCGTATTTCTCGCAACCTATCTTCATATGACTGCGATATTAAAATAAATGATTATACAAATTTTGTTTGATGAAAAATACTGAATAATTAAAATAGACTCGTTCAGCACTAAAACACGTATAAATAAATTAGAATATGTTGGATGATTTAACACTACACCCTAACATATTTCTAAAATTATCATAATATGAAAAATACCTGTAATATAACTTATCTTGAACTTAAACCAATATTAAACCATAGATGCTATACAATATGTAACTTAATCACCATAGATTACATAGATAATCATTTTAGTGTTGTACAATAAAGTACCCGAGACAAAACTTCAGAATAAAGAGCATTTGAATAAAAACAAATATCCCTGAAATAAAACTAGAGTATTTAAGATAAAATGAAAAACTACTTGAAATAATTCTGGAATACTGGAAATAAAACAAATATACCTGAAATAAAACTAGAGTATTTAAGATAAAATGAAAAACTACTTGAAATAATTCTGGAATACTGGAAATAAAACAAATATCCCTGAAATAAAACTAGAGTATTTAAGATAAAATGAAAAACTACTTGAAATAATTCTGGAATACTGGAAATAAAACAAATATACCTGAAATAAAACTAGAGTATTTAAGATAAAATGAAAAACTACTTGAAATAATTCTGGAATACTGGAAATAAAACAAATATCCCTGAAATAAAACTAGAGTATTTAAGATAAAATGAAAAACTACTTGAAATAATTCTGGAATACTGGAAATAAAACAAATATACCTGAAATAAAACTAGAGTATTTAAGATAAAATGAAAAACTACTTGAAATAATTCTGGAATACTGGAAATAAAACAAATATACCTGAAATAAAACTAGAGTATTTAAGATAAAATGAAAAACTACTTGAAATAATTCTGGAATACTGGAAATAAAACAAATATACCTGAAATAAAACTAGAGTATTTAAGATAAAATGAAAAACTACTTGAAATAATTCTGGAATACTGGAAATAAAACAAATATACCTGAAAGAAAACTAGAGTATTTGAAATGAAAAGACTCCTGAAAATGCATGCCGCATGGCGCTGTGAAGGGCGATCTCATAGTCGGCGAATACAGTAGTTGGACACATTGGGATGTTACATTCATCCATGGCGGTCTTCAGTAGAATGAGAAACCAGATGTGGATCTACCGTCTCTTTCCGGGCAGGAGAGTGTCGACTACAGGGATTATGGTTCCAATAACATCTGTGAAAGTGTCGGGCAAGTGTAGAAGTTCCCATCACAGTAAATCTTGTCAGCAGCGGCATGGTCTGTCATGTTCCCGGAAGTGGCAGGCAAGGTAGCGGGCATCATTTCCATTGTCAGTTAGCAGGAAGTGTTCACCAGTCATTGTCACGGTCCATCGTCTATCAAGGTTGATGTTACTAGTCGTCTTTGGCAGCTTTGGTGTCAGTTTCCGTCTGGCTCTGTAGAGTGCTGATCTTGCATTTTTGTAGGTATGAATCTGCTTCACAACGGCCCTTGCCTGACCATCATAGTCATCATCTAGCAGCTTGGTTACCTCCTCCTGGTAAATTGACAGTGTTGGTCTGACCTCTAGTTTATATTATTCAACATGTGCTTAATAATCACCTCATTTAGCTGCCATGTTTCTCCTCCCTATTGATAGTGAACACAAACACATCGTAACAACAAAATAGTAATTACACCTGCTACTCCGCAAAATGTTCTATCAAAGATAGGATGATGAACTTGAAGGTTATGAAACGAATGACGTTACTGGTTAAGAAAATATCGGGTGTCTGGTAATTGGTATCAAATCTACTAATTTATCAATGAGAAATGATTAATAGTCATTTTGGATTAATTTTATTTTGTTAACTTCTGGTCTAAACATCCATCAGTACAACATGTATACACAAACACAAGGTACAATGTGATAAGTTAAGTAGCTGTTATGTAAACTTAAAATATTACATTCCAAATAAAATAAAAAAAAAATAAGATATTCAAACATTTCACAAAATATATGAAATAGGTTTCTTCATACCTAATAATGCTATAGAGAATAAAATTGAGTGTGAATATTGTTTAAACATATCTAAGATATTTAAAAAGAGTATCATGAACATCAAATTTAAAAGGAAACAAAAATACAACTTACACTAGTTGCTGAATGCCATCAGGGGCAGTTTTACATGTAAATTTACCTGCTGGAACTAATACTACTTTAGAAGAAAAGACTATGACCACTATCAATACATAATGCTCTCGAGGGGATTAAAAATGTTGGCACTCAAAGATACATCCGGTCAGGGTCATCCAGTACACTCCCCTATATAATTCTCCCGGGCACCTCCCTAGTGACACCCTCTGCGGCAGGAAGGTACCAATCGGATGTCACAGGTATCTCATTGATGACGTATTTGGGGTTTTCTTTGCTGTATCTTTGTTTAGAGCGATTGCATTTCTATGAAAAAAAAGAGAGAAGACGGTACATATGTACAACATTTTATCCCCCCTCACGATGGAATGAATTTAGGCAGGAGACCCATCCCACATCCATCCTTACCATCATTACCTACTCTAATATATACATCGTAATAAGATATTACAATTACACAAGAGTCATCTACCATACCTTGCTATAGTAAAGGAACTGTCTGACTATATTCACAATTTTTCCGATAACACGGGTCATGGCATTGGACCTTTCTGGGGTAGTTTACTCTCCTGCAAGTTGATAACATCAGAAGCGCGTATCCAGAAATTGAATTTCTTTAGCCTGCGCAACCATTTCACTTAATATTTTTTGCTTTGACCTTTCCTTGTCAAAATGGTTTCCACCTTCAGCATATCGTCGTTCCTTACATCCACTTTCTGTAGCTCGGACTTATAAAAAGTTCCCTTGATCTCGTGGCCCCGTCAAATGTGTTAAAGCCCCAATATACGTAAAAATCACTATAAATAACAATCTTTATCGTATTTTCCCCAAAACAAATACATTCCTTTTATTAAAGAAAATAAAACTGACTGTTTTCAATTTAAATAAAAATTGAAAAAATCGGAAAATAAACAATGTGGGACCCACAATAATTCATACATCACCGCTCGTAGCGATGACATTGCGCATGCGCATATTCCGCGTGTGCAAACATGGCAGACACAGTACATACGTTCACCAGTCGCTTCCTTTTTTCCAATCATACATCAGGCCAGTTCTGAATTCTTACGAAATAATTGTGCGTCGTATCGTTTCTAAACTAATTATTCCTTCTAATAATTTCCCAAAAACTGAATGTTTATCACAGGAATACCTCAAGTCTACGACAAGACTTCGCAGACAATGTTTGTAAACAAAAACTTACTGTAGACATATCTGCATGTGCTTACTCTATAAGTAGAAACCTCAACTCTCGCGAGACAGGTCATGAACTTACCGACGTGGTTCGGCAACAATCGTAATTTCGATGGCAGCGTGTTTAAAATGGAGGTGTGTTTACAAATAGCGAGTTTCAACTGCTCATATATCAATACTTTATGCACAAAGTCATGATAACTATTGTTTGAATAACTTAATTTTAACTACATTTTAGAGAATATCTCAATAATTATGTGTGATTCTACACTAAAGTTTTGGTGAATGTTACGTATATTTGGGCTTTAAATGAAATGGACTGAGCGTGGGGATTACCATTTGTTGTTACCTGTGTTTAGTGGACGGTTTACACCCATATTAATGCGAATATGGTACTCATTGATACAATGCGTGATAGGTCCCATACCATTTTACACAGACATACACGAATATGTTTTAAATGACATTAAATGTTTTGAAATCTTCGGTATATGATAAAGAGGACCGTTGTCTGTTCCTTTTTGACCCTGTAGTTTCAACATACTCAACAAAGAACAGATTTGGAATAATCCGATTACTAGCATATAAAAAGGTTAAAAACGTCTTGATAAAATAGATCAATGGGGTAACGATGCAAACGACCGATACCATTGTTTTGAAATGTCAGACTGTTAGTCTAAGGATTATACAAACGACACAAGAGAACAGCACCTTAATACTTATCTCTGTGTGGGTATACGACTTTGTTTTTAGATCTTTATATATCTGTCTTTAAGAAATTTACATAAGACCTACAATACAGGCAATTATCTGTAGTTCATGTGTAATGTATATAAAGGAAGAAAGAAAGAAAGACAAAAGAAGAAAGAAAGAAAGAATATCATAATAAGATATCAGTGGAAAATATGAAAGTGATACGAGAAGAGAAAGTGAAAATTTCTGGTGGGGTGCTGTTTTGGGTGTGTGTGTACGTATGTGTGTGTCACAGTATACTACTGAAGTGTAAAAACATCTTTTGTAAGTAAAACAAAATCTCAAAATATAAAACAAATACTGAAATGCACGTTTTATAATCAGACTGCTCTAACTAAGACAAAAATCGTTCATTATAAGTGATTAAGTAACTATTGACTCAAAGACAACACTAATCACAGTATGGCATTGTGTACATGGTTGATAAGTTATCAGCTCTAGCTGCTCGTCGATAGTCATTATCGTTTAGAGTTATCGGATGTACAGCTGTGTACTGTTCAGTATGCTAACAAAAGAACGAAATATAGATCGACATCACCATTTCGAAGGTGTGTTGATAAGAAGGACATATATCCTGATAGTACATAACTCTGAATCTATTTAATTAGGTTAAGCAGTATATTGATGGCAGATTTGTCCCCTCTCCAGATTTCCTTATAACAGTTAAATCTTAATTAGGTTAAAAAGTAGTTATTATGTAACTTTTGTTTCATACATTTCCTAAAATATATGATTAAGGACAGAGCTTTTGTTGAATCAAATATCAAATCCTGTTGGCAATATCGCCACAACAGCTAATAATGATATTCCGTTTCATAGATCTACAGTAGGTATACGGGTATACAACTAATGTGTGTCAGAATCGTGTTCTATGTGATATCGAATTCTAAAAATAGCTTTGATTTGTTCTATATTGATTGCTTTGCAGGTTGGATGAATATGTATTATCACAAGGTGCAACTACCCTTGACGGCATGATTCACAACCCGTATTTCATTGTTTAGTTCGCGATCGACAAAGTTAAAGTACACACCGGTGACGTGTGTTGTAAATAGATTACGTGTGGTAAAGCTGTGTAAACCAGGTGGGATACCATAATACCATACACAGAAAAAATGGCGGAACGAAGACTGGCTAAGGTAATGACTATGTTTTGTTCTTGTTTTAGTGTATAAAAGATATGACTCCCGACCTTACCAACTCAACATCAACTTCTCTTGGTGATGTTGCTTTTGACCCTCCTTTGCTAGTGATGATTAAATGTTGATATCATATAATCATATAAATTTACATGTGAACATCAAAAGAAGTCCAGTCTTGCTGTTTTGTTGTAAGCTAAGCACTATTGCTGCCACAATACATGCATGTCATTATAATCAATTGTGTTGGTGTACATTCTCCTAACATTGTTCTGCAGGTATGACGTTAGTATTGTACATGCTATCCCCATTACATGATTCGTAAGAGGTGACTATATATGGACATTCACGTGCGCCTTTTTGAAGAAGACTATGGGTTCGGTCCCCAGACCATTACGTTTAAAACTGACGTTCTCTATAGTGGTAGTATGACGATAGTTTTGCCTGTAGTCGGTATAATGTGACTGGGTGGGATGTCTTTGTGTACGCTTTCGGCGGTAGATTTCAGTTTTGTTGTAACACTTTAGCAGGGAGGCTTACAACGACATGTTTCAGGCTGCCACACACATACTCACTCGCCTCGCTTAGATATTGATAGTATTAACATACTATTAATATCTATGGTTATTTTATGACCATATATATAAAACCAAACCGAACGTAACTTTTGTTTTCACCTATATTTCGCAATGAATAAGCATGCGCATAAGGAAGCTAAATTGTTTAAGAATCCTTTTGATCTGTCATTACGCGTAAAATAGTTGTATCCAACCAATTGTACCAATAATTTGTTCCAGGAACTGACGTCGATAAATGAAAATCAAGGCGGATTTTTTTCCGTTGACCTTGTTGGAGAAAACAGTAAGTAAAGGGTGACGTTTATATTATTACTCATATACTCATGTGTCGGTTCTTATGTATATCTATATCTAAGATATTCCAATTGGTATACCGTTTGATAAATCTTAACGTACATAATCAACCTATCTTTCATTTAGTATCTAACAAAAGAATCACTTTAGTATAGAGTTTCCTCAGTTACTTGATAGTAAGACTAGATTCAGAAGTTAATTCAGGAATCAACAGGATATCTTTCTCACACCAGGGATAGCCTTTTGCTAAATGTATTCATATTATTTTTTTTGTTTCTTGTAGTATATCATTGGCAAGTTAAAATCAAAGGACCAGTAAGTAAATCAAAAGTTTAAAATTGAGTTTATTACATATTAGCAATTTCATATTAAATTTTTCATTACTTTTGACCAACGAAATCAAGTCCCACGAACTTGTTTTCCTTTGAAATTTAAATCTTCCGAAAATTTATAGTTTTACGGTACTTTGTTGGATCAGAAAATACAACTTAACAGAAAATAAAAGGAAATGAATCGTCTTCTTAAATTACTTAACCGACTTAAATAGTTGTCTTCGATTTTATCGCTTCTGTATTGTCAGTTCAAAATAAACACGATACATGTATTATTTGTCGACTTATGTGAATGTCACTGAAAATATCCGAAATCCTCATATTCTCCCATTTATCCATTTAAACAATTAATAACTATACTAAGCTTATTGTTATGCAGGAAGGGACACCGTATGCTGGAGGTGTATTTTGCCTTGATCTAAATTTCCCTTTGGACTACCCAATGAAATCACCAAAGGTAAGCGGTATATTGAATGAAAATGTTTCAAGTTGTTTTAAACTAAAACACACACGGCAATGACTTTGTTTTTTCTGTTTCAAATGTGTCTGCTAGTAAATGTTGGAACTCTCTATGTAATCCTACAATAACAATGAATTATGTATTTCATATTATGCTCTTTCTTTCAGATCAAATTTGAAACGAAGATATATCACCCTAACGTTAACAACAATGGATCCATCTGTGTGGATATCCTAGAGTCAAAATGGACACCGGGCAAGAAGATAGAAACAGGTAAAATACACGGATATAGAAAGTTGATTCTATATGTATTATTTATGATAAAGATTTTTGTGAAAAAGATTGAAAAAAAAAAAAAAAAACAGGTGAAATAACAAGTTTACTTATTATTTTTATTTCAAACACTTGGTTTTTCATCATATTTGTTGTCCGAGTTTCTCTGAGGCCAAAACACATACGTAGTTCATGTTTATCACAATGTATACTGTCTGCCTCTACACAAGATATTTTCTATGACAATATCGCGCTAAAAAGCCGTATAAATGCTTGCGGGCAAATATACACCTACCGTTTATATTTTTATTAATGACTGGTTTTACCAAAATATCACTTTGCAGCGATTGTAGTGACTTTTAAGTGATTTATCTGTACCTTTGTGGCATACTTTTCAGTGGTTTAGTAATTTTTAGCGACTTTTAATTGTTACATTAAAATATTATTTTAGTAATATATGATGTTGTAAGGACTAATGATTTATCTTTAATTTACGGTTGTCAGAGTAACTTATTAAGGAATATTCTATTTCTTTGTGCGATATGAAGCTGGACCTGCTTTAATGCTGGATTGTTTACCTGTTGGTTCCGTTGTTGTATGCCTTGTTCTCATTTGAGATCATGCCTTTACTACTTTCTTGTATTGATTAAGATTTACATTTCGGGTTCGTCGATGAAGCAGAAAACGCTTACTCTTCCGAAACCTTATCTTACTCTTACTCTTCATAAATAAAGTCTTCGGGTAAATCTTTCCATTGTATATATTTTGCCATAGTTTGACTGAAATTAAGTTTAGATTATGATGATGTCGTATTTGTTGCAACGACTTTTCAGTGATTTATCCCAAATTTGCATTGACTTTTCAATGGTGTATACTTTTGCAGTAAATTTGCAGTGGTTTATCTATCGTTTTAGTGTGTTTTAAATGATTTATCTATCATATTGTTGCCTTTGATTTTATTTCTAGTTTTGGAGTCTATAGTAGTGCTATTTTCGGAACCTAACACTGAAGACCCTTTGATGCCGGAAATTGCCAGCCTTTATATTAAGAACCGAGAAAAATTCAATGCAAATGCAAAGGAATGGACCAATAAGTACGCACGCTGACAACAGAAATGAAAACACAATTTACAGATATAAGTGAATGACGTTATCACAACGACGACGTCAGACATTGTGACATCTGCAGACATTGTTTTCATGCGAAGCTTTCTGTGATATATTTATGAAACGAAAACCCATCAATCGCTCACTCCTGGAATTTAAAAATGTCTTTCAAAATGTGGTTTTTTAACACTTGCAATAATGTTTGACAATAATTGTACATTCTGTACTTTCAACGACATAATATCTTAAGCAAACGTTCTTTTTTTGTTCCGAGGATGTGGACTATTAACTTTATGTTTACTAGGAATACAAACGACTTTCCCTAATTTGTAGCACTCGTAAGATTCATAATACCTTACAATGGGCAATATATCGCATTTTTATGAAAAAGCGAGCAGCAGACCTATTTTGAGTCGTGTTGCGATTGGTTATATATCGTTATTCATAATACATGGAGTCTTTTAGTATGACATTTGTCAATGGCGGAATCTAGACTTCTATTGAAACGACCAGTTTGTTTGAACATGATTTTTTTAGAAAATAGTATGCATGTTAATAGGTAATATACACTGTCCTTCATATCTGAATAAGTAACATTGATTGTTGTTTGAGGAAATAATGATGAGGCACATCAACAACATTGATTTGTGACGTCACAATATTGTTAATGCAATAGAGTAAAGTTTGCAGTTATATGAAACAGTTATGTTTTGTCTTCTTTCAAGCACATACTTGAATCTTGTAGGCGGTGCTAACCCTAACCCGGCAATTATACCAGGATTCAATTCTTCGGAGTCTGTATAAAAGACTCAACACTCTACATATACTGTTGTCGGTGATAATACCAGGATGTTTAACATACATATTTTGTTACCTTTGTTTGTGGTTTATCCTTATTTACACCACAGTGAATGCAAAGAAAATATCCACGTACAGGTATTCCACATGGAATTCGCGTACTTACAGAAGTGACAGACATTTCTCGTCATGTTTAACAAGTCACTTCCGATTCTAGAGCTATGGATTGCACAAAACAAAAACTAGTTTTCTTAATGTCTATCACCAATCCATGAATAAACTCATCGATAATACATATAAAATTTATAAGATTAGCAACAAGCGATTCGCAAATGTATATTTAAGATAATTCAATAGAAATAAGTTTAGCATACACAAATCAATGAAAAAAACAATTACCGATTTATTCGTTACGATATTTTGCATGCAAACGTTTTAGAAAACCAGTAAATCAAGTAGTATACAAATACATACACCTAACGATATAAAATTTACACAAATAAAATCAATTTCACAATATTGAACACAAGTATTATCAACAAAGGTTCATTGAAACACTGTCATAGTCGATGGTAAATATATAGTGGCAGAGAGTAAAATATAACAATATCGTCACTTAGATAATGTGAATTATAAGTGTCAATCAGCGTTAAGTGGATTCATGAACAGTGGGGTCTTCTTATGTGAGTTACTTCCCTTACGCTACTTATGGAGAGAGATAGTGGGTAGTATGTTTTCCTCGATTTCTCGCGTAAAAGCATTGCTGTAAACTTACAAATTGTTTCCTATATTGATAAGGATGAAAATAAGTGAAAAACACCTTTCCATACAAAACACCATCATGAGAACAGAATCATAATCCAAAATTAAAATTCAATAAAACGAGGGCAGACTAAGCACGGAAACTTCACATCATAAATTATATCAACAAACTACAAGAAAATACCATTTTTATAAATCAAACTCAAATTCAACAAAACTAGGGCAAAATATGAACAAAAGAACGACTTACGAGGAAACTCCTGATAAAAGTACGAGGAGAATAAGACCAAACGTTCTAGAGGAGTAAGCGTCTTCTGCACCATCGGCGACGTCCGCCATGTTAATCTTGGTTAATCAAAGTAACTAGTATCACGTTCTCAAATGAAAATAACTGAACCAACAGGCAAACTAACGAGCATCAAATGCATCCAGTCAGCTTTATATCGCACAAAGAAATACAATATTTCTTAATTAGATAGCTATGACAATAATTTTCATTACAATGCATCTTTTCAAAATCTTTGTCATGAATTTTCCCGTCAGTTGGCGACATCTTGCATGAAAACCTTGATACTTGGAACAGGCCCTTAGGTATCGAATGTTGCTATCCAGAAATGGAAAATTCATAATAGGGAAATCGAAATCATCACACTTGCCAATATAAATTTAGAGTTAGATGCGGAGGTATATGAACCTAAAAATTGATAATGATTGATATCAAAAGAGTATCAAGTCATAAAGCATAATTTGATTTTTCACCAATTAAATACAAAATTTTTCCCTGGCTATTACCACGTGGATATTTCATTGAGAAGAACTTGGTGTGAAAAAATCATAAACCTGTTATTATCGTCAGTGGTAACGTTAAAACCTTGGAGATATCTGAATTTAATGCCAAAAAACAAATATTACGTGTCTTAATTTTCTAATGAAATTGGATAAATTGTGGACAAAAGTTCTTCAAATTACATTTGTCAAATTGTCGTTAGCACCTTAACTCGATATGAACAAAATTTATCCTAATAAGCTTTTCACACACCCAATTTAGTGCCGAGCATAAAGCACGAATTATGAAACTTCGGTATATCAATGCCTAACCTGATTTTACAATCTGAATGACTAAAGTGACATAATTCTTTTACATTTCATTGAAAGTTTGTAATGTTAAAGTTAAATTCAATAACTATACATAACTGTTTATTCCCTGTCTTACATATAAACAGTTACACAAGTTGTTATTTACCAAAAACACTATAAAATACATCAATCGAGCAACACGTATTTATCTTGGGAGTTAACCTTGTAATCTTCTAAGTGCAAAAGCGACGAAAGGATCGGTTGTTTATAGATAATATCAACTACAACTGATACCACACAAGTACAAATATGGTTTCGGATATGTAAAGGTATAGATATAATATCCGAAGCATCAAATCGATTGTTTTTGTTGTGAATATTCGTGACTAACTAGTTCCACAAAAATCTCACTGAAAATTAAAAATTGATTTGTTGCAGTAGACCTTGCCATATGTGGTACCGAAACCCAAGACAGTAAAGTTTAACAGCTTTAACGACAGAAAATGGAAAAATGAAAAAACAAAACCCACAAAACTGCAAAGTATCCATGACCTAAATTTCACTTGCCAAAAGGGTATAAATTGTTTTTAACTGTGGTTTTTAACTGTTCGCTATGAAAGGTATATAGCTCTCAGGTGTTTTGTAATGTTGTGTTTATTACAAAATTGTGCTCTCCGATACCCATAAAATCCTAGCAGGGAAGCAATACTAGCTGAAAATCAATTTGGCTATAGCACGACGTATTTGCTATCGAATTCATCCAGCTACTTTCATTGTTAAATTAGCGCATTCTAAATAAAATATCAATATTTTCATTAGTTCAAACCGAAGACTACACTACAGATTGAATTCACTACACGGAAAATATAATATACGGTCATATGTGGCCGGTATAGGAAATCGATTTCCCTCACGGTGGTGACGAGGCCTCCACGTGCTGGCACCATCAGTAGCAAATCAAAGCCCGTCAGTTGAGCTGTGAGAATCAGTGTGTACATGATTGTGACGATTCAGTCACCTGTGACAGTATTTAAGTGTTGTTGGGACTTAAATAGAAGAGATATTGGAATATTCGCACCTTGGCATTAAAGACTGTCTGTCCAGGTAGGTGAACGTATTTTCACAGTTAAAGAGAACGCACACATATATATTGTATAAGATACACACACACTTAAATGTCTTTAAATTCATAATAATATGGACACTTTATATGTTTGTGAGGTACATGTGTCACAGACACATTGGGAATATTTTGATCAATATATAAATTACTGCTCAATGCAGAACCTTGTCCACTCAAAGAAACGTGAAATGTATATCAGAGAGATACACGAAATGTTAGGTGCAGTTAACACTTTTTCATTTCTGCGACCATACCCGAAGAAGTCAATTTCTATTCAGAAAATTATCGAACGAGTAGTAATACAGCAATACAGAGCTATATATGACATACAATTCGATCCTTCTGTTGTGTAAATAGACCACTTCAGAGATTACATTTACTATTCACTTTGCTCTGTTTTTCATAGGAATTTAGTAAAATGGAAATCTGTAATTCCTTAAAACGTAAACATACACACACCAACTCCCCTGCCTAATCCACCAGCACCACGGTATCTACAAGTCATACATAATTGCCAGTCATTACTGCCATTTACTACAGGCAAGTATAATTAGTATAATACAAAATCCAATTACAAATGATGTACAATATATTGATGAATGTATAATAAGATAACAATATTGATGCCCGTGGCGTAATTACAGCAATAGTGCCTTTAATCAAACAAGCAGGACCACTATGTAAGGAAAACAACGTTTTCCACTCTTATTGAAGAGGGACTATTAGAATATCAGTTAGGATCGATGCTGGTTTGCAGATATGTATCCTCTTATTAGCCTTGTAGGAAAAGCCTCTGGTCATTGTGTTGACTACAGCCCGTATCCGAGCTTTCGTGGTCTGAATAAGACTCGCGGCAGAATGAAAATCTTTCCCACTCTCCCATCTCTCTACGCCAGTCGTTAACTGCACGTATCAGTGCATTAGTGGAACTTCTCTTATGTATGGCATCATAGGTAGAAATATGCCTGGAACTTCCCTCCTGAAGTGCTGTTCAGGACTTAATGTCTTCATTAAAAGGATCCTACTCTGCTTTCCATTTCTAATTCCTCAAGACGATGGTCTACTTCACTGTTGTATGTCTAAATGATAAATGTTTTTTCCCATAAGCTATCATTGTTTTATTATTATATAAACGTAAATGTCTACGCATATGAGCTATCTATTCTAATTCCTATAAGAGTCTTATTTTTCTGTTAACGTCTTCTGTAACCAGCTTTTCTGTTTCTCAGCCATTTGTTAA